GTTATAGCTAAGAAATTATATGTAATTAATATTACCCTTGTAATTGTAAATACTTGATATTTCAGGGTTTTTATTAATTGCTAAATCATAATACTCTAGTGCTTCTTCAAGTCTATTCATTTTCAATAAAGTATTGGCTAAAAAAATTATTCATAATTTATTTATGCCTTTTTGCTGGTAATAGTCTGGATGCTCAGGGTTTTTTGAGATAGCTAAATCATAATATTCTAAAGATTTATCAAATCTATTCATTTTTTCTAAAGTCATAGCTATGAAATGTAAGGTACTTAATTATACCTTTGTGATAATAAAAATTTGAATTATCAGGGTTTTTATTAATTGCTAAATCAAAATACTCCAATGATTCTTCAAATCTATTCATTTTATTTAATGCATTAGCTAACAAATTCTTCATTCTAAATTATACCTTTGTTATGGTAAAAGTAAGAATTTTCATTATTTTTCTAGATAGCATAATCATAATATTCTAATGCTTCTTTAAATTTATTCATTTTATATAATGTCTAAGCTAAAAAGTAAATAATGAACAATATTACCTTTGTTATTGTAATGGATTGCATTTTCAGGGTTTTCCTATATAAGGAAATTAAAATATTGTAATGCTTCTTGCAATCTATTCATTATTAATAAAGTGGTTGCTGATAAATTAGTCAAAATTAAGTATACCTTTGTTTAGGTAATAGCCTAAATCTTCAGGATTTTTCTAAATTGCTAAATCATAATAACTTAATGCTTCTTCAAATCTATTCATTTTCAGTAAGGTGGTAGCTGAGAAATGAATCGTAATTAATTATACCTTTATTATTGTAATATTTTGGTTCTTTTGGATTTTTTTCAATAGCTAAATCATAAAATTTCAATGCCTCTTATAATTCGTTTATATTATCTAAAGTATCGGCTAGAAATAATTCACAATTAATAGTACCTTTATGACAGTAATAGTCTGAATCATTAGGGTTATTCTAAATTTCTAAATCATAACATTTCAATGCTTCCATAAATCTATTCATTTTATATAAAGTGGTAGCTGTTAAAATTATTGATTTTTATTATACCTTTGTTATTATAACAGTTTGGGTTTTCTGGATTTTTCTATAGAGCTAAATTGTAAATTTTTATTGCATCTCCAAATTTTTTCATTTTATCTAAAGCATCAGCTAATGTTAATAGTTAATTAAACCTTTGTTTTTGTAATAGTCTGAATTTTTAGGATTTTTCTAAATTGCTAAATCAAACTATTTCAATGCTTCTTCATATCTATTCATTTTAAGTAAAATCATAGCTAAAAAATTACTCATATTGAATACCTTTGTTATTGTAATAGTCTGCACGCTCAGGGTTGCACAATATAACCATATCATAATTATTTAACGCTTCTTCAAATCTATTCATTCTAAATAAAATCATAGCTTAGAAATTATCATATTTCAATATACCTTTATTATTGTAATAGTCTGAATTTTTAGGATTTTTCTAAATTGCTAAATCAAACTATTTCAATGCTTCTTCATATCTATTCATTTTAAGTAAAATCACAGCTAAGAATTACTCGTATTGAGTTATATACCTTTGGTATTGTAGTAGTCTGCATGTTCAGGGTTGCACTATATAGCAATCTCATAATTTTCTAATGCTTCTTCAAATCTATTCATTTTATCTAAAATCATAGCTAAAATCTGCATAATTTAATTATACCTTTGTTATTATAATAGTTTGAGTCTTTTGGGTTTATCAATATAGCTAAATCGTACTATTCCAATGCTTCTAAAATTCTATTCATTTTATATAAAGTAGTAGCTAGGAAATTGTTCTAATTAAGGATACCTTTATTATTGTAATAGTCTGAATTTTCAGAGTTTTTCTAAATTGCTATATCAAAATATTTCAATGCTTCTGCAAATCTATTCATTTTCAGTAGCATAATAGCTAAGAAATTATTTATAATTTATTATACCTTTGTTATTGTAATGGTTTGCATCTTAAGGGTTTCTCTACAAGGCTAAATCATAATAATCTAATGCATCTTCAAATATATTCATTCTATCCTAATTATTTTTAAAAGCTCTCCCTAATAAAGAAATGGTGACCTATTTTTTAGACTTCTCCTAATTTCTTTTTTAAATTGCTTTGATCAATTACACTAAATTTATTTTTTTTTTTCGTAAAATATATCCTTCTAGGTTGAATATATGTTTTGCTCATACTTTTATTTAAGCTGGTAACTTTTTATTTGAGAATTTGTCCATAAATATTTTTCCCATCAATTAACTCGCTAAAATTATCCTGACAAACCGTTGGTGTTGGTGATAACTCTCCCATAATTTTTCTTTCAATAATTACTAACACATTTTACTTCAATGACATCATATTTTGAAATAAAAAATATTTACTTTTTACTTTGAATTCTATAAATAAAGCTATGTTCTCTCACAGTACAATTATCATGTTCAAAATGTTATCTTAATGTAGGAATTTATCAATAAAATATTGAGTCATTTCAGATGAATGAAGTTTGAGACTAATATAATAACTGCTGGTAAGGCCTTTTTAGGGAGAATAGAATTATGACTAGATATTAAATAAACAGATAAAAACGAGCAAATCTAAAGTAAAGTAATGTCAAAATTTTATGATTCGATTTTTAAATAAGCAGAATAATTTCAAACAATAGATATTAAAAATTTTCTTGTAAATTCTAATTTAACTATTCGGAATGATTTTAAATAGAAACCATGCAGCAGAAGCTGAAATTAAACACTTAAATTTATAAGAAAAGATGATTTGAATAAGAAAATCAAAATCTTTACTTTCAACTTTATAAATTTAAAACAAAATAATATCTTCGTTCGATTGGAAGCAAATCACTAATCTAATTTTTGAAATAAGTCTATTCAATCCAAACTGATGAATTTTGAAATTAACTTATTGAATGTTTTGTATCAATCATTTCTATATTTACAAGAATTAGTACTATTAATATATATCATCACAGGTAAATGTTATTGATCTTGAACTTAGAAAAAATGTAACGTGCGGATTTTGAAAAGAATAGCTGATAAATCAAAAAACAATAAATTTCGGGCAAATGAATCTTTTGAGTTATGAGTGTGAAATCTCCTGCTTTCTAAATAAGAATTAATTTACTTACACAAAGAAGAACCTTTTTGTAACCCATCGTTTCTAATTGATTTCCAAATAATACTTCGGATTAAAAAGGGAGCTATCTCATATAACATAGAGGTGAGGAATAGAATATTAAAAAATTATAAAAACTAAATTTTGGATTTCAAACAGCGTTTATCTTATGATATTTTAATATTTATAACAATTAATCTTCAATTCTTCAATTTGAAAAATAAGTTTACTTTAACTCTTCAAATTATTGATTAAATTCTTTATACGTAGCTTTCTTTAAAAATTACTCAATCTGCACTATCGAGCTTATTGAATCAACCTTCATAAATTAACAAATCGTGTTAAAGTGCTATGGAATGTGTTACACATCACATATTCTATTTATCAATATGCACATTAAAATTAATAACCTAACGTAAGGGTTATTCTTGTCATCTTAAGATTCAAAGAGGGATAACGTGTTTGTTAAAATGTATCTATAAGATCTTTTGATATCTTCAAAATTGTTAAGTTCTGTGTTCTAACAATTCATAATATATATAAAATACATCTTCCAAATATTTTTCAATTAATTTGTATAATTCTTTTACCACTCCTTCATTTTTTGATTAATCTAAAATTTTTTTCAGTTATAAATAATCCTTCTACAACAAAAATTTTTGACTAACATCAATATCTAACTTCATCTTACCAATCATTTTTTTATACTCCTCAGAACATTAGGTAAATTTTTACCATTCTTACTCTGGAATATAATATAGGTTTAAAAATGATTCTAAAGCAAATTGATACTCCTTCTTAAGTATTAATTATGCTTTTTTCATTCCATATATTGCTATTGATATTAAACTGTTGCTTGTCTTTTGGAAATGTGATTGCAATTCATCAATAAGTTTTGACATTAATGAAAAACGATACAGATAAAAATAGATTTGATTCCAAATTAAATAATCCTTGGGCCTGTCCGAGTTAAGAAATGGAAGTACACTTAATAATAGTTCGTTTTCCAGTAGAGAACCCTTTAATTGATTATCTTCAGTATTATATTAGGTTTTCACATAAGTCTAAGTTTGTGACACCTTACTAATAATTTAGTTTTAATTTAATGATGTTGAATCAACAGGATTTTCAAATTCAGGAGGATAGAGAGAACTAATATTTGAATTGGGAGGTTCAGTATCATCAACTAAGTTATTCTTTTCTTGAACTAATGGTTAGGATGAAATAATTTGCTATTCTTCAAATATTTTCTTAAAATTATGAGATAAAAATATTACCCTAATTATTTTTGTTTATCCAATATCGAATGGTTGGGATTCTTCACATTTAGAATGTGTATACTTTTCTCTTTTTTCTATAACTTTTGAAGTGATATTTTTCAAAGTATTCTGTTTGTAAAACTGCTCCTAAAAGGAATAGAATTAATTATTTTTAAATTTCGACAGCAATAACAAATAATCAATTCTTTTATTTACATCTATTGATAGCATTTATATCACTAATTTCTTCAGCCCTTCTGAATAATTTGTTTAAGCAATAGATAAATTGATATCGGAAGAAACCTAACTTAAATTGCTCATTTCAAATCTTGGCAACTCATTTCCAACCATCAAATAATAGATGACTCTCCCTAATAAAAAGATATCCACTTTTTCATTGTAAGTTTAATTATATATCATTTCTGGCACTTAATATTCTAAATCTGGGTAAAATCCATATTCCATCATAACAGCGTGCTGATTTTCAACAAACAAAATATTATTTACATTAAAGCACCTTCCTAAGAGGTTTTTATAATGAATGTAGTATAAAGCAATTAAAAGGTCTTAGAAGATCTTTAAAATCACTTATTCCTGCAATTATTTCAATTCTGACAATAGTAAATAATCTTTGTATGCTTCGAATGCAAAAAAACCCTAACTAGCATTTTTATTGTATTTTCGCAGATATTTGATTTCATTTTATTGTTGCATATCCCCAGCAATAAACTCATTCAAGTACTAGCTATTTTAGTATTCCGGCTTTGGAATAAATCCAAAATATGACTTATCTTGAATATTTACTAAATATATCTGAAAAGCTTAAGATTAGATTCTAGTTAGATTCTGAGGTTTGATCAATTCTTTATTAAAATTCATGAAAGTATTCGACTTTAATAAATTAAAATTAATTATGAATTATAACTTAGAATTTCATACTTTTTGAATGCATTAGTAGAGAAATCAATGAAATATACGATTTCCCATTCTATCTGTCTTTAAACATTTACAGATCAACAAAACCTAGAATACAAAAGTATTTAGAGATAAAATTTGAAGAATAATATTTCTATTTAATTAAATTAAAAATTTTTTATAATTATTAATAAAGATTAAGAGATCCTTTTTAAATTCATTATTGAAAGCAATTTCCAAAAATAATTTGACTAGTTATTAACTAATGTAACCAGAGATATTCCACTTTTAAACTCAAATACTTAAGAGAAATATAGAATAGAAACTAATCTATATAAAATTGAATTAAATAAATAAGAAAAAACCCAATTACAAACATAAAATAACTCATTTATAAAACAACAGTTCAGATCTCTTTTTTTAAAATTACTTTGGCTATTCATTTTACCTTCTTATTTCATTAAATAAATCCTCATCTTTCCCATTTTCACAATGATTGAAATTACAATCAACTATACATGTCTGTTATCTTATAAAACATTCGCAATATCGTTTCTGACATCTAGTTTTTTTGCAATTACATCCCCAAATATCCTTAGTTTCAAATAACTTCTCTTATGTAACTTTTTTGTTTCTAAGTGCTTTTTTTCTAATATATTAAACAGCCATATGTCTCTAGTTTAGATATTCATCAGTATTCTAACAATCCTCGCATTTACATTAATCTACACAAGTTTATCCATTGTGATAGCATGAGCAATACATTTTCAAACAATTTGTTTTTGAACAGCTACATGGTTGTCATTTAGTATTTTCTAACATTTTACTCTCTTCTTTTTTTTCGTCTAAATCTATTTGTCTATTAATAACCTAATGAAGTTGCTCATTATTCTCAATTGTTGAATTCCTATAATAATTATAATGAGATACATTTTTTTTAATTTTACAATTTTGGGTGATTATTTATTTTCCAAATCAATTTCGCTAAACTGAGAACATTACTCAAACCTAATAATAATTTAGGAGGCTTATTTTCTTCTGAGAGTTCTTGATTGATCATAAGAATAATTTAAATATTATAATTTTTATATACAACTCATACTTGAGAGATGATCTAATGAAAATACATTAACTTATTCAATGGTACATGTTGGAGTCTTGAGGATAGAATCTTTTAATTACAAATTGTTCTCTATTTTTCTAGTAACCTAGATTATAGTATATAAATATTAGATATTCTTTATGTTGATGAATAGTATGCTTAATAGATATTTTAAAATTTCAGAGAAATTATTTAATTAATCTTATAAGGTAATTAAAATAAACTTAAGTGAGCTGAAAAAGGATAGCAGATAATGATTCAATTAACATTTTTTTTTCCCGAACTAGTAACAGATTTCAGAATCTAATAGATATTGCAATTATAAAAAGGATCAAAAATTCAATAATTGGAATAATAAGATATTATAATCCTAAATTATTTAATAGAAATGTTATGATTACATCACTGCAGGACAGAAAAAACACTTATTGATACTAATAGCAAGTAAGAAGTTGTAGGAAAAGGTTCTAATTTGACAAAGTTTAGGAGATTACAAGTTGATGAACCTGAAATAATAAAGTAATCAGTTAAAAATAAAGTTATTTATTTACAGTTCCCAAGCAAATAATAATAGAAAGGTCATTTAAAAGAACATTAATAAGAGTTCTAAGTGAATATATTTTAAGAAATTATAAATAAATATTGTGCACATTATTTTAATTATAACGAATTATGAGTCGTCTTTACACATTAGAGGATGAACAACTTGATTATGGATAAGATTATGAGAGCGTTTTAGTTGTAAAAGAAATTGATCAACCTAAAAATGACAGAGAAAATGAAAAAGATCTATAAAAACTTTTAAGTTTGTAATTTTATAGCAAAAAGAAAAAAAGTTCATTTCAATTAAATGCTATCTAAAGATTAATAACAGAGCAAAAGGAAAACTTTAAGAAATAATAAGAAAATAAATATCTCAATTAAAAACTTAAGACACCATCATCTAAGCCATTCCCAGTTATAATAGTCACACCAAAATGCTCAATAAAGACACCTTAGTATAGTAAGAGTTCAAAGTAGCAAATTTTGATTGCGCCGTTAAACTTTTAAGATTCTTTTCAGAAAATAAAATTGCTGGTTTCAAAATAATAAAAGCATTAGTTAGATTTTAGTAAATTTAAAAGGTCGATATATTGATAAATATTTCATATTGAGACTTCTTTATTTTTTGGTTTTGTAATTAAAATTAAAAATATAATTATTAAATGGCTGAAGGGTAATCTGACACGTTTTGGAAATCACTTTATATCTATTTTAATGAAATGGATTTCGAATCTCAATTGTTTGTGAAAAAGATATATAAAATCATCATATTGACTGTGGCTGTAATCAAAAATTAGGATATCCTTAGATAATTTCATTTATAATTGCGTTCTTCCTTGAGAGATTTTCAGTATGTGTATACTCTACAATTGGATCAAGTGTTCTTTGTATATTAGTATAAAAAAAATAATATCACATATTAGGTATTAGCACCTGCATGGCCTATATGGAAAAAAAATTAACCTAATTGGCAACAAGGAAATTAGTAAAAGCAAAAATGAAATTTAAATATATATTTTCAACGTATAGCATCTTTAATAATCTTTAAACTCATATTGATTCAATAAAATAGAATTAGAACAGAACAATAATAAATCAATTCATAAAATTACAATTAATTAATCCTATCACGCTTATATAATTCTGAAATTTCATATAGTAATTCTATTTATTTGTTATTAATTACTTTTAATTCCTATTATTTGAAATGAAATCTAAAAATTTCTTATTTCCATTGGATATGCTTAGTCAAACGTCAACTTCAAAGATTCCATTCTATTGATATATATCAAGAGATTATTACGATGAATTCGTATTACAGAAATGAATTTTGACTTTTTATAATTTTATATTATCAAATTATGTAAAAGCAATAATCGAAATCATAATCAAATAGAAACAGATAAGAAACAGCAAAATCTGTGAAAAGATAAGAGAAACTAACTAAAATTTAAGAAGCTTTTAATTTTAATAAGGCATCAAAATATATTGTAAACCAATGTTACTTATATAGTTTCAATCTGGATTTTAAGAGAGAGCATGGCTAATCAAAAGGGGCTACTAAGACAGGATAGATTTTAAAGATTCAGAAATTGCAGAACTCAGAAAATATTTCTCTTCTCTTGATGGAGATGGCTCTGGTGCAATTGGAATAGAAGAATTATAAGATCCATTAATCGCTTTGGGCTTAGTAAATTCTAGAGAAGAAGTGGAGAAAATTATGAGCGAAGTTGATGAAGATGGAACAAATGAAATTGAATTCAAGGAGTTCTTAACAATTATGAGAGGAGTGCAAAAGGGAGGAAATACTGATTAAGGAGAAAAGAATCCAATTTATGATTTCTTCAAAAGTATCAGATTCATTTTATAGTGTTTTAGAGATGAGTAATGGATAATTAGAAAAAGGAATGGATAAACATATTCCTTTTAAATTAAATGTAAGCTTATTCCGAAGAAAACAAATATTAAGTAAATTATTAATTAAAATGAGACGCAATAACAAGTGATTAGAAAGAATTAAAAGATAAAGGGTAAAAGATTTTGTAGGCATACAAGAGATAACTATTAAATTATAAGTAACAAGAAAGATTGAATCGAGGAGAGGATCCAAATGGTAATAAATTGACATATGATCTATAGACATATCTTTGGATTAGTTTCCGAATAAGGATAATGGGCCTAATCCTAGAAATGGTCTTCCGAAATAACAACGAATAATCTAATCTGAAGCAAAAATAGGAAGCAGCAATAAACACGTAGAAAAGTGAATATTAATTTAAATTGATATAAATTTTTCGTATGATTTGTGCTTCTTATTTAACTTTCTTCAAAAATCGATTTTCTGTGTTATGGGTTTAAATTTAGGAAGTATTCTGTAACTATTAATTGATTTTGTTTTTAAAATAAAATCATCATAACATGATTACGATTGAAATGATTCGAGATATGATTTAGAGTTTAAAAATGAGGGGCTTTGGAGTAATTTGATATTTTATGAAAAAAATTATAAAAAATAAAATAATTAACTCTTGTTTATTTGAATTTGAAATACTTTGGCAATAGAGGATAATACAGATTATTTTTTTGCTTTTGGTTGGAGCCTTATTAAGAGTGAAGTATGAGTGTTGAATTATATATATAAATTAATGATTTTTCAATAACTAAAAATTACTTTACCTCCAATTGGTGCTCAAGAAATCGAGAAATCAATTTAGAAAAGAATGGGAGACTGCTTAGAAACATAATTAGGGTTTGAATACGAGCCTTTTACGTTTCAATATTTAGAATTACACCCCGATTTGGTTACTATTAAAAATCAAGTATACAAACTTATAGTTATATATGCAGAAAATTGAACATCATCCCATTGAGGATTAATAACATGTACATACTGCATTGGGATGCTTTAGTAAAGAAAATAAAATACGCTTATTCTTAAGCGAAAACATCCATGTTTTGCAACGATTAGTGATTATAATGGTAATTGTAAATACTATAGCATTCTGTTTATATGACTATTAAATTAGAGATAGTGTAAACAATTTAAGTACGAGGAATATAGCCTCGATAATTATCGAAACAATATGCAATGTTTTTTTTGGGATTGAAATAATAATTCAGTGCATTTGCTATGGAGCAATTTTGGGTAAAGGAACTTATTTAAGAAATATTTGGAGTTGTCTTAACTTTCTAACTTTTGTCTGTACATGGTCAATATATTTCGATTAGTCAAATACATTCATTTAATTGTTAAGAGTTATTCGTTTATTAAGATTGGTGAGACTTTTACAAGAAATACATTACTTAAGGGAACAAGTGGAAACCTTTTTTTCATGCTTTTTAACAATCCACACGATAATAATTCCTTTGGTGATAGTGATTTTTGGATTTTCCGTTATCGGGCTGCATTTGCTTAGAGGAGTTACGGGACATAGATGTGCTAAGGATGGAATTATTGATCTGAATATTAGAAATCTGTGCGGAGAGTGGGAATGTCCAGATGGGTACTTATATTTCAATATTAAGCTATGAGTGCATTAATCATTTCAATTCCGAAGATTTAAGGTATTTAGACTTTTATTACGGATACTACAATTTTGATACTATATATGATTCCTTTTTAAGTGGATTCATGTTTTTTAATGCAACAGGTTGGTCACCAACCACTTTTTATTTTTGGAAAGCTGTGACTCCTCCTGCTACAGCAATTTATTTTATTTTTATGCTTTTCATCTTGTAAATCAATCATTTATACTAGACATTACACCTTATCTGATTTATTGTTGGCATCCCTCTATGAATCATTTCTGGTTAGCAGTGCAATTAAAAATAGCATAAAATCCAATAAATCCGAGCTATTTACCTAGAGAAGAAGGACAGTTACGTTAGTTAATAATTAAAACAAAGCTTAGATCAATTTTCATAAATTGCATATGATTACTTAAATTTCATCTTAAAATCGGGTAAATCTTGTGACTCCTGCTGAGATTTTGCGGAATGAGACTATTAAAGAGAAAAATGAACCTTGGATTATTACGAGAATCAAATAGTTTGATCAAATTTTTATAATTACTTCAACAATTATACTGTGCATGGACTAAGTTGAAAAGTAGTATAACCCAAAAGAGTATTATGCAGACATGGTAATGAATTTTATGCTAATAATATTAACTATTTTTAAGTTAATATTTTTTAAGAGATCGAGGAGAAAATTTTCATTTATAATAGATGTAATCTTATCACTTGCTTTAATCGTTGTGATTATATTGGAATTTTTAAATTATTAAAACAATGTTTTTATAATAGTTAAAGCTTTTAAGGCTTTTAGACTAATAAAATTAATTTATAAATTAGAGTACTTTGGAATAATAAGGGTGTTGCTTAGATGTCTTATCGAAACAATAATTAAAATTAGACATTTAATCATTTTATGGGCCATTTTTGCATTCTTAATTTCTATAATAGGATAGGAATTGTTTGCTCATTATGTGAAAGGGTCAACAGAAATAGAAGTACATTTTAATGGAATTGGGAATTCGCTTATGGCTGTATTTAATATTTTTTATGGAGAAGAATGGCATGTAACAATGTATTAACATGCATAATATAAGCCAGCTTCATCGTTTCTCTTTTTTTTGATTGTGTTCTTTTTATGTCATACACTTTTTATGAGATTATTGAGAGCTTTATTTTTAAATGAATTTGGAAAGAAGTTAAATGAATTAGAACAGAAGTATCCATAAACAGACTATTTATAAAGAGCTTGGCAGTATATAAAAAGCTTATGTTTTTAATAAGAGTCACCCTAATCCTAATCATAATGTTAGAATGAGGATGACTCAAAAGCACCGCTTTAAGAGACCAGTCCTAATGGAACTAGGATTAAATCTCATGTTTCATAGATAAATGTTTCAAATTATCGAAGAATAGTAGAGCATAAAATTTTTCGAATTTGTCTCCTGTTTGTTGTAGCATTAAGTGCAGTAAAAAGTGCTGTGTAAAATCCGTTAACAGACCCTAGGAGCAAAGAGAAAGTAATAAATTGACTAAAATTAGCTCATTTTGGATGTCATTTAATATGTAACGACTGTGATTTTCATGATTGAACTTATACTCAATTGTATGGCCTATGGGATAATCAAATTCATAAACCAATCGTTTTTAAACATAATATCAATCATAAACATCATTGTGAATATAATCTCAATAGGATTGGGCAATCCTCCACTTTTTATTTTGACTCTCTTTGACTCTCTGAGAGTTCTTGCCTTTTTAAAAACAGGAGCTGATTAATACCCTATACTCAAATAGGCACTTTAAGCTTTATTTAATGCTTTTACAAAAATGATCTAATTAACTATTTTTAGTCTTCTAATTTTATTAATTTACAGTATTATAGGTATGCAATTATTAAATCACGAATTCTATTATTGCAGTCTACCTGAAGAAAGTTCAATAGAAGGGCATCTAATAACTAAAATTGATTGTTTTGATATAGGAGGAAATTGGGTAGACAAGCCTCTTAATTTTGATAGTTTATTTTAATCAATAAATATCTTATTTTGTGTGGCTACATCCGAAGAATGGACATAACTAATGATACCAGCATGGTCAGCTGCAGGAATCGACCATTAGCCACATCATGACACAAACAGATATTGGTCAATTTATTATTAGTTGTTTTACTTTATTGGCAATATTTTAGTTTTGGGAATGTTTGTGACTTTAGTTGTTGAAACATATATAAAAACAAGAGAAGAATCATGTATTAATATTGTTATAAAAAAATAGAGAATCTTCATCTGTTAGATGACAAACAAAGAGAATGGTTTCAGATCAAAGAGTAAATATTGCATTTGAAGCCTAAAAAGAAGTTTAAACCTCCCAACAATTACATTTTAAATGCCATTTATAGAGTATATTAGATATTGTAGATTCCATTTTTAATAGTAATCTTAAGCAACATCATTATGCTTAGTTTATACTATGCTAGAATGGGATAAGAATACGAATAGGCTTTGGACTAAATTAATTAGATCTTTATCTTTATTCAACTATTTGAAATACTAATAAGTACAGTGCAGGTAACAGATTACACCTTTAAGATTTATGAAATAATTGGGATTATTTTGAGTGTGGTTTCTAGCTTTTTAGACTACCACATACTCCATGTAGTTTCAGTGGTATTTCAAGTTACCAGAATATACAAATTAACACAGCATTTCAAAACCATTCAACATTTATTCCATGCAATTTTTGCTGTGCTACCAAACACAGCTTCCATGCTTTTAATCATGTTGGTTGTCTTGTATTGTTACACTATTGTGTCTTGTGATTTATTTGCTTATTTACGCCCTTAAAAATCAATAAATGGATTTGATATGCACTTTAGGGATTTCTGGGGTGCTCTGATGACTCTAATTAAAGTATCATCTGGTGAGAAGTGGTGGATTGTATTGCAAGAGACAACCTTAGAATAATCACCTGATATAGCATGCATTAATATTGAATCATATGATGAATTTACAGAAGTCGGTTTTAATGGATGTGGGTCAAACCTTTCTTATCCATTTTTTATTTCATTTATCCTTGTATTTTCTCTTATGATTTTAAATCTCTTGGTAGCCAACATCATAGGAGCATATGAACAATATCATAAAAGCGAATAGAGTGCTATTTCTAAATACTAATTGTTGGATGTGATGGAGTTGTGGTCATAATTTGATGAAAATGGAGAAGGATTCATAAGCTATAAACTCTTTTGGAGGTTGTCCTCTTAGATAGCTATAATCTTTGGATTAGAATAGTCAGATTTGTTGGATGTCAACAACAAGAAGAAATTTTTAAAGGCTTTGAAGATTCCAATTTATGAATTAGTCGACTCAAATGTTCTTTGTTACAGATTCCATGATGTGATTGTGAGTTTGACTAGGATTTCAGTGACCATTAAATATGGAGTAGTTAATTTAGAACCTGAAGACAAGGATATATATAATAAGGTCTATGGGAATAAGCATTCACATGTGGAACAGAAATTCAGAGAGACGGCATTGAATAGTGGCGACATGGTATTTAGATATAAGTTTATCATCTAGGTTTCCATAATCTTTATTTAACAGAAATTTAGAGAATGGAAGTAGAAATCGCTTTTAAAAAATACTATAATTTTGGGTGGAATTGGAGACTATCGAAGTTTAATCAAAATCAAATCTAAAACACTTAGTGAAAAAATACATGAGTAGATAAATAATGAAGATTGACATTTGTATTTAAATTCATTTATCTAAATATTCAAACTACAAATTGATATACATATTTATACTGATTATTAAATTGATAACTTATTAAAAATAATTACTAAATATGAACTCTAAATAAAAATTGAATAGGCAAACCAAGGTGTAATTCTTTTGTAAACAAATTGAAGAGAGAAGACAACGATTAAACATTAAGAAAATTAAACCATATTATCATTTGACTCAAACATAAATGAGTCAAAGGATGGGGAGATCTAGACGATTGGACATTACTTAAAATAAATTTGGAAATACCAGTTGTTGTTGCTCGGAGTGTGGAAGGGACTCACAGTTTAAATAGAGAATATTCAACATCTATCCTTTTAATGGGACGTCTTATTAATATTAGGAATCAATAAAACAAAGCCAAATATTAGATCGTTACAGAAATTCCAAATATATCAAAACCTTTAGAAAACTTGTCTATTGTCTGCTCTTTATCATTAGATATAGGATTGTGTAGAACATAAGATTTAGACAAAGACAGAGAATGAAAAAAGTGTTGAAAACTAGAGTGGAATAACCAAGAATGACATTTCTCAATGTATTGGATATTGCAAAGAAGTAATTGAATCCAAAGTTTAAGTCAGCTTCCAATTTCGATTTTGCAATTAGTTAGAATGCTACTGCTCTCAATTCTCCTCAGGATTCAGACGAAGAGTTCTATCATCTGAAACCGAAGAAGTCTTTAGTGCATAAATTATCAACAGAAGAACATCTACCACATAAAAAATTGTCAAAATCATAATAAAAAGTTTATTTAATTACTGGATTAAATTCAGTATTGAATTAATATGTAACTTCAAAGTTAAACAAATCAACTAAAAAATGCAATAATTAATAATCAATATGCATGCCACCATTACTGTCCTTAACCGTATCTCCCAGATAGAATCAATCGACTCATTTGCCTCATATTAGAATTAGACATAATAATTGATTATATTTCATATACTGCTATAATTAGTTTTGTATTAGACATTATATTATTTAATGTTATAGAGTGAGGAGAGAACTGAATAAGATTATGCCATTAACAAATCGAAGAATGAGCCAATACTCAATAGAAACAGTATCACTCAAGTATTAATCTATTTTACTAATGCTTAATTCAGGAGGACATACAATTGATTTTGAAGGAATCTTAACTCAAAGATAGTCTGAAGATAAATTATTGATTGTACCAGAGGAATTAGGTGCTCAAGTTCCTCCCAGAGTCTAATTCGAGGTTCATACCACGCAGAATAAGGTGAAAAAACTAAAAACCATAAAGATGGCTAAATTGCCAACAAAAACATAGTTTATTTTGGAGTTAAGTGAAAATAGCGATTATAGAGAATTATTGGCTTCTGTTGAGGATTTAGAAAGGAATGAATTGAAAAAGGCCAAAGCTCGATTGCTGAAGATTATAGGTAATTCGAAAGAAGGAATAAATGAAGCTTAAACAAAAATTGAGGAAAAATAGTCTTCAGTAATTTGCATTTAAGCATTTTATTACTTGAGTAAAGTCTAACAATCAGAAGGACTTATTGAGGAAGCAGTTGCAACACAAAATATGATTTTATAAAATTTCGACATTGCTGATCTCCATATTAAAGGGCAGCTAATGTTGAGTTTGGGAAATTTATATCGAATCCTACTCAAATTTTAGGAAGCAGCAGATAAGTTTTACCAGGCTCTAATTTTGTATGAGAGACTCAACTGGAAAGTACAATAGGCGGACTGTTTATTATAGTTAGGGATCGTTTATGCACTAATCAGTAGATATTCTGTGTAATTTAGATGATTATGAATCCGCTAAGTTGATTACCTATGAAGCCTTAGAAATCTACAGGGATAATATCATAGAAAATAATATTAAAGTTGGCAAGGCGTATTATGCTTTGGGAAAAATCTTCTATTATTCTAAAGCATTTGAAGTGGCTACTGAATATTTATTGAAGAGCCTTAAAATACATACTGAATTGTATTTGTTGTCTAATATTTAGTTATCAAAATGATTATGACTTTAACTTTGTTTAAATCTATAATCTACTTGGGATAGTATATCAAGTTCAACATCAACTAGAAATTGCCATAGATTACTACACTTTGGCAGTCAGATGTTATCGTGGAACCTTCGACGCCTAATTAGGATAGATATTGAATAACATAGGTGTAGCATATCTTGGTTTGAAGAAAAATGAGTTGGCAAGCGATTTTTTTAATAATGCTGATTAAGTTTACAGTATTTACTTTGAGTAAACTAACAAATTAAGAAAACGAGTCTAACTCAACCTTGAATCTGTTAAATTATGATTTTCACTACATTTTAATTAATATTGAATGTTTAATTTAAGAATTCTAAAAGGTTTTAGTCATACAATTGAATTGAGTTCTGAGCATTATCTATAGAAGTAAATTCAATCATGCCATAACTAGATATCAATCAAATTTCAAGGACATCTACAAATTATAATATCCCCCAATCCCAGGACATGCTACCATTGATGGAACAAAACAATATTCATCAAATAACAGTGAGATTCCAACATCTCATTTCAGAACAAATTATAGAAACAACTTAGTATTGTCCAGTCTTGGCATCGGATCATATTAAGGAGCTCCTGATTAAAATAATGATATCATGCTATATGGATCTATTATTGATAGTGTCTTATCAGGGGGAATAAATGTGATTGACACTGCAATTAATTATAGATACATGAAATCAGAAAGAGTGATTGGAGCTGCAATTAGAGCCTTGAATATCTCCAGAGATTAATTATTTATATCAAGCAAGGGAGGCTATATTCCTGCTGATGGAGATAGAGGTATTCAAGAGACATAAATGATAAGAGAACTTATCAATAAAAATCTTATTACGTAAGATGATGTAGTTGGAGCATGTCATTGTATGCATCCTAAGTTTTTAGAAATGTAATTGGAAGTAATTGATATGTTAATTTTAGTAAACATTGAATCATTTAGGGTTAGAAACATTAGATCTATTGTATTTACATAATGCTGCTGAGAGTCAATTACCATTTTTGGGATATGACAAATTTTATGATAGAGTTGCCAAAGCCTTTGAATAATACGAAAAGAGCGTTTAGAATGGTAAAATTAAAAGATATGGAATGGCTACATGGGTTTGTTTTAGGGCTAGACCAGATGAAGATAGAATTCATGTTCCTTTAGAGAAGATTGTCGAAATTGCAGAAAAAGTAGGTGGAAAAGATCATCATTTTGAATATGTTTAAATGCCTATCAATGCTATGATGCCTGAAGCTTTTTCTTAAGAATGGCAACCATTTAAAGGGGAAAACACTTAAATCTTAACTGTTGCAAGATAATTGAAAGTAAATCTCGTCATCTCATCACCTTTGATGGGTGGTACACTTATGTAAGTTCCATTGCCATCAGATATATTTAAATGCTAATTCTTAGGAGCAAAACACTTACAATTTTTGAGATCCATTCCTGCTGAATCAATTAAAAGTATAAAAACTTATTCTAATTTAATAGCAATTTTAATAGGATAAAAAGCCAATCGTCATACAAAGTAAAACTTAGAGGTCATCAGAGTACCGCCCTTGACAGCAGATGAATTTTGGTCATTCTTTTAACCATTAAAAAGAAAATAAGTCCCTGATGATGAACTTGATATGCAATGAATAATTTGTTGTTGTTATATAAAATATTGTTAACTTATACTCAATTTTCAGTACCAACCTTTTTCATCATCACTCAAATATTCCATCCTTATGTATTATTCCTGTATTAGAGTCCCTTCAATCATACTTGGAATGTAAGGCAACTCTTTTTTTTTTAACTTTAATTCAGCCCACTCTATCTCTTAAAACCATGGATGCGCTTAAATTTCTTTGAAGTCATTCGAGAAGCCAATTCTTTAAGAAGAATCTTACTAGAGTAATCTTGAAATGAGATCTTTGCATTCATTAGATATGAGGATTCCTTTTGGAAAATGTAATTCTCCTTAGCAAATCAATTTAATTGCAACATCTTGGTTTGCGTTGTAAAATGGAGATATCCCGATGAGCAATTCATAAAGCAATATTCCCATACTATACCAATCTGACATTCTGGTTAGGTCTCCGAATCTCAAATATTCTGGAGATGCATATTCAACAGAAAAATTAATGTTTTACTATTTTTTACATTCTTAATAGACTCTCAATTTACCATAACCAAAATCTGTTAAGTATATGTATCCTTATTCATCGATCAGTATATTTTCAGGTTTTATATCTCCATAAGTGATACCTTTTTCGTGCACACTCTATAATGCCATGCCAACTTAAGCAATCATATATTTTGTTTAAATCTCTGTAAAAGAACCAATATTTTATAGATGTGCAAAGAGATCTCCTCCTTTCACAAACTTAAAAAAAAAGTGAATTAAGTCGGTTTGTCTTATGCATAATTCTAGTTATTCGACGAAGGGTTCAACTTCATAATTTTTAAGAAAGAATTCCATTAAATCGACATCAATATCGCAAGATCGAATTGTTTTCAAAACCAGAACTTTTTGACGATCATTTTTTTGAGTCAATAAAAAGATTTTGTTTAATGAGCCAGAGCTGATGATTGTATTTTTTTGAAAATCTTCTAATTTAACCCTAAATTTCATTTTATCATTTATAAAGAGTACTGTAATTTTGTGATTGGGATTCAAACTTTTTGTAGGCTGATTTAACATGTTAATATATTGCAATTGGAAATCATGAGGGTATAGAAATAATAATTTGGTTTTAGGATGCAATGCAACTTATTTTTAAAGGTCAGTAGTTTTTTAATGCAAACAAAATTATTAGAGATCCTCCTAATCAACCAAATACAGTTTCAAACCATCCTTATTGTTTAACTTTAGTGATATGGATAAGTAAAATAAAATGATATCTCTATTCTCCTGCGATTTATAGCGATAATCAGTTTCTTAGGGCACATGCAAAATAAATTCAAAACTTGACCTGGAGACAGTAACCCCAAAAATCTTTTGAATTTATATCTTCCGTTTAATTGATTTTTTATCAATATTATATAAATTTTCACTTGTAACCACAATAGTTCTTTATTATTCTGTATTTCGCTTATTAATTTTTCCAATATTTCTTGATATCAAAATTAATTCAGATTGTCCTGCCTACTTCTTAAAGGATTTCTCTTAATCAATATTTAGAGAATCTGAAGGTTGAATTTTTAACTCATTTAAATATTGCTTCAATATTTGTTCTGAGTGCATAAAAATATATATTATTAATTTTATTATAGAATTATTAATATATATACTAATCATCTTCTTCCAATAGGGCCAGCACTATTTTGTCTCCTCATCCCAGAGGGCATACCAGCAACCAAATTGTATTAATTCTGCTATTAGCTTCGTCTTGGAGAAGAATCTCTTGGAGTAATCTATTATTATTGTTAATATGGAACATTGGAATATCTAATATTAAATTTTAATAATTACTATTAGGGTCCAAGTAATCTCTATTCCTTTTATTATACTTTGCTATATAGTTATTAAGGAGTCTGAGCTTGTTATGGCTTTGGTGGTTGAGCCATGGGAGGTTTTAAAAGAGGAGGCTTGTTGACTTATTAGGATTATGGTTAGGGTGGTTTTTGCATTTGCTAAGGAGGCTTTATATCTTCTGGTTGTTTTCTTATAGGTTAAGGAGTTTGGCTGATATCAGTATTTACTCTGATTCCAGATTGTGAATTTGATCTTTTGATTTTATTCTCATAATTAGCTTTAGGAAGATTGCCTTTCAATTATTTTAGATTGTATGGCAATTTAATGGTTTGCAAGAGCTTAGCCATTTTCTTGCCTCCGACTTCTTCCTCAACTAATAAAGCACCACTCTTTTTTATAACTAAAGGGTTTTTGAGAATGGTGTCACAACTAGGTCTACTACGAGGATTGACTTGCAACAGCAACTTAATGACTTCAGATAAATCTTTGCTGTATTTGCCTGGAATTGGATCATAAACACCAGTCTGAATTCTTCTGCTAAGAGATTGAAGATCGGCTGCTCTGAATGGAGGTTGCTAGGCTGCTAATTCGTAGATGATGCAACCAATAGACCAGATATCGCATGGCCAAGAATACTGCTCTCCCTTCCATACTTCAGGAGATGCATAATCTAATTAGGCTGAGGATTATTATCATACATGGGGTTCCTGCTTACGTACGAGCGTTGGCTCCATGAGTGACTTTGCTGATATTAAGATCTCCGATTTTATATATGTTTCCTTCCGGAGATTTACCGATAAAGACATTCGCCAATTTTAAATCTCGATGCAGGATGTTGTTGTCATGCAACATTTTAACTCCTATAGTTATTTAAGTTAAGACTTTCCATATTTCAGCTTCTTCCACTCCTCCTTTGATCTTGCCTTGCTTCAACAAACTATTTAGGTCTCCGCCAGATGCAAATTCCATTATTACATACAGCGTTTTCCCTTCAGAATCTAGAAAGGAGTCCTTGAATTCAACGATATAAGGAGAATCCAGTGAAGCCAGTATACGAATTTCATTTAAGGCGTTCTCTCGCTCCTTATAAGATTGTTAAGATATATTGACTTTTTTCATAGCGTAATATTGACCATCTGATTTCCTTTAGACCTACAAAAACTCATCTTATATACCTTGTACACAGAAGAGAAGGAGCCTTCTCCTAGTTTCTCGAGGACATTGAAATCTTAAATGGTACTACCTTGTCCTTATTATAACATTAATAAATTAATGGAATTAAATTTTATGATTTTTCCTGTGCCCAAAAATACTTATCGAGAAGGAGATCTCAAGGTTGTTTTAATGTCTTATTTCCTAGGAACTAATCAAAATTCCATATTACGAAGACATATTTAGATTTCAACTCACCTCTCCCAAAACCAAAATCTAGTTTCATAAAATAGATCCTTTTAAACCTCCAGATGAAATCCCTCACGTAAGCCAATCTCATTTTATATATAAATCTATAGGATGTAAGTACTCAATCCATTTATGATGATCATGTTGATGAATTGCCAAGTTAAAGAATACCTCGCATCTCCTAAACAACTACCCTCAAACCCAAAAATCAAATGTAATATTCTCTCATAAATTGTAGAAGTGGGTTGAGATTGTCCCTGTCCCCTCGAGTCACATATAACAATGAATTAGCTACCACTCTAACAAATAGGAACTGTAAATATACAAAAGAGATTCCCTGCTTGTATTTGAAATCGTACACTCTGACCAAAAGAACTATTATTTACTTTCATGCCAATTGCGAGGATCTCAAGTCTTCTTACAATCTATTGGACTTTCTTCGACATAACATGAGAATGAACATCTTAGCAGTTGAATATCCAGGCTATGGAATTTATTAAGGCGAACCCACCGAAGAAATGATACTAAAAGATGCAGAATATATTTACTAGTATATAGCCTTTCATTCCGGCGTAGAAGAACAGAATATAATATTAATGGGAAGATCTATAGGGACTGGAGTTGCATGTCATGTCGCATCAATTTTTAAACCAGCTATTTTAGTTTTGATCTCTCCATTCTTATCCATACAAGAAATCGTCTAAGAAAAGTATCCTTTATTAAGGAAGATGCTCAAGGAAAGATTCTCAAACAAGGACAAAATGCAAAAAGTAAAATCCCCTCTCTACATTCTGCATGGACTCAAAGATTCTATCGTTTCAGTAGAACAAGCCAGGAAACTTTATGGTATGATTCTCTTCTTTCATTTTTAAATAGAATTATGCAAAAGTCCAAGTTTAATTAGAACACCCCCTGAAATGACTCATACTAGATTTCAATTTGAATAAGACTTATCCTTACCTCTTCTAGGGTTCATGAGATAATTGAATATACTTTGATATGTCCATATAATAGCATTTTCTCTATTTTTAACATAAATTAAAATATGATTAGACTTTAGCAAGTATACACTCAAATTTCAGAAATAGCTGGGGACAAAAGGACAATCAATTTAGCAGGAATATTGATCATGCCCTATCTAACACTAGAAAACAAAATATAAATATAAATTAGACTGATTGAAGAAATATGGATGAGGATATAGAGATACGAAGGTTATTTTAGAACAAAGATGGATCAGCCAGATTTAACAGGAAATAAATAAATAAGTTTCTAATAAAAAAAATGATGATGTTAAAGAGTAATGCATAATAAAGAAAGATAATGATAGTCTCCATATAGGTCAAGAATGAAGTAGATAGAAAGAATATGACAGCATTAGTAAAGGCCGTAATCATATGTAAAGATTCTAAAAAGAGTTATCTAGTTATGGAGTAGTCTGCATGAACCTGAAACTGTGGAATTCTCTGTACTAGGAGATTCTTGAGCATCAGGTATGGATAAAATTAGACATGTGAATATCGAAGATATCGTTCTTTCAGTTAAAGTAGTAACACCAATTAGACAATAGTCTTAATGTTGGGATTATGATAGAATTAACAGTGGGCCTGATCTAAATTAAATTATATAATTTAGGTTCATAAGGTACATTAAGCGTTATCACTGAAGTAGTCATTAGAATAAATAATTTTCAGAGAGTTACAAGCATAAATCTATCTTATTTCCTAATTTTGCTTTTGGCACTGTATTAATATATCGATTATCTAGAGGTAAAGCTTAGCTTGGATCTGTGAGATTAGTTGATATAATCATTTCTAATTGGTAGATATTATGGATAAAATTAAACAATATTTTATCACTCAATTTATGTGATTTGATCTAAATTAAATATGTTTGGTTACTGTTGTTTTGAGAGCACTAAAGAAGAGTGAAGAAAGTGTTTGAGTTGACTAAATTTTATAAAGGGTTTAGAACAGGAGCTGATACGAGGAGAGAGGATATCTCTTAACAGCATATTTACTATTTAGGAGATTTCTATGTGTTTTAATTTATAGCTAAATCTTTTGAGACTGTTGTTGGATGGATAAATTGTGCCTAGTATCTTTGAAATTTAATATGACTTAAGTATATTTAGATTTAAAGAAGGATTGTGAAAAATAATCAACAGCTGAAGTGGAGAAGGAACTAAATCTAGTGCTACAATTTATGTTTATTTCTATTCGAATATAAGGGAACTGATAGCCCTGTGTAATGCTACTTTGAAAATGAAGATGTTGTGAGGGAGGAGTTAATAAAAAATGGAGGGTTTATCTCTCATCGCGATGGATTTGTTGGAAATAGTGATATTAGTAGGAGTTGGCTTATTGAGAAAGTAATTTATGCAGGAGTCATTTGGAGACATAGAGGTTGAGATTTCAAGGAGAGTAGAGTAAGAGATTGATCCAAATAATATGTTTGGGAATCAGAATTTAATATGAAAATGAGATATCATTGTTTTATATGCATAAATATATATTTAAAACTAACAGTTAAAGAATTTGAATTCAATTAATTTAAATATAAATTTTTTAAGCCAATGAACAAGTCTGATACTATTCACAATTAGGAAAATATTGATCCAAACATCATCCGTAACTCCTCTTCATAACAAAAGAAGATTCCTAGAAGTTCAGGATAAAAAACACCTTGGAGTGCAAAGTATCATTGACCTATTATTCTTTAAAGCACTGGAGAAATTAGCCATTCTACCAATGATGACATAGAGATATCATGTTTTTAAGTAGGACCAGTCAAAACGACTCAATTATCCCCTAATTAAGCCATCGTATGTTAATCTAGATTAGAGTAATATTTGACTTCGAATAATGTTCCTGATATACTTTCCTATTTAGATGAATTTGAAGATCTTGATTGGGTCAAGTCCAATTATATTACTCACATTATTGAGATGATAGTGAAATAAGAGAAGGAATATTTGAAATAGAGGATTGTTGGATTAACAGCTATATTAACAAGTAAGAATTATTTGCTCACTCGATAAATCATTAAGATGATATTTAGTGTGTCATCTAGAATTGGAGCTTAAGAAGGCTATTATGCTCTTTATGAAATAGATAACTTGTTAGAATAAATGATATAAAAAGAGGAATTGTAATAATATCATTAAATTTAATATTTTCCATTGATATTATATTGCTATGCTCATTAATTATTGTATTGGGGTTTAGTAGCAGAATGCTGGGACCTATTGAAATTCAAGTTAAGCAAGGAGATTAATGAATCAATCAAAGACGAATTCGAGAAAACAGCATAAAAGATATGTGACATGCTTTTAAGATAATTAATTGAATTAAGCAATTCAAACAATCATTGGGTGAAGATGTTCAATGAAGTTTTGAATGAAGGTGTCATTAATTTGCATCCATCTGATATCTTCTTCAATAAATTAATTGATTATGCCTTCAGAAAACAATAAGTCACAATGGCCGAATTCTTGCTTACCTTTATGAGAGACAATGCTAAGATTCAACCAACGATTGTCACTATTAACACAATGATTGACTAGTATTTCAAGAATAATCAGAAAGACAAAGCTTGGAAAACCTTTGAGGATCTCAAACTCACATCCACCAAACCTGATAATTTCACATATACTACTTTAATCAATGGTTTAAAGAATTCTGATAATATGGATCTCAGATTAGCATTCTAATTATTTGAAGAGTATAAGCAATTCAATCAACCTGATCAAATCATCTACAATTGTTTATTAGATGCTTGTATAAATGCTGGTGATTTGAATAGAGGATTTTAATTGCTGAATGAGATGAAGCAATCATAATCAATTTAATTAGATGAAATCACTTATAATACATTGATTAAGGGATGTGGAAGAAAGAAGAGATTAAATGAAGCCATTAATTTATTTGAAGAGATGAAATAAATTGGTATCAAACCCAATAGAATAAGTTTCAACTCCTTGCTTGATTCTTGTGTGAAATGCAACAAGATGAATGTTGCTTGGAGGTACTTTGAAGAAATGAGAAAGTAATACGGCATCTTCCCAGACAATTTCACATACAGCATTTTAGTTAATGGCATAAAAACTAATCATTCAAATAGAGACGAATTACTAAGAGCCATTTCCTTATTGGAATAAATTCAAGAAACTGGTCAATTCAAACCAGATGAGATTCTCTATAATTCATTAATTGATGCTTGTGTTAAATTCAATGAGATCTAAAAAGGAATGCAATTATTCAAAGAAATGAAGAATAAATCAATTGAACCATCCTCAGTAACATATGGTATTCTGATTAAGGCCTATGGTAAGATGAATGATTTGAATGGAGCATTCAGAATGTTTGAAGAGATGAAACAAAAGAAGATCCCAATCAATGATGTCACTTATGGGTGTTTGGTAGATGCTTGTGTTCGAAATGATAGATTAGATTAAGCACTTTAATTCATCGAATAAATGAAATCACAAAACCTACCAATCAATACTGTCTTATATACAACCATAATCAAAGGATTTTGTAAGTTGAATTAGACTGAAGAGGCTATGAAATATTTCAATTTAATGAAATAAACTTAAAGAACATATCCAAATCTTATAACTTATAATTCTCTATTAGATGGATTAGTTAAAAATGGATTGATGAATTAAGCTGATAAATTATTCCAAGAATTAGTAGAGTCAACAATCAAACCAGATCTGATTACTTTTAGTACGTTGTTGAAAGGACATTGCAGAAGAGGTAACATGAAGAGATTAAATGAAACCGTATAGACTATGTTACACTATCAGATCAATCCAGATGAATCACTATTACAATTGATTCTAGAATCTTGCTTAAATTAATAATAGTATCACAATGGTGTTCAAATTTATGATTAGTTCCAACATCAAATTCCTCAATCAACACAACTTTTATTGATCATCATTAGATTACATAGTTAAGATAAGCAATTATCATCAGCAATCCCATTGTTAAATAGACTCTATCAATTGTTGGATGAAAGTAGAATACAACACTAGCAATTGGAAACCACCATCAATTCCTTATTGATCCATCCACTTGATGAGCAGACTTATCCAATAATCACCAAAATAGTCACTTTGGCATTGAAATCAGATATCAATGTGAACAATCTGGATAATCTAGTCTCTATAGACAATTCAGAGTTAATGCTCTTATTGCAGAATACCAACTAGTTACCCTGCACTAAGTTATCACAAATCCTCAATTAATTGCCAGTTCAAGATTAGTAATTGTGCAGAGCATACATTTCAAAGAATAATAAGAATGACTTGAAAGAACCTTTGAATGAGTAGTTTGGTTAAGTGTTTTTGTAGTGTAACAGTAATGGCAACAACAATCAAAACAAGAAAACCAAGCCTTAAGAGAGATCATCCCCGTTTAATAATGAGAACAAGGAGAACGTGTATCATCCAAAGAAACAATATAACAATTATGCCAAAAATGACTTGAATGAGTACTTGAACAACAAGTCATATACCAAGAGAAGATGATTAATTAATTAATATTATATAATGAGTAATGATTAACCATTTGAAGATGTCGATCAATTTCTTCATCCCCTAGCCACATAATAGACCATTCCGAATATGCTATAACAGGCTATCACATAAGACTAACTTCTAGCTTAAAATGTTCGATTATTGCAGCAATTACATGAGCAATAGAGAATGTTAAATCTGTAGAGCATCTTTACGAATAACATGCTTATGAATCCCTTGATTCAATAACAGGTGAACTAGGAAAGTAAGAAAATAAAGAAAGTCAATAAGACAATCAAAACAATACCTTCTACTACAAGTCTTAAGGATTGCGCTTAACCAATCTAGGAAATCAAAGGAAATGTGAAAAATGCCTACATCAAGAAAATCACGTCCTTGCTAAGTGTGGAAGGAGACAAGTTGCTGGATGAGGACTTACAAGAAGACTTGGATTTGGAGAGCTATTCGGAGGTGTAAGATAAAAGTAAATTGGCAGGCCTTTTGGGTTCAAACAACGATTTATTGAATAGTGAATCAAAAAACAAAAGATTGAGACAAAGTGCCAAAAATTCTAGACTTCGAAAAAAGGTTTATTTGAAATTGCTTGAAAAGAAAGTAGTTTTATTCTGTAACTATATTTAGGTTTCCGAATTGGATCAACAAATCCAAGAGTACAAAAAAACAACTAGATAATCATTTGAGTACCTGACTCAAATATTGCAATCGCATCCCATTTTAAATAGCATGATTATAGGGAATTCGGCAGCAATTGATTAAGTGTTGGAATGTTCCTCATCTGATTAAGCCCAATTGGTATTGGATTCATATTTAGTAATGAAATCATTCTATTGTGATAGATGAGATACGGTACTTGTGGGATCAAAAGGAGAGATTACGTTAAATATGCAGTTAAAAATATACAGAAGAACTTTCTCAAAGGCAATTATGGACTCCAACTTATGAGTTGGAATTAATAAATTTAAAATTGTAAAGAGTATTGTATTTATCAAATTAGATGACAGTGAATTCAATCAATATGTGGAAATCGTTAAAGAAGAGGCCAAACTTGAAGACGACAATCTTGTTTATAGTGTGCTACCTACTATCGATAAGATGCTGAACCATCGCAAAATGTCTTAATAGTATGAATGAATCTAACCCTAGATTATTACTTAAATTTAATTAGGATATCAAAAACTTAAAATTGAATTAACAAGAGATTGAGGAAACAATTAATCAGTTTACATAATCATTATCTCCCATCTAACATTTAGAATTCATAAAATAGGTGGAGAAGGTGGGGACTTTCAATCGTTTTAGTAAATGATCAATAATATATTATGTCTTATCCCAAACTTCAAGAAATATCAAAAATATTAAGTAAATTTTGATCTCATTTACTATTTTTTGTATTAAATACATATAAACAATACTACTTAAATTTAAACTTGTTTGATAATTCTGAATTATAACTTATATTACTTTTTGCAACAATGGGAATCTAAAATAGAACTATAAAAGACGCATTAAATTTTCTCGAATTATTCAAATAATTATAAAATTAATTAAAATGTCTGCAGTGGGAATTCGTGGTGAAAGAGATCAAGGTCAAGATGTGCGTACAAGTAATGTAACTGCCGTCATGGCAATTGCAAATGTTGTCAAGACAAGTCTTGGACCACAAGGACTTGATAAGATGCTCGTTGATGAGATTGGAGATGTTGTAATTACAAATGATGGAGCAACTATTCTAAAACAATTGGAAGTTGAACATCCAGCTGCCAAAGTCATTGTAGAGTTGAGTTAATTATAAGATAAAGAAGTGGGAGATGGCACCACTTCGGTTGTTGTTTTAGCAGCTGAATTACTTCGCCGCGCTAATGAATTAATTAAAATTAAAGTTCATCCCACAACAATCATATCCGGATACAAATTAGCAGCCAGACAAGCAGTAAAATACATTCAATCTCATTTGGTACACAAAATCACCGAAGACGATACTGAAATATTAATAAATGCTGCCAAAACTTCAATGAATAGTAAGGTGATTGGTCCAGAAAGTCACATCTTTGCTAAGTTGGCCGTAGATGCAGTTAGATTGGTCAAGACCTAAGGTTTGGTCTCTGGTAAGGCTAAGTATCCAATTCAATCCATTAACGTCGTAAAAAGCCATGGTTAATCATTAAATTAATCTGAATTAGTAAAGGGATATGTTATTTAATTATAAAGAGCATCATAATAAATGGTAACAAAAGTTAAGAATGCTAAAATTGCCTGTTTAGATATAAATTTGAATAAATTTAAGATGTAAATGGGAGTTTAAATATTGGTTGATGATCCCAACAATTTAGAGAAAATCAGAAAGAAGGAAATGGATGTTTTGAAAGAGAGAATTCAATTGTTGTTATAAGCAGGAGCTAATGTTATTTTGACTTCAAAGGGAATGGACGACTTGGCCAATAAATATTTAGTTGAAGCAGGTGCAATAGGTTTAAGAAGAGTTCCTAAGGATCATTTGAGAAGAATCGCCAAAGCTGCAGGTGCTAAAGTAGTGACAACATTTGCCAACGAGGAATCTGGAGAGTCATTTGATCCCACTTGTTTGGGAGAGGCTGAGGTAATAGAAGACAATACAATTTTAGGAAGTTTATGAGGAAGCCATTGGAGACAATGATTACATATTCTTCAAGGGAATGAAGAAGGAATAATCAGCAAGTATCATTGTGAGAGGTGCCAATGAATTGATGACTGATGAAATTGAGAGATCATTACATGACTCTTTGTGTGTTGTGAAGAGAACTTTGGAATCAGGTTCTGTTGTTGCTGGTGGTGGAGCAGTTGAAATGGCATTGAGCATTTATTTGGATGACTATTCAAGAAAGTTGGATTCCAATGAGCAGATTGCTATTGCTGAATTTGCAGAAGCCTTGACTTCAATTCCAAAGATCTTGGCCACAAATGCAGCAAAGGATTCCATTGATTTAATCAGTAAATTGAGGGTTTTACACAGTAAGTCGCAATCATTGGAGGTCGATGAGAAGGGATACAAGTTTAGTGGTTTGGATTTGGTTAAAGGGGAAGTGAGACACAATCTTAGACATGGAGTGCTTGAACCAACAGTCAGTAAAATAAAAGCATTAAAGTAATTATTATTGGAAGTAATTGAATAGATTTGCAACAGAGGCTGCTATAACGATTTTGAGAATTGATGATATGATTAAGTTGGAACCAAAGAAGGAGCAAATGCCAGGAAGACATTGAGTTGTGAAAATGAATTATAATATACAATAAAGAAATAGAGATAAGATTTTATGAAATTCTTTTAGTATAAGTGCGATTGCGATATTCATAAATTTTAACAAATTAATATCTATGTCATCTGACTAATAAGGAGATTAAAAACCCTTAATGCAGCCATTTTCAGTTTTGGAGCCTGAAGGCAAGAAGGAATCGGCCTATAACAGTTCCAAATATGAAGGGTATGAATCATTTATAAGAATCCTTTAGTAAATGTGTCGATCCTAGGTTGATGACATTTTGCATCACTAATTTTGTAATCAATGTGGGAATTTCACAAATCGCTCCATTTTATCCTGGGTTGGCTGCAGATAAAGCGGGTCTGTCATATTCACAAATCGGATTGGTGTTTAGTATCAACCCTTTGGGCTCAATCCTTTTTAGTTTCGTAATAGGAAGTTTTATTTAAGTTTGGGGTATTGCATTTGAATAAATTTAGGTCGAAAGAAATGCCTAATGATAGCTTTGGTGGTACAATCATCAGTTTAAATCCTATTCGGATGCCTCAATTTCATGACTGACAATAAGGCCTTATTCTTTTCAATGTCCCTCATATCCCGATTTTTCCAAGGCATGAGTAGATCTGTCTATTCAACTGTGACATTCGCTTACGTTCCAATATTTTGGCCAGGGGAATTTTAGAAAAAATTGGCAATTATGGAAACTATGACAGCGTAAAGATATTTTATAAAACTATATAGATTGGGATTATTGTTTGGTCCTATGATTGGCAGTGTTTTGAACTATGCATTCGGTTATTCCATTCCATTCTTCGTGATTGCCATATTTTTCCTTTGTGCCGAAGTTCCAACATATACACAATTACCACCTGACAGTACCATGAAGAGTTTTGAGAAGAAGAAGAAGCTCCCCATTGGAAAAGCATTTACTTCGATCAAGGTTATAGTAACAATAATGAATGTCATGTCCATCACTGCAGGTTATACTTACTTTAATCCATTCTTTGTAAATCACATGTAATCCTTCGGACTTTCTGAAAATGTTGCTGCCTTCATCCTAACAATTCCAGCTATTTTCTATATTGGTATGGTTAACATTATCCCCAAAATCGGAAAATATGTTAAGAAGACTTTCATGATGTCTTTGGCCTTAGTAGTATGCTTTAGTGGAAACATGTTGGAAGCTCCGTTTTGGGGAGAAGGCAATACACTAGCAAGTGTTATTATTGGATTGATATTGGTGGGTGTTTCACAATCATTTTCTATGATTCCCAGCATTCCATAAATCAGTGAATTTTTAGCTCCGGTTGTGACCGATCCATAATTCAAGTATATTTGATATTTATATATTAGAAATAACTTAACTGATATGGCATCGGCCTTATTTATCATGTCAATGGGTTGTGGTTCATTAGTAGGACCATTGTTGGGAGGATCAGTGTATGACGGATTTGGTGGTAATGTTAACCTCTCTGGCTCACCACCTCAAGAGTTGATCGATTAAGAAAGGGAAGCCTTCAGAGGAGCTATGATTTGCTTAGGATTGTGGTAATTGATTGCAGCAACATTGTTCTTCTTCTTTGGGGATGGATACAAGGGCTGGAGTGATTGTTGCAGAACTTGTTCTACCGGATAATAACTACCTTAAGATGAGGGACAACAGTTGACTAAACCCTTAAATGATGACACCTCAGATGATGTGATGAGTGATAATGATACGTTGTCTTCAGAAGCATCTGTCGGAAATGATAATGATTTGTTATAAGGACCTCCAAAAAAAACAATAACAATAAGAAAAGAAGCTTTATGAATTTGTACATTTAAAATTATTATATATATCAATTTTTAACTTCTTCTATAGGTACAATTGTTCCGAATCTGGAAACTTATTCCTTACCATTTAAAAGGTTGTTCAAGAATCTATCTACATTTGCTGAAGTCAAAGAACCTCTCATCTTGGAAAACAATTGTTTCTTTGGACTCAAAGCCAAAACCGAAGGATAACTATTAATAATCATAATAATATATACCCAGCTCCTGACAATCCAAATTGTTCTTCCAATTCATATTGATCTCCTGCTTAAGACCAGAAGTGAACCAAGGGCTTGGATTTCAATGGTTTCACAGTCTCCTTATAGGTATTCAAATATGCATCTCTGCATTCCTAATCGCAATCATAGATGTGTGGAACAAATAATAGAACACATAAGCCAGTGGATTTCAAACAGTTGTCTGTGAATTATTGTTAGTTGACCAATTGTTCAAAGAAGAGAGGCTTTAATTTTCTATTAGTTTCTCGAGCATAACTGAGAAGAGTATTGTAGTCTCTGGCTCCATCGAAACTTTCAAAATCACCATCTACTTTCTCTCCTGCTCCAAAGAATCTAATGGTTGGGAATCCCTCCACCTTATATTTGCCCTTAGCCTTTGATCCTTCGACACTGGCATCGATCTTGGCTACTTTTACTTCACCTTTGAGAGCTGTTGCCAATTTAGCCCATTCTGGTGCCAATTTCTTACTAAAATCATTAAATTTAGATTCGATACCAATGACCACACCAAGGAGCATAAAACTCGACAAACCAAGCTTCTTTACTATTGAGAATGGTTTCATCAAGATTGTCGTCTGTCAATACGATAACATCACTTTCATCTATCTATGGTTCTGGGGTCTTCTCTCCTTATTTCTTTGGCACTTTACCGACTCTCTTGAAGGCAAACTAAGGGTGATTACAACTTCATTATACATCTCTGACTTAATCAAAAGCAAAATTGACAATTTCTTAGGCTTCCCACTCTCCTGGATATTCGATTGCTTATCCATTTGAATAAACTCTTAAGATTGTGCTAGCTCCATTTGAAAGGGCTCCGACATTAATCATTCCCTTGAGGGCTTCAGCAGCCAATACGACTTGGGTTCTTTGTTCTGAGCTCAAATTAGAATATTCCACTATGACCCAGAAGGTTTTCTAATCCTGCACTTTTGAATTGAAATCATCTTAAGTAAGTTCATGGACATCTGTTCCTGAGAAGTTGGCTAAAGACAGAGCAATTAGTAATGCAAAGAATATTGCTTTCATCAACGTATGATAAAAATATTATTCTAGAAAACTCTTTATATTTTAAGAATATAAACTAAATGACGTGGTCGTTAAAATATCTTCTATTTTCATATTCTAATGATCCATTGATCACTTTTAATTTAATATTCAAATATTCAACAATTACTGTCCCTCCAACATACTCATTCAAATTTATAAATGAAATTTTTTCATAGAATATTTCGAATTTAAATAACCTAAAATTTAATATATATCAAATATTTAATGAATCCTAAAACTAATTCATAACTAACTAATGCAATTCAAAAAGATCCGAAATTAAACATACGCAATTCTCATTTCTATAATTTCATCAAAAACAAAAGATTCCCATACATCAACGCTAACAAAACTATCGCTCTCATCAAAAAGAACAACCACCCACACCCTGCTCAACAAGAAATCTTCTCAAATGACAATGGTTCCCTCAACAAATTGGAAAAACCTGATGAACCCCAACAACCAAACAAGAAGATTTTATTTGAGTATTGCGTTCTCCCCAAAATAAACACCTCCTATGCCATCCAATAATAGCTCAAAGAATCCAAAGGTTTCGATGAAAGCAGTATGAATAGTATTTTTATTATGTTGAGGACAATATTCCAAGAGAAAAAGTTAGTTGCTCAAATAACTAATGCTTTTATATCAAAACGATCAAACTTTATCCAATATCACTTTAGCGTTAAAAGATTGTTCCAAAACCATCAATCCTACGCAAGGCTAAGAGAAGGAATAATCAAAAATTCTTGAACAAAGACCCTAAGGAAAGATATAGAGAAGATCTCAGGTTTTGATAGAATAGAATTTAGATATGAGCGAAGCCAGATTCTCCAATTCTAACAGTATCATTGATATCTAAAGCTTCAGCATAACAAAAAAGGAGATTGCTCAAAAGAGAAGGAGTACTTGTGGAAGACTTAGAAAGTAAGATTATTCTGATTGAATTAAATTATAAATAAATATTAATGAATAGACTCTTGATTACAGAATTAGGTGATACCATGAGATTAGACTTGAAAAAGGAGGTTAACAAAACTCCATCGTCAAGCAAGCATATTATTAAAACCACATTTCCTGAAATCAAAAATAATATGATAACTTCTTCACTTTTTGCAGATATTGAGAAAAATGAGAATCCCTTATATTAAAAAAGCCTCTCTGATCAAGCTCTGCTAAACCTCTCAAAAATAGCCAATCTTTCTTTGTTTGGACCCAAATGCAAGGAATAATTGAAGGTACAAATCAGAGAGGATCTATAAATGAAAACCTAAAATGATTACCTAAATTAGTAACTAGAAAGATATGTAACTAGGATACTCGATGACAAAAGTAATTATTTGAGGTTTCATTCTTAGATTTGATGACCAAGCGAAAAAGGTAGCTGTTAAATGAACTAAAAAGATTAGAAGCCAAAGAGAAATTATAACAATTTAATCATATGCCTACTGATTTATCTCAATTTAGTTCTATTATTGAAGATACTGATAGGGAAACAAAATTAATGTCCATTGTTAATGCAGAAGGCAAACTATTATAATTATAGAGAAGGTATGACTAAAAATTACAGGAGGATGAAAAACTTAAACAACAAATAAAAATCAACTACAGCAAATTTAAGGATGGTTAGACAATGTAAATAGAAGCTTTGCCAGTGCTATCGAAAGATGAAATGGAAAACAATGTAAAGGACATCTTCAGCAACAGAGATTAATCTTCTCAAAGATTTCATCAAAGGATTAATGAAAAACACAAAAAATAGAAGGAATATATTTGGAAATAGCATCATTTTCCAAAAGATCACAGAAGATGGTTATCTAATTGATTAATAATTAAATTTATTGATTAAATTGAACTTAAAGACACAATAGGTTTGCCATTATAAGTAAATTTTACTATATTGTTAATATAAAATAATTCTATGTTTATTAGTTATTTTAACAAGAAATATAATTATACTTATTAAACAGTGAATTTATATTTGGTTTATTGTTTGTTTCAAAAAATCTAGTTAAATAGATTCATAATTTCAAAATTAAAAAAAATTATTATTATTCTACATGCCTTCAGGTATGAGTTATGTAAAAAGGAAGAAATAGTTATTTTTTATAGTGAATATTTAATAATTATTATAATGAATTATAGAATTGAAAAGGCTGATTTATATATTAGATAGCATAGAATAATCGAATTGTTTGAAGACTTGACAACAGCCATTTCATATGAGTAACCCGCAGACATAAAAAAGTTTTTGATTGAGTAATTGCAGTTAAAATAAAAATTCGGTTTCAAAACAGGATTATTCAAACCAGAAGAAATTGATAACATTTTTACAGTAATTTGATTTAAGCATTATTATTAATAGCTATTTGATTTGAAATAAGACGGATGGATTTCAAAAAAGCAAGCAATAGATGCCTTTAAAGTTATGGCAGCTTCCCAATATCAATTAAAGGATGAATCTATTTTTCCAGAAAAAGTAACAAAAAAGCAATTTGCAGAAATAGTTGGAGAGCATTTGGGTATAAAATGATCTATAAAATAAATATATTACAACATCTATAAATAAGAAATTTAATTATAATTAATTATGTATATCATCAGGTGAGTTGATAACCTCAATGAATAATAAGAAGTAACTTCTTTATTTCCCTTAAAATGAATAGGAGTATTACAAAAGACTTCGCACAAAAACTGATTTGGGAATTGTTATCCAGTGGTTTAATAGGATTAGAATTTTTGCTTATTTTAGTAAGTATAATATTTTAATCAAAATTTAACAGTGTCTAGCAATAAGTTATTTAGTTAGCTACCTTTATTATCTATTTTACAGATATTTTTTCAAATGAATTGTTTTAATCTATGACTTTGATTATAACTTTTAATTAAAAGATAAAAAATAAAATACGAATCCAAACAATAATACAAATACTCTACTTTCTTTAAATATAATGATAAAGCACATGATTATATTGATAAATAATGAAAACTATAATAAATTCATTAATCACGAATTTTTAATTCCAACCTGGTCAATCTTTGATCAAAGTTAGCTAAAGCTATATTTACTGTTGTTTGTAATTCTGAGAATTTTTGCATAATTGTTTTAATGTTATCATTACTTAATAAAATCACTTACATCAACTTTTGGAGATCTTGATGAGTTACACCATTTTATTGAATGTAATTATTTGGTTAAATAGGATAGATTTATGAGACTTAATTAATTTGTTGTCTGAATGCCTACAAGAATTAAATTTCATTTTAATATTCATTCTTTTAGTTGGATTGAGGAGGAGATGGCTATTGTTAAAGTTGCAGTGTGTAGTTGCATTATTAGTCTAATTCTTCGTATTATTCTTAATTGTAAGAAGACATTTTTTGAACTAATTCATTTTATTAAGTAATCTTATAAGGTTCTGGTCTTTTTGGTTATTCAATGTCTTCCTCGTCATCTTCAGTTTAGAAAATCTCTCTTTGTACAAACACTTGAGTTTTCTATTTATTATTGGACTCTTGTGATTTTTATGTGTTTTATAAGTGCGAACTATTTTCTTAGCCCTTAAATAGATTGACTTTCTTGTCCTTTTTTGTTCTCTGCAGCACTTCATTAAAAATATCATTTATTAAGATGAATTTGTGCTCTAAGTATTGTTCTGAAAGAAATTAGGCTATATTTATTGACGATTTGTAGTTGAATTCGAATTGTAGCATTTTGAATACTTGTTCTGTGAATCTTAAATCATTTTTGGATTAGAGCTCATACTCTTTATCTAATAAGGCTAACAAAAATCTAAATCAATAGGTACATTTATAAAAGCCTGAATTGTATTCAATTAATATGTAGTGGAGTATTCTCAAGAAAAAGGTTGGGTTATTATCCTAGACATAATCAAAAGTGAACTATTCCTTGTATTCAGCTTTCTTCATTGTTTTCTTAAAATTTTCATATTAATTTTAAAGATCAGAACTCATTTCAAAAATTCAAATATTTTATATTAACAAAGTTTTATCAATAAATTTTAAGTGTTTGTAATTGCACTTGATAATAATTTAGAATAGAATATAAACTCACAGAAGTTTATATTTATTGATAATGGTAAATATTAAAGTCATTGGATAAATTCTATTTTCAATTTATTAAAAACAAGTTTTATAGTCATAGGAATATAGAAAGCCTAATTTAGTTCGTAAAATAACTCAGCATTAATTTCTACAATTATTATGAATAATATATACCCATCAAAGGAATAGGATAACTAAAATAAAAAAAGTAGATAATTTTGAAAAGTTAGGTCTGTTTGAAGATCCCCAAGTTGATTGGGGAGACAGTGAAGTTGAATTTGAAGAAGATCTGGAATTTCATTTCGATTTAATTCCAATCAGATGCGAATGAAATTTGCATAAAAATAAATACATTATTAATATCCCTCAATCTTCAGTTTTACCAGAAATTGTAAGAGAACTGTACTTCCAGTGTTGTTTAGAAATGCAACTGTTTTTTGTCTTATACGTTTTATTCTATTGCTGAACTAATTGAAAAAAATATCGATAACACTATTTCTATTAAAGTAACCAATCAAAAACATATCATTAATTACTATAAGACTAGAATTAAGAAAAAATATTGAAAAGTAAATTTTGGATTCATATAAACAATTTGAATAATTGTTTCAATCAAAAAAGCAGTCAATTTCATCATCTCCATCCATATGGGGGTAATCATTATAATTGGGAATAGGGATTTCATCATAGTTTTTAATATCTTTATCCCACTCATAAGGCTTTTTGGTGATCACATACTTTTTTGCGTGTTTTCTCCTTCTTGGCAATTTTATTGTTTTTGAATTATTTGAGAGTCTAATCCTTTCTTAAACTTTTTCCTTCTTTGGTTTTTCTTCCTATTTAAACAGTGGTTGAAATGACCCTATAATTGTGACGTCGTCGCATTCAGAATTATTTACTAAATCACTAATACGATCATATTGGGAATCGTCAATTTGTTCGAGATCGTAATCTATGGAACTCTTCATTGCGGCGATTTAATTGTATAATTCCTATAGTAATTAGTCTCTTCTTTCCAAATCTTCAGTATTATCATAATATTCCAACAATTAACTGATGCCTTCTAAATCCTACATGGTGAGATCCCTATTTTCAAATTTAGTTGTTCTTCCTATGTAAGATTCCAATATTTTTGAGTCTTCAATCAATTAATCCTTATGTTCTATCATGTCCAAATATTCTTTTGCATCCTACAGTTGATTACAAGGTATGTGATGCTTATGTTTGGCAATTTCTGAAAACGGAATTCTTGCAAAAACGACACAAACTTATAAAAATATAAATAACATGTTAAAACAAAAATTATAATCTCTAATAAATATTGTCAAAATATTTATTAAAAATTAGAGTAAAGAGCTAGTATTTGTTCGATTAAACCACATAAATAATATATTAAAGTTAATCTGAATGTTATTGCAACATTTTACTACTAAATATCAAAATTATTAAAGGTTTGACTAATGAATTTAATTTATAATGATAAAATACTAAATAAATGGATAAGAATGAAAGTTTGAAGGAAGAGGAAATAAAAATAGAGAAAGTGATTCGTTTCGATAAAACTGGTTGTCCAATCGTAAAGGGGAAGAAGGCACACAAGATCACTTTTTGTGATGAGGTGATGGCTGGGAAATCCGTTCATAACATAATTTTTGTCGAATGCTACAAACAATTCAATTTGCCTTAGAACGACATAGAAGTTGCTGATGAATGCTGCATATTATTGTGAAGAACTTTGAGTGATTTTATGTATTCGTTTCTTTGATTTAATTTTAATATTCAATTCTAAGGAGTTGCTAACTCAAGAGGTCTGAACATTTCTTCTATTGTAAGGAGATTATATGATGTAATAAAACAATCTTTTTTGATGATTAAAAGGGTAAATTTATATCCATGAGAAAAATTATTAACAATTATGGAAAAAGTTTAAAGTCAAACTTAATTAACATCACATACTGCTCTGAGTCCAATAATCAAAAAGCTTAACTTAAGAACTGATAAACGAGGGTTTCTAATTCTGAAGGGATCCAAGAGTCATGGCATAACCTTTAAAGATTAGATCAAATAGGGTGAACTGCATACGATAGTAATGGTCGAAAGTTGGAAGCAATTAAATTATGATAATAAACATAAGAAAAAAGCCACAGAATGCTGTGTGATCTATTGATCAGTAAGAGCGACGTTGAAAATATTATGAAAATCGAGTTATGTAGTTTTTTTGTGTTATATCAATTTATTAACAAAATCAGTTTTTTCATCATAAAAGTGCTTCCAATTTATTAATAATTAATAAACTCATTGACTGTTATGCTTAGTAAATTCTGTCGATTACCGATGGTATTACATCTTTTTAACATTTTATGTGATAGGGTTTGAATGAATTAATACAAAGTTTGCTAGATTCTAGAATCAACGTGTCATTCAAAAATGAACACTCAATGGCCTTTAGAGGTTACACAAACTTCACTGTTCCCAATTCCTGATTGCTATGAGTACAAGTATAGATCAAATACCCTGATTCTATATCAAGAATCAAATACTAATTTTATATTCTATAAGTACATGTTATGAATCCATTATTTAAATAAACTCACAATTTAGATTTAATTCAATTTCCTAATTGATTTTGTAAGGGTTTTCAACTCTCTACTTTTGTGAATTCTTAATTAAACATTTTACAAGAACCCATAAATACACATATTTGAATTCAGACAATTTGCTATTATCAACGTATGGTTTCAAATCATCAAATTTTATTACAGGTTTAGAATCTTTAAATTTATCCCAATCAAAATGTTCAATAATATCCCAATTTGCAGCCAATCCTTCACTCAACTTTTTGTTTGTCACTTTTAAATTGGAAATCATGGATATGAGTTTATTTTTTAAGTCTTCATATAGTTATTCTACTTCTTTTAGCTCCTCATTCATCATCAATAAAATTATCAACTCCAAAACCTATTTTGAAAAAACAATCTCCTCCTTTAATTACAATAGCTACATTCATAAATACAATTTTACCTTGATTATCTGTATTGATGGAATTTGGTAATTATTTTGTTTTGCCACAAACCAGATTGATAAATATAGAAGCAATAATGTATTATGTTTTGACTAATTAAATAGATGATTAATAATTACTCTTAAAAGTTCCAGAAAATGATTTTTATAGGGATTTTCAACTTCATTGTTTTTCTTATAATCTATAAATTAATTATTTCTCTCTTCAATGTCATCAAACTCTTTTAAGAATATGCTTTAGAATTCTGCTTCCATGTTTTTTGTGTCATAAACCCACATTTGCGATTACTTCTATAATTTTTGATGTTGAATTGCATTATCAATATAAATCTGATCCTTACAAAAATACGACATTATTGAATTAACAAGAGGTAGCTTTGTGAGAAATAGATATATTGTTAATAAGCCTACTTCATAGCTAACTTTAATTGTGTTGCTTTTATTGAGCAATAGGCAATCTAGGATTGGCTAAATTAATTAATCTAAAATTAATTTCTCTAAAAATGTTGATAGAAAAGGACATTCAGTAATGAGGTCATTAAAAAACATCAGAATATCCTCAAGTTTATCCTATTAATCTTAAGAATCTAGATTTAGGGATTCTAGCAGATTTTAGATTTGTATGATATATTTGACGTACACTTAAATAAATGGGGAGGATGTAAGATAATGTTTAAATTGAATCATAATTTTAGTTTGATAGAAAATAACTGATTCTGTTTGCTTTTCGCTTTTAGGCTCAGATGACACTATAATGAATACTCTATAACAATTTACATTTTGACAAACTTAAAACAATGTTTTAAATAGTGTTCTTAACCAATTAATCAGGGTAGTTGATAAATTTCTAGGCTTACCACAATAATGGGAAGGTACAATACCTTTAATTGAAATAAAGATAAAAATTGTCTCGATTAATTCTGATAGCTATAGTTTTTAAGAAATTCACATAATAATCTACGATTTCTGGAATGCTAAAATTATAATTAAAGTTAATGAAATCATGCAAAACGGGATTACTTAATACATAATTCAGATTGAGTGGGTTTTATAGATTAGTACTATAATCAAATAACATTTTACATAATCATAGACATTCTTTCAATAATGAAAATTGTTAATTGATGGTTTGCAGACTTAAGTTTCTAGTAAAATAAGCTTAATATATTATGTTCTGCAAAATAGCTTGATAAATATTTATTAGTACTCAAACAACTCTTCTTATTAATGATCACCAAATAGAAAGTATTCTGATAATTCTTCTATGATTTATCTGTATTTATGACTCTTCTCTGGCTTTGTCAGATCTTTGTGTAACCTTTTGACCTATTGCATTACTTATATTAATAAAATTAGTATAAAACATGTATATATTATCCAATCTATTTTGGAAGAAGATAATCAATGAATAACGATATGTATCTTGAACTCGACATACATGATAAATGTACTTAGCCTATTCAAAGGAATTTTAATGAAAAGAGGGTATATTATCTCGATTTTCCAAATATATGAAGTATGTTATCATCTCATAATTGGATTGAAATAATACTTTAATAATTGTTTTTAAAGATTAGAACTGATGAATGGGGGGATTAATGATAAAATCCTGATTATTTGTTTTTTATATTTTAATTCTAAAACCTAGATGATTATAAAAATTAGCGCAGAATCTGAGCTTAGTATTAAAAGATAATAAATATTTAATTGAAATCATGTTTCTCTGTGGTGGTAAGAAACCAAAAACTTAGATGAGAACTCTAGCGCTCGAGTCCCATTTATTCACTTTAAGAAACAATACCGAGGACATTATGAAAATATTCTATAATGCAGAAAAGATGCAGTTAGAGAGTTAGGATAAGGAAATGTTAATAAAAGGGAAAAAACTGCAAGAGCTACATCAATTCAATGAGGCAACATTAGTATAATAGATTGAAGATTAAATTGTTGACATCGAGAAGGCCAAGTTAAAGAAATAAACGAAATTAGATGAAATTTATGAAATGGAAAGGGAGATCTTGTAGAATGAAATAGAGATACAAGTGATCAAGAATCTGATGAAGGATGATGAAAAGATAGTGAAAAACTTACAAAAATGTGACATCAAATTTGCTCTGGATCTTCAAGAAAAATATAGACAGAGCTTGGAGGAGATAGAGGAGGAGATGTCATAGAAACCAGTCATGAGGAGCGAGGGATCTGCTAATTTTTAGAGTCAATCACAAGCTTAGAGGAGATCTTCATCTTCCAGAGCAAAATTGTCAAATGATCAAGAATCTTGAATTAGTTTGTATGTTTTAGAACTATAGTATGTATATGCTTTGGGGATAGAAGCTATTGTTATTTGATTTGTTTTGATTAATATGAATAATAATAATAGTGTTGTTTAATTTGAAATTGATCATCCAATATCAAGATTAGTTAGATTTGAACGGGTGTTTTAAAGGACCTCGATTTGCATATTGATAGCATATGTTTTGACATCAGTAAGATTTCGAAAATTGATTTTTAGATCTATTACACAATGAATTTCAGCTATTCAATTTATTACATGTCGAAATTGGGATGTTAGAAGATACGTATACTATACTTACTAAATATCATCAGTGACATACTGTTTTGGGCAGCTACAGCTATTTTATATCTAGCTATTAAATACACTTCAATCAGACGATTCCAAAAATACAATTATACAATTTATTCACTTATAATAATACGCCTGGCTTATGCCTTCAATCTATTGGTAATGGAGGAGGGACTAACAGAAGAGGATGCAACAGATTGTAAATTTACAAGTCACGAAAAAATAAAGAAAATATTATTTTATCTCGTTGAAAACTTGTTCTATGTGATCACTGTTGGCACTGTCCATTACTTGATTTCAATTCTCACAAGTATTCCTTTAAAATGAAATTAGACATCAAGGAATAACCCAAGGATTTGCTTACTCACGACGTTAAAGAATCACTCATTATATGATTATAATCTTAATTAAAATTATTTTCAGAGATATTTTACATGTTCAAAGCTATTTCATTTATGTTTCCTCTTCCTACTCTCAATCTAACCAATAACAGAATCAAAACCTTAACGAATCTAATACAATCCAATGGTGGAACCATAGCTCTGAATCCCTAAACCCTCATGATCGTGGGTTCTGATGCTACATTAGAATCTTGTCAGAAATAGCTATAAAAAATGAATTTAGACTTTGATTAGTACAAAACGTAGTTGATTAATGCAGATTGGGTTTCTCAATCCCTACAAGCTAAGAAACTTTTAGATCTTAAGGCATTTCAATTATTTTTAGACATTGAGCAAAAAAAGCAAAATGCTAGTCCTTAAACTACAGATACGAGGATGGTGTATGTAGAGTCTTTAGCAAAGACTGTTCCAATCAAAGAAGGTGTAGATGATGAAATGGATATGGAAAGTGGAGAATACACGATTCTAAAACCTGAGTTGAGAGAAAAGTGTGACAAAAAGAGATAAGAATTTAAGAGACAAATAATTAAAGATAATAGATTCATGTTAGATTATGAATATGACAAAGATCTAGATAATTATCATCATTAAGAAGATGATGGCTACGAATTTTTATTGGACGATTTTCAAATTTTAAAGAAAGAAGAACATGATACTAATTAATAGAATAAATTTTATGGAGATGAAGATTGTTAGATTACTGAAGTTCGCAAACCTCAAATAGATGTGCTTTAGGGATTGGATATGGGAAATGCTGTTGTTAATGTAGATTAACCCTTAATTAATGCTTAATTAAAAGAGACTAAGTAATTCAATCCAGGATTCAAATAAAAGATATAGTTTTGGGAAAACAAAAAAGAGTTTTTCATTTGTGATGCTGGATTTGCACAAAAGTGTTTCAATAATCAAATTATAGAGGAATTAGAAAAGCTCCTCAAAATTTACACTAATGAAAAAGATAAAGGAAGATGCATAGCCTATAGAAAGGCTATTGGTTTCATAAAATCATTGACATTTCCTATCAGATCAAGTGAAGATGTAAAGGAAATGCCAACCATTGGAGAAAAAATTAAGAAGAAAATAGTTGAGATCATCTAAACAGGGCAGTTGCTAAAGGTTTAAAAGTTATAAGGACAAGATAAGAATATTGCCATTACTTAGTTGACTAGAGTTTGGGGCATAGGGCCAACTACTGCAGCTACTTTTTATTTTAAAGGAATAAAAACATTAGATGATTTGAAGTAGAATCAGCATTTGCTAAATAAAAACTAATAAGTGTGTCTACAATTGGTAGAAGAATTAGAATAACGTATTCCTAGAGATGAAGCTACAATCATTTATGAAATTGTAAAGAGGGAATTAGATGACTTAAGTGGAGTGCCTGGATTGTATAAGGCTACAGCTTGTGGTTCATATAGAAGAGAAAAAGAGAGTTGTGGAGACATGGATATCCTAATTACCAGATGCGATGGTAAGATTGTTGAGGGTTTTTTAATGAATTTAATTTAACGGTTGGAAGGGAAACTACTAACTCATCATCTTACATTGCCCAAGAAGGGAGAACATGATAACGAGTCTTATATGGGGATTGGAAGAATCAGTAATCAAGGGATTCATCGTAGAATAGATTTAAAATTGTATCCCAAAGAACAGTATGGTTGTGCAGTTTTGTATTTTACTGGTTCTGATCAATACAATAGAAGCATGAGGCTGTGGGCTTAAAAGATTGGATTTAGTCTTAGTGATCATGGGCTCTATCCCACTTAAAGGGGAACTCACAATAAAAAGATGTGGAAAGGAGAGGTCATTGCTTGTGAGGAGGAAATAGATGTGTATAGGATTCTTGGATTATAATACAAACCACCTAAAGAGAGATCGGTATGATTTTGATTTTGTTAATATAATTACTCTCATTATAATATACATAAACTCAATAGAACTTTATCAATTTTACTGCAGAAAATCGTATTCTATATGTGAATTCAACCGATATAAGGCATTTGGCAACAATTAAGGGTAAGAATTCTCAGATTCTTCAGACATACAAACACCAATCTTTTATTCCTCAAAAAAGGTGTTGGTATCAATTACAGAGTATGATTTTTCATAATTTATTGGAGCCATTGCACTCTCGCTTGATAAATCTTCAACTTTGACAAGAGGAGACGAGATTGTTTATTAGGTTTCCTTTTGAGAGATGACAGAAAAAACTGAAACAAGAGTCAAGAGAGCGAGACCTATTTTACCTAATCTCGAACAACGACCTAGTTGTTAGAGAATAGACAACTAGTCTCTTATTTTTGAGCTCTTATTTGTCAATTTTTAGTGTTTAGCTTGTAGCTCCTACAATTGCTTCCTCAATTCAGCATTGTAAGTTAATTCTTTTTGAGCCTAGTTTTCTAATTGTTGTAAATATTATTTCTTTCTATCTCTAGAGTTTTGTGCACTGATTCTATTTCGTATCATTTATATGGTTTTTTTATCATTCTCCCTTAATGGATCATCATCTTATTTCTTTCTCTTTATTTTCTTACTACTTTAAACTATTTCAGGTTCATCCTTGTGTTTTCTTTATTTTGCCTTCTCTCTTCTCATTGTACGCTTCAACTTCTCTACAAGTTTTTGAAAATCTTAAAAATTATTAGAATTTTCTTCTTACTTTATGGGTTGGATTTTTGCATTTCCATAAGTCCTTCTTAAGATGTTTATAGAGTCTCACTCATATACTCAAAGAATTCCTATTAACTAGTACTCATCTTGCTAAAGATATATATTAAATATTGTATTAAAAAACGATAAATTTTATTCGATAAATACCCAAACATAGTGAAATAACTGCAATAATATTACTTAATTTTTAATACAATTAAATTTACATTACATTCCCCTCCCTTCCGCTATCTAATTCATTACTTAGGTTCTGTAGGATAGTATATATACTCTTAAGCAATAGAGATGGATATACACAACTTAATCTCCTCAAATTTTTAGTTATTGACACTCTTTAGTTTTAATATGTAATTAAATTAAAGTAGCAACCAACATCGTTGTTAAATCTAAAATAATGATTTAAGAATTATAATTATGTTATTTTATTGTATAGTATTACTTGATTTGAATATAATTATTCTATTATTGAATTTTGATTTTAGAAATAAAGATTTATTCAAATCGTAGATTAATTATATGAATTCAATTTCAATACTTATATTATATTATAAGTTATGGATACATAATATTTGATTAATGTATGCTTAGGCTTTCTCAATTAAAGTAATAATTAACTAACAGAAATGTAAAGGATTATAAAAATAAGTTATATCTTAGCAAAAATATTTTTTAGATTTTTGATATTTAAAAGAGGTTCTTCTCTTATCTCTCTTTGACGGTTATTATAACCGAAATTTTTTTATTTTCAATTTTACAAATTAATTTTGTAAGTATTAATACCCTTAAATTAATATGTTGTTATGGACTATCATTATTTTCGTGATAGTGTATCAAAATTATAGGGTTTAGTATTCGAATAAGTAAAGAGTGATTATATAATTTTGATCGTTTTTAATTATTAATATTATATACATATTCAATGAAGACTCTAATACTTGCAGTAGTAATTTGTTATAGTGGCTCTTAAATGTTAAGAGGTTCCTCAAAGTCTTTAATTGAAGAAGAACAAGGTAATGATGAACGATTAATTGACAGCAATATTTCAAAGTGAATAAGAGGATTAAATGTTTTATGTTGGGAATAGTGATGTTTCAGCAGAGACTCTTTAAGGCGAGGAGAACGTAAACGCAGAAGCAAGCTTGGCAGTATTCAAAAGTGATGATACTCCTATGGTGTATGTTGAAGAGTCAACTGAATCAAGTAATTTATATTGAAAATAAATGCAAAGCCTAGAATCAAAATTTTGAGTAATAGGAATCATTGAAGATTGAGAAGGTGGATGATGAGATCTAGTATAATTTTACAATAGATAATAAAGAGCATAAGAATTGCCTGAAGCAACAAATGATTAAGCTAATTTTGTCGATAGAGCAATAGTTTTGGACCCAGAATAAGACTAATAATCCTCAGAGAATAGCTAAACTGATGTTGTTTTGAACATTGCTCCCAAGACAGAGTCATTAGGTAGTTCTGAGGCAACCAAAAAACATATTTATGTTTATAATCGTATGTCTGACTCTTAAAAACTTAGCTTTGGCTAAGAAGCCGTTTGTTGGGATTAAGTACCCACCTATGCCAGTGACAAAGGATCGTAATTATCTGTCAAACTCTGAAAGTCTGACTATCAAGTTGCCTGCATGGTCTGAGCAAAGTAATCACAGAGTTGAAGATGATTTAGAATTCTTCCAATTTATTAGACGTATTCAGCCTTATATAAAGTAGCATCTGATGTATCAGTTAATGAATATTGAAAGAATATTAATATATAATTCATTTTTTTCAAGTTGCGAAAATCTAAAAATATATTATAATAAATAATGTAATAAGAAGAGAAAAAGAAAGGGGACGGTGGGAAAATGGAGACCATAGTAAGAATACATTAAATCTGTAGAAAATTATGAATGGTTTCACCGATAAGGAATGGAATCATCTGGATAAGATAGAGAGAATTGAGCTTACACTTGAAGATTTTGGGAGAATGAATGTTGTTTAAGCATTCAAAAATTTGAAATCTTTGACACTTATAAATGTCGGGATTGCAGTAATAGAAGTATGAATTGATTTATTACACTAAAGGGATTGGATGAATTGACTAAGTTAGAGGAATTAAATTTGAATGAGAATTAAATTACAAAATTGAGTGGACTAAAAGGAATCGTTAATGTAAAATCAATATATATTTCACATAATGCAATCTAAAAAATTGAGGGATTGGAAAATCTAACTAAATTGGAGACGTTATGGCTTTGTGATAATAAAATTGATGCAATTCAAAATTTAGAGAATTTAGTTAATATGAGATAATTATGGTTAGCAGCCAATTAAATAAGTTACTTGAGAACATCACTTGATCGATTAAAGAATTTACATGATTTGAATATTAGTGGGAATAAAATATGTAGTTTTAAAGAGGCATTAAATTTAAATCGTTTACCAAACCTAAAGGTTTTAGCATTTTACGATCCTCATTTTGGTGATAATCCTATTTGCAATCTTTGTAACTATTAAACATATGTTCTTTATCATTTGAGAAACATATTCAAATTAGATACTTTGATTATTTCAGAGGAACAGAAATCTTTTGCTGAAGGAACCTTCATGAAAAAGAAAATGTACTATAATATGAGAATTAAAACTATGCAAAGGACATTTTCGACTTTGTGTAAGTTATTGAAAAAAGGAAAGAAAATTAAAACTGACTCTTTGTGTGAAGACATCTCAAATTTGAATATAAAATTAGCATAAGAAGCAGACAAAGATAGATAATAATTGTTAGAGAACAAACAAGAGGAATTTGAAAATTAGAATGATATTTATAATAGCATAAAAAAGAAAGTGTATGAATATTGCAATTAGAGCATACATAAGCTAATTACTGAATTGGAAACAGGGGGAAATATTAGACTAGAAGAAGGTAAGGCAAGTGAGAAGTGGTATGTTTCTTGCGTTGATCTTATCACTTCTAGATTTTACTCTGAAAATATGGCTAAATACGGGATTAAAGATATTTAAATCAAGAGAGTAGTCAGAATTCATAATAAATTCATTCGAAATAAGTTTGAAGAGAAAATGGAATCATTGGTTGATGTATCCAATCAAAGCCATAAAAAGTCATTGGAGTATCTCTTTTATGGAGTAGATCCTAACTTTTAATCTGAAATTTATAATGTGATTGAGGAAGGGTTCAGAGGATGTTAAGTATATAAATAATTTAAATTAAGGAATCAAAATCTATTGGATTAAGTGCATATACCCCATTAGTAAATAGTATTTTGGCAGCAGATGCTTCAAGAATCCAATATATTTTAAATGGATAAGAGCATAATCAAAAATTGAACAAGAGATTTATCAAAAGAAGGTAAAATATGCAAATATATATTCGGTCAGATTGTTTTATCAGAAGTACAATGTAATTCCTCCAGGAGTCTTACTTATTTGTAAAGTTCTTATGATTAAGTCTGTTCCAGATTCAAAGTATCCTTATTTCAATCCTGAACAACCATGGAGTGAGATGTTTTAGAAATAATCAATTGATGGAAGATAATATTAAGATGAATATACAGTTTATAGATAAATGGAGAATGATCCAAAACATAGATTATGGTTTGTGTTAGATAACAATTTAGTATTACCTGAATACTTTGTGGAATTTGAATATGTTATGTAATCACCATTACAAAATAAAGTTGCTGACTTTGGTTCCGCATTAGGTGTTCTAGAACAAGAAGATGATGATTTCATCACACCAGCTAACATTAATTCGTAGAAAGAAAACATAAATGATTTGTATAATTAGTTGGCTGATGATTTAAATACTTATTAATTCGAGAATTTAGAAGAATATCCTACTTATGAACTTAAAGCATAGGATTTGGATAGATCAGAGTGCGCCTCTCTAAAACCAGCTTTAATAAATTATTTTAAATATTGCTTAAGTAGATCAACTTTATATGAATTGAATCCAAATTTAGTTGGAACACCTGATTTAAATGAAATTCTGAAAAATTAGACTTAATTTTTAAACTTAAGTAATTGTTGTGTGCAGGATATTGCATTTATAAAAGGATAATTTCACACACTAATATTAAGTTATAATAAAATAAGTACCATTGCTGGTTTGAATGAGTTACCAAATTTGGCAAGACTAGATTTATCACATAATGAAATAAGTAATTTGAATGGATTGTAACACTTGAATAGCCTGGAAGTCTTGGATTTAACACATAACAATATCTAAGATATTGATCAGATTGCTTTACTCAAATACAATTCGTAATTAAAGTATTTGTGTGTTGTCTTTAATCCCATTAATGAATACAAAGAAACAAGAAAAGAGATTGTGATGGTTTTGAATAATCTGCAATTTTTGGATCATTTGCAAGTTACTGATGAAGACAAAGAAAAATCTAATAATCAAAAGCAATTGATTACTACAGCCATGCTCTAAACATTTAGCAAGGTCTAAATGGATTGGAAATAAAACATTCAATCAGTAATGATTACTCATTAGAAATTAAGTAGTATGAAAGGATTGGAAGGCTTGGTCCAATTGAGACACTTGAATTTGGGTCACAATAAAATTACTTAAATTACTTCAATATAGGATTCTGTGCTCTTGGAAGAATTAAACTTAGAAAAGAATTCTATCATTCAAATTTAAGAGTTAGATAATATGCAATATTTAAAAAAACTGGAATTAGGAGGCAATAGAATATCAATAATTGAGGGTATTTCAAATCTGATTAACTTGATGCAATTGTCATTGGAAGATAATGCAATACTTCATCTGAGAGAGTTTCCAGATCTTAAAAGTCTAATGGAAATATATTTAGGAAATAATAATATTACAAATCAAAAGGAGATTAACAATATCAAACATCTGCAAAAACTTATTATTTTGGATCTCTCTGGAAATCCCTTTGCTCGAGACACTAATTATAGGGCTTACGTTCTCTACATTATTCCAAAACTTAAGGTTTTAGACGGCATTTCTATTGAAGCCTCTGAATAATAGATGGCAAAGAATCTTTATACTGGTAGATTGACTGAAGAGATTCTGTACTCAAGATTGTAAGGGTAACCAGCCAATAAAATAACAGAATTGTGTTTACAAAACTGTGAACTCAGAGATTTTGAGGATGTATTCAATGTGCAATAATTTCCATAATTAGTTGAATTGGATTTGAGTCATAACTTATTTACTTCTACAAAAATGCTTGGCTTTTTGCCATAATTAAAAATCTTGATCTTAGCATCTAACAAAATTGATACTCTGCTTTATCCAAATGATGTGAATTAAAAAAAAGGATTGAATGGATGTTAACAGTTATAAATTTTAGACATCTCTTAAAATTGTTTGAAGGAATTCAATGGGCTTTAATATTGTTTGCTTAAGGAATTAAAGATTATGAAATGCGAAAAAAATGAAATTGTTAGGGTTGATTTCTTGGAGAACTTGAAATAGTTAAAGGAGTTAGATTTAAATTAAAATAAAGTAAGGCAATTTGATCCCCAATCTTTTGCTGGATGCAATCCTATTAGATGTTTGAAAATAGACGGAAATGGACTTAAGAATTTTTAGAATATTTAAAAATTATATAAATTATTGGTATCTGTAAATTCATTAAATTTAGCATTTATTTGCTAATTCAAATAGAATTAATGATCTACCAGACATTGAGTATTTAGTCCCATTAACATAACTTAAAGAATTGGAATTAGTTGGAAATTCTTTAAGTAGAAGACCTGGTTATAGATAGATGGTTCTAAGAAAATTGCCAACCATTTTGTATCTTGATGGCAGAGTATATAGTTTATTCTATCCTTTAGGAAGTAACCCAAGAAGAAAGAGAGAGACTAGAGTTGGTTGATCGACAAGCAGTGCTACCAACTATGTAAATTTAATAACAGCCCAATACAAAGGTACCTGTTAAATTAAGTTCAATCAATTTTGATGGAATCTTTAGTAAATGAAAATATCAATAATTTCTATTTTATAATCATTTAATTTATTATTAACTTAACTGACTTAAATAAGGATATCTTTTTATATTTGTATATTTCGATTATGATATATTTTAATTGTCCACATAAATTGATAAAAATCAATTCAAGATTTATCATACTTAATATACTTATTATTATAAGCCATTAAGGATAAAGAAATAAATATCATACTGGGTTGTTAATTGTCACTTATTAAAATTAATTTATTAATGCAAAATAAAACAGGAAAATTCAAGAAGTTCATTCATAATAATGATAAGTAAATGAATGGGTTGAAAATATAGAACAATAACAATACTCTAACAATTATAGTTGGATTATGAATGGCAATAAAATTTACTATTCCGAATTTGTTCTAAGTATTATAATAAACTTGTAATTAAATTGAAAATTAATATTAAATTGGTAGTAATTGAAAGAAAGAACTAGCAGGGAGGGTAAATATATATTGAAATAAGATTCAGATGAAAGTACTAAAAGTGTAGTTCTTAGAGAAGGATTAGGTAGATGGAGAATTTTAGACGCAAAACTAAAATTAATGGATGAGGAACAAGAGATGCAGATATCAAATAAATACATTCAGTATGTATTCGATTTACTTATTGAAATGAACGATTTAATTGAAAATATGGAAAAGGACAATTTTGTGAAAGTAAATGAAAATGACAAGCTTAGTAGTTTTATTAAGAAAAATAGCGTAAGGAGAGAATATCATGGGAGTCAAAGAATGAGCAATTAAAAGGGGAAATTTGAAGTTTGATGATTTTAGTTTTGAACTTGTACCAATAAAAGAAGAAAATTAGAAATTGAAGGAAGAAGTGAAAAATTATCAATTAGAGTATTATATTTCTTTATATATGATTAGGTAAGACAAGGTTGATTTCAGTAAGAAACTAAGAAGTGGATCATTACTTAAGATGTAACTTGATACTATTTAATCCTTTTGAATATTTTTTATTTTAATCGGAGTAGTTGATATACATTAAATTGAATATTGAGAAACCTAAGTGAATGGAAGACTATTTTTAATTAATTCTCAATAGTATATCAGATTCTATTTGTTTATTCATTTAAACTCAAACCGATAAACTGTAATAAGTTGACATATTCAATACTCATGATATCATTACTTGCTACTAATTTATACTTCTGTTTAAATTAAAAGTTAGTCAATAAATAACACAGTGTAATTTATAGAATATTTGTTTGACAAAGGGAAGTGAGATAATAAAAAAGAAAGGTTTTTATGAAATTTGATATATATATTTGATTTATGAATTCTCACTTGACGTTGACATATAATTTCTTAACTTATTCTGGTAATTCTTTGAAGAAGGGGTGTTCACATGCAGCTTTGGCTGTGATTCTTTGATCTGGATTGATTTTAAGCATTTTGACCAACAAGTCTAAACCATCTGGATCAAGTCTTGGACAAAACTTAGCAAGATTGTCAGGTTGATATTGTTCAAAGTTTTCAGGTTTCCAGCTTGGAAGATCATTCAATTTAGGATATTCCTAGAATAGTGAGAGTAATATACAATAGGTGTTGGAGTTCCCAAGACTCTGAATATCTTTTTTAATTGATCAGTTTCATTGCTTCCAGCAAAAAGAGGTTTAAGATTTGACATTTCAGCGAAGATGCAGCCTACACTCCAGATATCTATTGAGGTGTTATAGTTTTTAGAGCCCAACAAGACGTCTGGTGGTCTGTACCATAGTGTGACAACTTCATGAGTGAAACTTTTAACAGGGATTCCGCTGGCTCTGGCGAGTCCAAAATCAGCAAGTTTGAGTATTCCGTCTTTGGAGACCAAAAGATTTTGAGGTTTGAGATCACGGTGTAATATTTTTTATTAATGACATGCTTAGATTCCTCTGAGGAGTTAATAGAGGAAACTTTTGACAATCACGGGTTCCATGCCTTTCTCTTTGGGGAATTGGGCAAAGAATTTCTTAAGATCCATTTCAACATACTCAAAGACCAGTACAAGTTTCTTATTTGAATGCACAACTTCCATTAATCTAGATAGAGCAAGTATTACTTCACAATATTCGGATGATTCAACTCTTTAAGCAGAGAGATCTCTCTGATTGCTGTACTAGGAATGCCTTCCTCTTCTGACTCGAGTCTGATTTTCTTCAATGCCACATATTCACTGGTGTTGCGGTCTAATTGAATAATGTAAAATGATTCATACCTAATGCTTTATACACGATTCCGTAGGTACCCTCTCCGAGTTTCTCCTTCTTCTCGTATTTCTCCAATTTATTAGATTTCATAATATTAAAATATTAATGTACGATTTTATTTTCATTTTCAATCAAACAAACCACCCATATCAACATCCTCTTCTGGTTCTTCAGCCTTCTTGACTTCCTTGACTGGCTCAGCCTTCTTGGTCTCAGCAGCGGCAGGAGTGGATGTAGTTTAAGCTTATGGGGCACTGCTTGCACTTCCACTGCTACCATGCAACAAATCACCAACCTTTTTGCCCTTAAGTGCTTTCTCAAAAACTTTAGTCCAAATTGGTTCGACTCTCAAATTGGAAGCCTTGATGATCTTGGCTAATTTAGTGGCATCAATCTTATTATCACATTTTCAAGTACATCTTAATTGTCTTCATATAATATGAGGGCTGCGTATGTGCATGCAGCTTCAGAGGTAGCTTAATCTGCAATTGGTCTTGTGTCTTTTGCTGCTCTAGCCATTTGATTTTTTAAAATATTAATTAAAAAAAGATATACAAATTAATGCTCTTCTCAATCTCGCCTTAACCACCATTTCAAATTCATCATCGAAAACAAACCACTTTTCAAGTCATCAACATGGTTGATCACCCAATCCTCTTTAGATTCAAAAATGATATCCACATAAGAATTATGCCTTCCTATGGCATGATCGCCCCCAACGATAGAAAATTGATCTCTGTTACCAATAAAACTAGCCAATATGACACTGATGTTTAACTGGAAGCAATCAATTATGTTGAAGACTATCTTGAAATGCTCGAGTATTCCAACCCTCAATTATGGATTGAGAAATAACCCGGAGTATTACCCACTCAAACCCTCTCCATCAGAATGAACATCAATACAGATTCCTCCAGCACTCAGCAATCAGATAAAAAACAAACTTTCGAAGAAGTTATCAGATAGGATTATCTGCAAACCTAAAGATCATAGCCTACTTTTAGTAGATTCTAAGAGTAAATCGTCCATAAAAACAGTCTCGATGGCTAAGAAAGCAGGACATCAAATATCTCCAACAACAACCCCAGCATTAGTCCCATACTTTAAGATGCAAGCAGAATAAGTGCCAATATGAGTAGGGAAGTAAAATAGCCCACCTTTTTTACAGAAGCTTACGAGATTCCCCAAGAACCTAATGAGCAATTTCAAGATCGACTGGATCCAGAACAAAGCTATAATAATGAACCTTATGCATCTGGTAATTTCAAATGCATTGATGAGGAGAAGTCCAATCACGAAGTATCAGGGATAAGATCCTAAACCTCTATCGTAAAAGCGGAATAGAGTTAAATTATTACCTAGCTTAAGCAAAAAGAATAATAGATTCTCAAGTAAATAGACTAAATCAAGATAAGCAAAGACTAACTGAGTGAGGAATTAGAAAAATTAAAATTTAAAGCAATGTTTAAGAATAAAGAAAACAATAAACGTAATTGTATAATAGTAATTTTATAGAGGATTAATAAATATTAGTTGGGCATTTATTAATCGTTAGTGTAATATGTTTAATATTAGGAGCATTGCTAAAAAAGATTTAATAACTTTTTTGATACTAAATGAACAATAATCACTATATCAATACATTCCTTCCATTCCTCCCATGCCTCCCATATTTGGAGCTCCTCCTGCTTTTTCATCTTTTTTTCCTTCAACAATCATACATCTAAAATAGAATTATATTTATACTCTGTTGTTGTCATTAAACTGGCAACTGAGGCAGCATCAACAAGTGCAGTTCTGACGACTTTTGTTGGGTCAATGATACCAGCCTTGATCATATTGACATATTATGATTTTGAGGCATCATATCCTACTTCTTCATCCTTTCCTTCTAACAATTTTCCAACAACAACTGCTCCTTCTTCACCAGCATTATCAACGATGGTTCTGCATGGTAATTCAATGGCCCTCTTGACAATTTGGATACCAATGTTCTAATCGAAGTTGTCTCCCTTGAGTTTCTCTAAAACTCTGGTTGCATACAATAAGGCACATCCACCACCTAAATGTTTAATTATCATTTGTACCTACAACAATGCCCTCATCAACAGCAGCTCTGGTTGCATTGAGTGCATCTGTGATTCTGTCTTTGATTTCTCCAACTTCAACTTCTGAAGCACCACCAACTTTGATGACTCCAACTCCTCCTTATAATTTAGCCAATCTCTCCTTGAGCTTTTCTTTGTCATATTCAGAATTTGATTCTGTGATTTGAGCCTTGATGATGTCACATCTTTCATTGATGCTATCCTTGGATCCAATACCATCCATAATAATGGTATCATCTTTGGTGACAATGATTGATTTGCATTGTCCAAGAACTGTGTGATCAGACTTTTCCAATGTCAATCCAACATCTTCAGTGACGACTGTGCCTCCAGTTAAAACAGCAATATCATTTAAGATTGCCTTTCTGTTATCCTAAAATAATGAAATAAATTCATACTCCAAAAGCAGGGGCTTTGACAGCGCATACTTTGAGTCCTCCTCTTAATTTGTTAAGAATCAATTGAGCCAAGGCTTCTGATTCAACATCATCAGCAATCAGTAAAAGTGGTTTGTTTTCTCTAACAACATGTTCCAAAATTTAGAGAATGGATTGAATATTTGAGATCTTCTTGTCTGTGATCAAAATGTATGGTTTTTCGAATTCTGTCTTCTATGTCTTTGGATCTGTGGCGAAATAAGGACTGATGTATCCTCTGTCGAATTTCAAACCCTCGACAAATTCAATTTCGTGATGAAGTGTTTTACCATCAGATACTGTGATGGTTCCGTGTTCTCCTACTTTATCCATAAGTTCGGCGATCAATTTTCCGATTTCGCCGTCTCCATTTGCAGAGATTGTGGCAACATTCTCAATCATGTCCTTGGATTTAACTGGCTTTGATCTGTTCTTCAAATCCTTAACAACTGCTTCGCATGCCAAATTGATGCCTCTTCTCAAGTCCATAGGCTAAAAGAGATATATACACACAAATCATACATTGAGTCCAGCTGCGACACTCTTGACACCCTCCTTGAAGATGGCTCTAGCTAAAACTGTAGCTGTGGTTGTGCCATCACCAGCTTCATCATTAGCTTTAGATGCCACTGACTTGACCAATTGAGCTCCAATATTTTCGAATCTGTTAGAGAATTCAATAGCCTTTGCAACAGTGACGCCATCCTTAGTGATTTTGGGACTACCGAAAGCTTGATCGATGACTACATTTCTTCCTTTGGGTCCAAGGGTTGTTTGAACAGCATCAGCTAATTTGTCACAACCACGTAACATCTATTGTCTGCACTCTTGTCCAAAACTCAATTCTTTTCCTGCAAAGAAAACTGGAGTAGATACGAGGGATTTTCCCAATACTATATTGCCAAAGAGCTTTCTAGATGAAGAAATCATTAACAATTTATAGACAATTAATTTATTAGTGAAAATTACCCACAATTAAATTAAATAGTCTCTTAATAGTAAATTCTAGAAATTCTAGATTAATTTATTTATTTTTATATACTCAATATCTCTTTTTACCTCTCTGTTGTTTCTTCTCTTACCTCTATTCTTAAGCTTAGTATTCGTTATTTCCACTTTCCTCTTTGGGTACATAAATATCATACGGAGTTGCTTTCGAGTTTAAATTCTTTTTGTTTTGTTGTTGTTTATTATTATTATTCTACTTTTAATTGGTCTGTTGACCCTATTGAGTTTCTTGCTTCTCCTCATATTCCTACTAAACTTTTGGTTTGTTAGTTCCAACGTAGCCACCATCCCTATTTCTCTCCTTTTAAAGAACCCTCTTCTACTCGTTATTACCCTAAGGTCTGTCCTCTCGATCGTAGTCGTCCCTTTTATAACAATCATCATCATTCCTTGAATATTCTTAATTCTTATTTTTATTTCTATAATCTGATCTTTGTTAATTATTATTGTTGTTGTAGTTTTTTCTCTGATACTCACTATTGTTATTCTGGTAATTATTATTATCCTTAACGTATACTTTCATAGGCTTTTCAAAATAAGGACGATTGTCATTATTATTATTATTATTATTATTATTATTATTATTATTATTGTATCTGCTTCCATTATCTCTTCTAAATTGATCCTCATCATCACTGAATCCTTCCTCATTTTGTTTTTATCTATTTTATTGTTACTACTTATTTGGATTTTTTAAAATTTTTATCTGTTTATCATTATTGTTATCTAAATTCTGATAACTCATGCTATGTCCTGGATTAACCTATTATTTCCTTAAAGGTTTGGCATATCTATTGAAATGATCATTCGGAACATAGTCATCCTCCTCATCATTATCACTGCTAGTGTATTCCTTCTCAGGTCTTTGCAAGGCTTCTTGATAATCATATGTATCATCAGGCTCATCATTATAGAGCTTAGCTGTTATTTCAGCCATTTCTATCCTATCCTTTAATGGTTAATCAAATGTCAGTTTTTATTTCTTTTTTGATACTATCTCAACTAATTTTTCTTCCGATTGAACTGGCTCATCCTCTTCTTCCTAGACGTCTTATTCTTGTTCTTCAGCCTCCTATTTCTCTTAGGCCTCTATGAGATCAAGGGGCAGAGTAGATTACGCAGGATCAAAGTTTTCAAAAGCCTCCAAATTCTCTGGTTCATTATTATTAGCTTTGCCCTTGAGTCTCTCTCTCTCCTCCATTACTGTTGTCATTAGAAGGGTTACCTCTTCAATTTCCTCCTTAGGTAGATTAATCTAATTCCAAGGGGTGTTCATTAGCAATTCAATCATGTTGAACCCATTTTCATAAAGAGCTTCGAATAGAATCCATTCTTTATTTTGATTTGAACCTCCTTTTTTGGATTTAAATTTCCTTTTCATAATGCCGAAATTCTAAATCAAATAATTCATATGTTCTTGGGATTACTTAATCTGTTTGGTCACAATCAACTCTTCCAGGTATTTCATATAAATGACAAAGAAATCTATAACTCTTTACAAAGCTAGTTTAAGGAAGTGATGTAAATTTTATAAAAACTAAGGTTTCCAAACACCTGAGATTTATGTTGTGCCTCTGTTATACCCTTTAGCCAGAATCAATTCATAAAAGACTTATTCTAAACATTAAACGACCTCTGGTTTAAAAAGATATTGTTTTTATGGGAAATATTTTGCCCAAATAATAAGTGTCTCAATGGAATCTAAGGTTAAGGTGAGTAATTCCATTTTTTATTCAACGTCACTAATAATGATTTCGCTCTCATTGGCTGATTTATTATTTATTTAGAATATTTCCTCGTAGATTTTCCCCAGGACATTTTTCATAAAGGATTCTATGGTAGATTTGTAATCATCCTAATATGCTTGGTAATAGAAAACAAAAAAACATATTTTCTTAACAGCATCTACATTTATAGGACAATGAATATTACTTTCATTTTGATCAGCGTATATTGTGCAAATATCAGTCAATTTCATGACATCAAAGATCCATTTTTAGTAGACAAGATCATAGACACCAATTTGTTCAAAAAGAATTGGGTCTTCATTTTGTAAATCAATTAATCGAAGATAGATTGCCAAGACACATTTGAAAATCTCTTTGATTAGTACTCCATAATATCCTGTGAAATGTAATGGTTCCTTTAAAAAGTGTTTTCTTGGTGCATATCTCAAAAATAGGTCTAAGGAATTTTGGAGGTTTAGGTTGTAGGAGATAGTGGCCCAAAATTTACTGGGGGGATACTCCAACAGGGCTTTGTAATCTCCGAGTATTTTCTAGGCTACTTTAACATTGTCATTATTCTAATATAATGGAAAATTAGCGGTACATTGTAATCATCTCCAAGCAGACCGAAGTAATGAGTTTGATCACTCTCGTTTATGTCTTGAGAAAGAACTTTTTTGGGTTATTTTTGAGCGTGCTTCTGTTTTTTAGACATAAATTAAAATATTAAAGAATTTACGATGATGAATTCCTCAGCTGATAAAACACCATTGTTTAAATTTATCATAATTGGAGAAAGTGGTATTAATTAATAGTATTATTGAGGTGTCGGGAAGTCTTGTCTACTGTTGAGATACACAAAGGACGAATTCGTCTCTGAGTACAATGTCACAATCGGTGTGGAATTCTCTTCAAAAACAGTGGAAGTTGATTAGAATACAAAAATAAAGTTGCAGATCTGGGATACTGCTGGGTAGGAGTCATTCAGATCTATTGTGAGATCCTTTTATAGGAATGTTACTGCAGTATTTTTAGTCTATAATATCACAAGGTACATTAATATGCCTATAAAATAGACGAGAAACATTGGAGAAGTTGGATGGGTGGTTAAAGGAGGCGAAGGAGAATGCATCGCCGAATATAGTGACTGTTTTGGTTGGAGCATAAAATGATTTGGACGATCAGTACAAATTCTACATAATTTCTAGACGACAAGTTTCATATGATGAAGGAAAGTCATTCATAGACGAGAAGGGAATCAATTTATTCTTCGAAACGAGTTCCAAAAACAATCAAAATGTTGAACTGGTATTGAGTGAATTCTATAATATGCATTCACCGAAGCAGCCAAGTTGGTTTTCCTAAACTATATAAATGAAACGATACGTAAAAATGACAACAAAGCATCTATTGCATCATCCGAACACCAAGATAATCCATAATAGCAGCTACAACCACAAAAGAAAAAGAAAAACGACGACTCAGGGTGTTGTTGAGAAAAGAGTAAAAAAAACCAACAATACATATTAATATATATCTATATCTAAATTCACATTGTATGCATACTAATTTCTGAAACCTAATTTGTTTTTGGCTTTTAAAATATTGGTCGAACAAAATTCTACTCAATTCCTCCCCATAATCCCTTTTTTAGTTTGGCCTTTTATTCTCCTATGCTCTTATAATATGAAACACTAGCATCAGTCTCACTAGTTTGACTCAACATAAATTCGTTTATCTGATTCAATTCAGGATCAGCTCTCTTCATTCCAATAAGACCAATGAAACTATCCAATAAGATGGAACCGAAAATGGTTGTGATCAAGACTATCACTAAAACACACCCTTAGATTATTTCACTATTTGTTGTTTTGATGGTGATACAAAGTGCAAATGCTATTACACCTCTGATTAGACCAGAATACCAAACTACAAATAGTTCTTAAGTGTTTAATTTAAATTGTTTATTCATCAGAAAGTAACAGCATGGCAAAATAAAAACTGTAACAAATCTGGCTAAAATTACGGATAATAGCAATAATAACGAAAAGCCCCAAGGGATTTGCTTGTAATCTACTTATAATGTTGTGATTCCCAAGTATGCAAACACAAAAGCTTCAACTAAATATCCAATTGTGTCAAATGCCAATTATGTACCATGTTGTGCTTCTTCTGAAATATTTGGATAGGTGTAAACGGCCATAATAATTCCGCAACAAAATAAACTTAATATCCCACTTAGGTGCAAGGACTCAGATACTAAATATGATGCGTAACCCAATAATAATATCAAGGAAGTCTCCTTTACAGGATGGTTAATCAAAGAATCGCAATATTTAAATAACAACGACGACAGGGCACCTACTATTACACCTACGATCAGGGACATCAGTAGTAAGTAGACGAAATCAACACATAGACGCAAGGAGATGGTCATGGATAAGTTTGAAAATCCTCCATCTTCTGATAAATATTTCTTGACCGACCGAAATATTAGAATCGATACGGCATCATTAAATATGCCCTCCCCAAACAGGACTGAATTGAGTATTGGGTATTCTTTTTCTTTAATTAATGTGAGGGCAGCAACTGTGTCCTAAAGAGTAATATTGTTAACACGATTACAGTTGCACATAGAGTAGCTGTCAAAAGGAGAATCTCATCCTATCCCATTTTCTATTAGACCAAACTTGTTTCATTCATAAACAAGGCAAAAGCACTCAGTATAATGAATGTCAGGATTGTGCATATTATTCCATGATATGAGATTAGCCAAAAATTATCGAAAAAGTGGTTTCTATGCAAATTGTAACCTGCTGCGAAGATGATTGGAGGCAATAAGAAATTAAAGAACAACTCCGTGTCAAAATTAATATCCTCATTAAAAATCTACATTCACATTATCACTCATACATATTTAATGAAGAGAGCAGTGACGATGCCCATCAATATTGCGACAACTGATTCATGAAGGAACTTGATCCTTTTTACAGCAATCACGTGTGCCGTAAGAATGTAGCTCACCAATATAATTACAACAATCAAAGCTTCCACTTAAAACATAATAATATATATTAAATAAATTAAGTGGAATCGTAATACTATTGTTGATAACTAAAAATTAAATTATTTAACTTAGCAATTATTCGTAAATCTGTTCTCTAATTAGAATTACGATATAAATTGATATCTAAATTATTCTTTGGTGATAATTTTATCTTTTTATATATCTAGAAAAGTAAGTAAGATTTAGTCTTCTTTATCAAAGGCGAATAGGAATTTATTATGCATAATGATATTAGTGATATTTTCTAGATTTAGAATATATTTTAATAATGTTATTTCTTTTTTGATTTAATGAACAAATTTGAGGGAAGTCTACAACCTTATATCAGCTTGTAAGATAATACTTTTATTTATAAAGATGAATATATTTTGAATAAGAAATTAGTATAAATATAAAAATCAAATATGAGTGATTTAATGTCTCTACAATAATTAGCCTAGTTACAAAAGAATTTTATGAAAAGAAAAATCCTGATCAACTTAGAATGTACAAACTAGTATTGATAAAACTAGAAACCAAATACAAAGTCATTGAAGAAGCAGTTCAACTGTTAGAATGGAAGGTCACACCGTCAGAGATTGAATGCCATATCTTTTGGAAAGATACGTATGTAACTGATGAAGAATATCGTCGCTTATTGCCATACTAGAGAATTAATCATTTTCCAGGATCGTACATGCTCGGAAAAAAGAATGAACTTTGTCGTAATTTAAATAGGATGCGCAAAATGTTTCCTGAGGATTACGATTTCTTCCCAAGAACATGGCAATTACCTTATTAAAGCGAAGAAGTCAGATAGAAATAAGGAACAGGAATCTTTATTGTTAAACCAGAAGCAAATTGTTAAGGCCGAGGAATATTTCTAACAAAAAAACTGGATCCCTTTCTAGATAAGCACTATGTCGTATAAGAATATCTCTGCAATCCATACTTAATTGACGGCTTGAAATTCGATCTTAGGTACACATTAATTAAATATCAGAATCTATGTCCTCCTCAAGTCAATCTATCCATTGAAGGTATTTATGTATTAGGAAGGCCTTGCAAGGTTTTCAACCAAAAAATATGTAAAGCCTTAAAAGAAAAATCTAGGCAGTGTTACAATGCATCTCACCAATTATGCTATCAACAAAAGAAGCAAGGATTTCGTATTCAATAATGACACCAACAAAGATGATGTTGGTCATAAGCGCTCTTTTACATCTGTTCTTAAAGTAATCATATCATATATCCCAAGTATTTGCAAGATCAAGGTCATGATATCAAATAATTACTAAACCAAATCAAACAAGTGATAGTTAAGACTATTTAAAGCGTTTAAGGGGAATTGTCTCACCTCTATAGATCATAATAACATAATAATGATGGCATTGAACAATGCTTTGAATTATTTGGATTCGATATTCTCCTAGATTCCTCCCTTAAACCTTGGCTTCTTGAAGTCAATCATACTCCTTCATTTTCTACAGACACTCCCTTAGATAAGATCATCAAAAGAAATCTGATTATGGATACCTTAATACTCTTGGATGTCAAAAACAAACCCAAAAAGATATACTTAGAGCAAAAAAGAGCTCCGGTGTATTAAAGACCAATGAAAATGAGTTAGGAAGAAAAGGAAAAACAATCATCGAAAATGAGTCTCATTGAAGACAAACATTTAAATGGATACATCAAAATATATCCTGATGAAGTACATTTATATCTATTAACAGGAAGAATAAAGATTATTATGAATAATTTATGCCTCCAAAACCTAAAGAGAGAGACAGCCTGATTAATTAGCAGTTGGACTAAGTTAAAAATTTAGAGAAAACATTAAAAATCTAGGTTGAAGTTAAACCTCCTAAATTAAAGCCTGCTAAACGATTATCAACGAACTAATCCTTCACTGAATTGGAAGGATAATCTCTTTAGCAGTTAACAGGCAGAAATACTGTAATTCCTCAGACTAGAACTACTTCTTAATAACGTCCGTTTAGTAGCATTACAGCTATAAATAGACCTATAAGTGCTATTAGAAAGACTGTCTTTCCTAATCAACATTAAAACTTAAATACATCCTAAAATTAAAAAAGATTAGTTTATCCGCCTCCTTCTGAACTTCCTCCTAAACCTATTTATAAAATGATACCTATTAAGACATTTAGTTTCCAGAAAATTGAAAATAATCAGAAAAATGAATGAATAATATCAATGTACTATATTTATACGTTATAAATAATTAGTAGTTTTATTTATATCTATTTCTCATTAACTTGATATATCTGGAATAATGATATTAATACTTATACAATTCTGTCAGTAGTCATATGATTTATTCAGTATTTTATTATAAAAGAGTTAATTTTTGAAATATTCTCTTATTTTCTATAATATTTATTAAGCCTCCTTTTATTTCTAAAATGAAACCACGCATATAATAAATTAAATTATTCTACTGGGATGTCCATAATTTAAGTACTTAAAATTATTTACAAAAAAATAAATGATACTTAATATTATAATAATAAAAATATATACAAAATATAATTTGTAATCATGATAAATTGTTATGTGGCAAGAACAAAATAGAATCCGAAAATAGAGAGACAAGTCAATCATTAACATGCTCCTCCGGATTCCTTTTAGGGATCATTAAGTGGTTGAATTATCTTATATTATTAGATTCAAGTATATGCAATGTTGATGACACCTGTAGAGAACAACAAGCTATTGAAATTAAACAAGTGACTTTGCAGAATTTTCAGTCAAATAATATCGAAATTGTTTTACCCAAAAAGAAAGAGAAAATATTTAGTTCGAAATTAAAAACCTGCTTTGTTGATCAATAATACGAAGAAAATTTTACAGCCAATAAAATGACCACTGGAGTTTCAGAACATAAAACAAAAAACCCATTTTAAAGCACTCAATAACCAATTAGAAAATTGAGTGATATATCAAGTGTCACTGATAGGGAATCATTTTCTAGACAAAATAGTTAAATAGATTTAAATTCATAAAAAGAATCAAAGCAAAATATCAATTCAATTAAATAAGTCCCCGTTGCTAGTAAAATTGATAGATCCAAAGTTGCTGCTAGTTATAGTTAACTGGCTTCAAAGTTATATTATGCTGATTAATCTCCTTAAATCATAAATAACCCATAGAAACTATAACAGAAAGCTCTAATAGTTCACTAATCGTTGAATTAACTCAATTTCGCTCAGAGTAATTTATTGTCTTCTCCAAATAATAAAAATTGCTCACCAAAATCTTCTAATTAAAAATATGTATTGTCTGAATAAAGCGAGTGCTTTTAAGATTTCCTCAAAGATAAAAAGCAACCACAGTAATTAACGCAATAAACCTAAAGTTAATAAGACTAATCTCATCGATAAATTGAAAAAATCTTATCAGAAAACGAGATTCTTTTTAAATAAGTTAATAATGGCAAACAATAAATTTTTACTGAGGGTATCAAAAGTGAAGCAAATATAATCAGACAACCAATAATTGCATTCAAGAAGCACAACACAATCGTTAACTACAAGCATGTCATTTAGAGCATGCTTAATAATGACGTAACTAAATTCTCGATGCTAATGAAAGGTATTCATCATAATAATAGATAGATAGTAAATTTTCCTATCTAAATCAACATGACATCTTAGGTAATACGATTTTAATTACCGTAATTAAATTATATGGATTTCACAAAAAATATGACGAATTATTGAAAGAAGTTTTAAAAATGAATCCAGATCCGTTTATCAAAAATAAATTAACAGGATGGTCAGCTATGGATGAATCCCTTTCTTAAAGATCGATATATGCAACAGCCTTATTATTTCAATAATGTTATAGGATTAAGAGAAATGAGTTTTTAAACCAATTTTATTAATTGTCAACTGTATTATAATAGGTTCCCAATTTTCAATTAGATATGAATTGGAATTTTGATAGTCCCTTACCCTTCATTAAATTGTTGGCTCCGAATGACACCATTAAATTATACAAATATAAATAATAATTGAGATTGGATAGTACACTTGTAGGTTTTTCGAAATTGTAATGCAAACGAAGAAACATGTCTCTATTGTTTAAGCAAAATAAATTATATTAAATTAATAGATCGAATCAATTTTACACAGATCCATTAGAAGAATTAGATACTGAAGAGAAAAAATTAATTATCTATGATATTCTACACAGTGAACCTGTTAGTGGAGCATTGGATATAACTAGTTGCACAATCAAATAGTGTGTGGATTGGAGAGGTAGGAAGATAATTGAATAAGTAGGACAGTATTCTTGTGAGAAGTATTCATTGTTATTAGATAGAGATTTGATTTAAAGATTACATATAAAAGTTCTTATTTGAAGAAAAATAATGATACTCAAATTAAATTTGCTGTCGAGAGAGAGCTTTATGAAGAGTGGATATTAAACGATGTCTCACCCAATACAGATTTGCTATTAAATTAGAAACCGAAAGAATAGAATGAAACTCGAACAATATCCCTATGGATTTGCAAGAATCATTCACTTCAATTTAAGGATTTTGCCAACATTGTATCTCTATTGGCCAAAGGCAATCATTTAATGGAAAAGTTAAATGGGTTGTTTCAAAGACCAGAGATGCAGGAGATTATTGAATTGAATGGATTTCCAATTAAGGTACAGATACCTTTTCAATTTTCAATACACGCTACAATTTAATGCTGCAATTTTGTTTCATTAGAGAATGCTGAAGAAATGTTTAATATCCCGAATATTAAATATATGCCTAGGAAGGAGGCATAGAAAATACTTCAGACGAAAAAAAAAAGATTGTTGCTAGCGAATCTATATTTGTGATTATAATTTAATTAAAATTATAAAGTATAAAGACTTGATCCATTTCGATTTTGAGTTTTCATATTCTTTATTTATTTTTAATATTATTATAAATTAATATTTAACGTATGCATAAAACATATCAATTCGACTCAAATCAGAAACCAAAAATAAAGGACTTATGCTAGGAAGACAAAAAGAAAATAGGAAAATTGATTAAAAGATTGGCACAGGAAAGAGAAGAGAAGGAAATACTCTTAAAAAAATTAGCAGATATGCAATAATCAGAATAAAAATAATAAAGATTGCAAACTGAAATCGAAAAACTAGATGAAGAAATCTCACAATTGCAAGATCAAGAAAAGCAATCACATTATTAAACTCCATAATTGTAAACTTAAAGCAAATAAAAATTATTGTATAAATTTGAAAATGATGACGAGAACATTCATCAAAGTCCAAACTTTAAAGTCCTAAATCAAATAAATTAAGATTAAAGTTCCTCCTTTATTATACCAATTACACAAAGGGAGTCTCCAATTAAAATTGATCAATAAATATAAACTTCCATGGTCCAATAGCAAAGTTAACAATAGCCAGTAGTATAATAAAAGAAGTCATCCAAAAAGAAGAAAGAAATACTAATGAAGAAAATACAAGAATTTGAAAAAATAGTAAACAGATTGAATTTTTCAAATGAATAAGTATTAATTTTCCACTTATATAGAGTATTGAATTAACTACCAATAGAAAATCTGAAGATTAGAATTCTCAATTGAATAATACTAGCTATCTTCAGAATGTTTTTTAGAAATTATTGAACATTGAATAATAATCGCTTCCAACCTAATAGACAGTTAGATCAGAATAGTAGAGTGAGATCCAATAGAATTAATTTTAATAACCACCACAATATAATGAAGATGATCTCATTATTCAATTGTTGAATTCAGATGCTTCATCCTACAAACCAAAAAATCAAAATACTTTGAATAATACATCCAATGTATCTAGGTAAAAGTAGTAACACAGCAGAAACAATTCAACTATTCTATAAAATGAGAATTAATAGAAAAAATAAAAAATAACATTTGATTAAATCCCATCTCCTATTGTATAAGATGCATATTGCAAGAATGTTGTACAGAAATATAACACGTTATTGCAAGAATTAAATAGATAACAATGAATTTACTTGAATATTATATATCTATAATTCACAAAATTTAAAAATTATTCTTAAAATAAGAGTGTTGTTTGGAAGTTACAAAAGATCTCAAAGTCTCTGAACGATATAAGGTTTGGTTAATAATTTTTAATTGAAATGAAACAGTATTGTGATTTTTGTTTGCATTTCATTATTATAATTATTATATTCTATTGTGAAATAGGATTGGTTTTGGAAAGGAGAGTGAAGCAAAAGTATTCATAATATAGTTTGTGATACAAAAATCTCAACATTAGGGGATCACTTGCCTAATTGTAATTGCTCTAAGTATGAACCTTAAATTATAATAACTAGGTTGTCTTATTCTGAGTTAACTTCATTGACGATGTCGATTGAGAAGTTTTGATGAAATATGGAGCTATTCAAAATTGACTAAGGAATATAATATTTATTATGCTTTACTTAATAGTGTCTATTTAACTGGATATCCCATTCTTATTGGGAGGATATTTTAATTTCTCGAGGGACTGAAGTGGAGTTGGGTAACTTTTATTTGGAAGAAGCATTGCAGCATCCCATATTAATTTTATATAAAAATTTAAATATTTAGATATTAATTTTTTAATGGTGAATCTACGTCTTTAGAAACGATTGGCTTCAACTCAATTGAAGGTTGGTGTGAATAGAGTTTGGTTAGATCCAAATGAAGCAAGTGAAATTAGTCTTGCAAATTCTAGAATGTCAATTAGAAAATTGATTAAGGATGGACTCATAATGAGAAGATTGAGAACAATTCATTCTAGAGCAAGAGCAAGAAGATTCCTTGAGGCCAAGAGAAGAGGTGAGTGATTGATATTGATTACATTTTATTAGGCAGACACACAGGTACTGGTAAGAGAAGAGGTACAAGAGAGGCTAGAATGCCAACTAAGGTGCTTTGGATTCGTAGATAAAGAGTTTTGAGAAGATTGTTGAGAAAATACAGGGCTGCTAAAAAAATTGATAGACAATAGTAATATAATAGTGTATAATATCGCATAGATATCACGAATTCTATTTGGCTTCAAAGGGTAATCAATACAAAAACAAGAAAGTGCTTATTGAGGCTATCCACGAAACTAAATAAGAAAAGGTTAGAGTCGATAAGATTGAGAAGGAGTAAAACGATAGAAGAGAGAAGAATAAGGCTCAAAGAGTAAAGAAGACTCATAACAAGTTTGCAGCTGAATGATTTAAAACAAATAAAAAGTACAATAATAAACATATACATTATTCTTATTTAAGTTTGATTTCTATTTTTTTATATTAAAAAAGATTTAAATTTTTTAGGTGAATGGTATGTTAAGCAATTTAATTTAGGCTGATAACAAAGTATAACCTGCTGCATAATAAGCTAAAGGAAAGAAAGGAAAAAAGAATTAAGGAGAAGATCAACCTTAATAAGTAGTAGCCACATTGGGACCAAATGTTGCTGGAAATGAATTAGTTTTCGGAGTTGCTCATATTCTCTCAACTTGGAATGATACCTTTATCCACATTACAGATTTGACAGGCAGAGAAACACTTGCAAGAGTCACAGGAGGAATGAAAGTCAAATCAGACAGAGAGGAATCATCACCATATGCAGCAATGCAAGCAGCTAAGGATGTTTATGAGAAGTTGAAGACACTCAAAATTAATGCTTTACATATTAAATTGAGAGCTAGAGGAGGTATATCTATGTAAATAACAATAACCCTCAGGTGTTGATACCAGATAACCAGGACCAGGAGCTTAGGCTGCTCTCAGAGCTCTTGCTCGTTTGGGATTGAAGATTGGAAGAATTGAAGATGTCACTCCAATTCCAACAGATTCAACTAGAAGACCAGGAGGAAGAAGAGGAAGAAGATTATGAAAAGTAAAATTACATTACATTATTCAAACACATTAACAATCACTTTTTTAAAGCATGTTTATTTTGAGGGAATTTCGTATTAAATTTGACTATCTCGTTGAGACTATCAAATCTTTAGGTTGATGCCTTATAATTATGGTTTTTACGCCTTTAAAGGAATGTCTCCATTGATCCCTCCTATTGTTAATTAATGTATCAATATCAAATTTAGAAATTGACCCTTAATACAATAAATTGATAGTTGTCAATTATTAATTTATTTTTTTTAATCTAATCTCAAATCTCTTTCATGTTTGTAATTTCTTCCTGAATATAATTGAATACTATGATTTAATATTTTTCAATGGATTCAGTAATATTTTTGTTGTAAATATTATCTGTGTTATAAGAAAAAGAAATCAACCTTTGATAAAGCCTTTTCAATTAATTATTAATGATTAACTCTCGATATCCAAATTGTCATATAATGCATACATTTGAAAATATATTTTTGCTAACAGTAAATAATTCCTTTAATCTCTGAGTTTATCATGATTAAGTTTTACATTTACAAAATAATCCGTTAAAGAATATTAGAAGGCTCTTGCAAACAACTTAAATTAATTTGAGGAGGAGAATGATAATTATTTAAAGGTATTTTATAAGGATTCCTCAAAGAAATTTTCTTTATCTCTTAGTTTTTCAGGTATTTTGTTAATTCATAAATTTTTTTAAAGTTCTGCTTATGATTCTTAAGTTATCAAATATACATTGTTCTAAACATCTTTTACTTTTCTTGTTATCTATACTTTGGTTCAATCCTATACATTATTACAATTGGCTTGCAAAGGATTTATGTCTTCAATATTCATGATTTCCATCAATTTAGTTTTTCTTATATGCTTCTCTTTACTGAATAAAAGCAATTTACCAAAGACATCAATAATAAAACATTTATTAAGTTTCATATTTTTCTAACACTGGTAAGTCATACTATTTTAACTCCATATTTTTCATCTAATTCATCATAATTTTGATTAAATTCTTTTTATCGAAAGCCCTGAAGTGGAAACAAATCAAAAAGCAGCCTTTTTCATAATCTGTAACTTATATTAATTTATGTTAAATTCGAATACTAAATAGCAAAGCTCAATAGATATGAAGCAGAAACTATTAAATATTTTATCAGAGAAAAATAATCAAGTAACCACCTAGTAGTAAGCATGCTCAAGTTTAGATTATTATTCATTGTAAAAGAAATTATCGTAACGATCTCTCAAATTACCTGTTGAAATGACCAAATTTGAAAGGGAAAGGTGGCTTTTTGAAATGCTAACCAATTAGGATCTTACATAATAAGTATTAGTATATTGAAGAAAGTTAAGGAGAAAGAATTCAAGGAAATATATGTAAGAACAACCAAATTAATTACAAGGTATCGAAATAAAGAGATCAAAAGGAATTCAAAAAGAGAAGCGTTATAAAAAGAAATCGGTTTACTTCGACTTTTATTATAATAAAATTGATTGGAGTTTGTTATGTTATGTTCTTATAAATAAATATATTATTAATTGCAGGAATGATTTAATATCTAACAGATATTACATATATAATACAAAATTGATCAATCTTGAATGATTTTCAAATATAAAATTTTCTATAGGTGATATTATTCTAGTGTTGTTGTATGAGCATCTGAAATTGCACATCAAATTGTATTGGTTGTATATACCCTTTTTTTGAGTAGATACTATATCCTTTTAATGGTCCTGCTTATTATTATTACATAAGCATAGGCTGTTAGAAATATTAGTTCTTTGGCCTGTAAACAAATAAAAGTGGTGATTCTGAGCGTTCTGATTATGGACTCGTTATTTCAGTGCTTCTTTCATGTATGGTTTTCAAAGTGAAGTTATCCTTACGAAATTAACTAATAGCTTCAGACAATTTCAATCCTAGATTGCACCTAACAGTCACACTAACCTTTTTCTCTGGAGTTTGCACTCTCAATTGATTTAAAACTAACTCAGTAAATAACAACATCATACATTTTATATCATCTTTCAATATCTTGGCTTTCATATCATCTTCATATATTTTTTCACTGTTACTCCCTATTTCCTATTATGAGGTTGGTCTAGCACGCGGAGTATTTAGGAAAATGTTCTTGTTAATTTCTATTTTACGTTTTGATAAAAAGATTACCAATTTTAAGCTCTTTATACGATAATGGATTGGCCTGCTCTTTCACTTTGGTTATCTCTTTTTGGTCTGGAGGTTAATAGCATTTCTTGGCTGAATTGTCTGTCTTTTGTGTTTTTTGGACACTGCAATCTGAATTTGGGGAAGTGGCTGATGTGGATGAAGTATTGCTCTTTTTTAGGGAGGACATGGAAGAAACCAATAGGAAAACATCACTCGCACTTTTAGAAGGATCACTTAATAGTTTTTTCAGGGGATTCCATTTTGAGTTAAATTATTCCAATATGGGTTCTGTAAACACAGGAGTTACTTTGATTATAAATTCCAAGAAGGATTCTTTTAGTAGTGTTATTTCTTGAATCAACTCCATGAATATAAAATAATTAATGAATTAAAGGAATTGTTATTTACCTTTCCGAAATTAATAAGTTTATTCAAATAAAACTTAAGTGTGAATATTAACTAATTGGCCTTCTCAAAAGAATGACATCCACCAAATAATTAAATTAATTCAAAGCCATAAATATTGATTTAGATCGAATTAAAATCACTCATAACTTAGTCTTGGAGGTGAAAGTCAAAATTGGAATTTTTGAAAAATTAAAACCAATATAGTTACATAATTCGAAATAAGTACAATAAACATACTTGATAATAAGTTATTAAGAAACTTTTATTAATTATAACAATAATTAATAGTTATTATTAATATTAATAACTCTATCAAACAAATTCTTTGAAATCTGTCATTGCAATAAAGGCTACATCATTTTCATTGTTTTTCTTATTTTTTTTGTGTGCCTTCTGCTTCTTCTACTTCTTTTATTTCTTATTCTTGATGTGCGAAGATTGATGAATCAAAGTCTATGAAGAAGCTGTTGCACAAAGACCACTATACATTTTAGAACGGCCTAATTTGCAACTAGCTCCAACAGGTCCTGCCAAAAATGCCTATTTAGCACCAGTGTATTTCTATAAAGATTTAAATTAATCTATTTACCTCATCGAAATAACAAACTATATATTCAGAGGCATTATCTTCAGCCTTTCCGCATCCAAAGGCACTAGATCTGGCTGTGAGTAATTATTTGGCATTTTCAGGTTCTTTAAACCACTTCTCCATAACCTAATTGGTTCTCATTTGCTGATTTAAGTGTCTCTTAAAAAATAGCACTCCATAATTTTAAAACTATTCATGAAGCATAGTAATACTTAACCACAAGTGGAAGCCTTGAGAGGGCACTTTTCAACACAAGTTTAGGCCATTTTGGCATAGCCATTGCTCCAATGTAAAACATTCATATTGGAGGCTGATTAAGATCCTTCAAAGCTAATTTAACCAGTTGCAACTTGATTTCTGATTTGATTAAGTGAGTGAGCGAGCTAATTGGCCAATCCTGAATTGACTCCTTTATTATGTACATTGCAATATTGATTGGATGCGTTTACAAACAAAATTGTCAGAAACGATAAAATTATTCTCATATATTTTAATTTATGAAATTTGCTAATTTCAAATAGAAGCTTTGAAAATCCATCTATCAATTTATCGATATCAATATGGGATTGGTGAGTAAAAGCCTATAAAAATGAAAGAATGCTGTTAATTTTAATTGAAATTTCCAGGAATCAAATGAATCTTCAAATTACAATATGTATTGAAGAAGGGACTAAGGAAGATAACATAATTTAGATAGGAATCCTCAGATCTGTTATGAGAATTATAATAATTTGGACTAAGTTGTTAACATATATTGCTTAACATTTTGTAGTATTTTAAATTCTCTAATTTGAACTATGTTTAGCATTGGAGATTATTGACACTGTGGATTGGGAATTTATAAATGTGAGTAAGAGAACTTATTTAAAGCATTTTCTTCGGAGTTAGAGAGAAATTGTGAATAAAATTTTGATAGTAAAAAGTAAATTCTTGGGAGTAAGACAGAAGATATTTATCAGTTTGTTATTAGTGGAAATGAGTATCATCTCATTAGATAATTTTGATATTTGAGAAGACTGTGGATTGGGAGTGTGTTTACAGGTGTTGTGATTCAAAAGATGACATTTAATTTGGGATAAGAAACGTTAGCAAGATGTGAGGCAATAGTTGATTGTGAACAGGTAATGGGAAATTAGATTGTGGATGGGTTTGCAATCGAAGGGTCATTGAGATGAAAGAATAGTGGGGGAGGATACCCTTAACTGGAATGATAAAAATAATATAAATTAATTTAATGGGATCGATCCTCAATAAGCAAGAGGTTGCATCGAGAAAGTAATCTGAAATGCAGCAAGAACAAAAGTCCTTACACTACACTCAAGAGGTTCAGGAGAACGAATAAGCTAGAGTAGTGATTCAGACTTATCGTGACACGAAAATAAGTAGGAAGGTTCACAACTTGGATCCTGAGGTGAAATTAACATTTAGCAAGTAATTCCCTAAGAAACAGGATAATTCGAATGCTCAAGGTCAAACTAGTTCAATTCAATAGAAGGAAACATTTCAATTATCTCCGCGATCACCTGATCAGGAAAGTGATTGTGATTGGTAGGACATTTATGGAGATCAATGTTTCACATTAAGTGATGGTCATGCAGCTTAACAATGATTATTTTAATTTTTTAATTCTTTATTTCTTTTTTTATGTCAACAAGTAGAAAACTCGAAAATGAATACAATCATTGTATTTACAAAATGATGTATACTTTAGCCAAGAGATGTGTAAAGGCTATAACAGGAGGTAGAACTTAATGAGTAAAATCTAGAATCAGTTGATCATTAGAAATTCGCTGCATTGGTAGGCAAATAATTTGGCATATTAACTAAATTGGAAGAAGAGAGGACGATTCAATTTAAACTTTCGGAATCTTTGTCTGAATTATCTGAGTTACTTGGATTGTATGGTACATATTTAAAAATTAGAGAGGAAAAACATGATATCATACGAATTAGTTAATAAAAATAGAGAGTTCAAATACAATAGTAACCGAAGCTGTTAGAACATAGTAGGAAAAATTTGAATCCTGTGAAGAATGTTTCGAAATCCATTGATCAAACCACTGCCAAATAAGTGGCTATAGTAAGACCGGAATCCGATTTGAGAGATAACAAAGAGAGCAGGGACAGTTCCTATGTTAAAGAGATGAAAGAGATAAATCAAAATATTCCCAGAAATTCATTTTTTATTCAGAGACGATCAATACAAACTGAAAATGGAGCTTAGAAAACCTTGGAGTAGAAGGAGCGAGAGTTTTTGGAAAGATTCAGACAGAGATTGGAAGATCATTGATTGAATTGCTTATCTATTTAGATAGAACTATTTAATTAAATATATTCATGCTTAACCAATTAAAATAGTGTCTTCAGAGTCTTCCTAATCCTCCTCAGTTTATTCATCATAAAGCATTCCCAACATCTTCCTCTTTCGAATTATTTACCTCTCTATCGGTTAATTCTTTATTTTGAACTCCATCAATTAATCATACATGTCATAACTACAATCAATGTCCTCAGAGAGCCACTAAGAAAGAGTATTGTAAATAAGAAATACCAAAATGTTATCATTGCTAACTATGTTCAATTTAAATTTCATTTTCTGATCGTACACTCTCAAACTCTTGAACTCCTTCCAAATATTAGTCAATTTCACAGTTTCATCGCAAACATAGATGGGATCTCCTTGGAACATGCATTCAGTATACACCTTGGGACAACTCCTGTAAGTGGGATCATAGAGTTTTGCAACCTTGACGGTTAATTCAATTTGTTTAGGAAAGAAGGATTTGTCATTCAACATTTGTATTTGAAGATTGTTGCCAAACAATTAGAAAGATTCCATTCCCATTATCAACGTATCATCTTAATAAGTCCCCTTTTAGACCAGAGCTTTGAATATGGCTATTAAGTGTACTTGCTATTTCAGTATCATTAAGAGTGGTCGAACTCATGTCTTAAGCTAGAATATAGCAGATGTACACATATTAAAAGGTAGATTCGGCTTGTATGGTCAGATTTTAATTGTCAAAAGACGAGTATAATTTCAGCATAGGCTTCCTACCGCCATACTTGAAGAAACCAGCAAATCCAGAGATGAACACCGAATGCTGCATTGGAGAAGTGTAAATTTGTTCTAATGTCACTTGAGCCTTCTCTTATAATGGAAAGCATCCTGAATCATAGGTGTCTCCTCCAAAAGCATACCAAGTGTAAAGAACTGATTTAATGCAGCTTTTCGAGCAGACTACTTGGATTGTGAATCCTAATCAAATCTAGAGTCTCTATTACCTGTTGTGTTAACTTTCATTAATTCAACATGGATGTCCAAAGCGAAATCGGAGAACTGCATTTCATTGGTGTAATTACTCAAAACGAAGATTACTTATGGGACATATGCTTTGTAAACATTTAGGAATTTGATATGTGTAATTGTGTCTTTTTCACAAGCTAAACCCCCAGCTCCAATTAGTAACTACCCATTTTCTAAAATCGGGTATCCATACGCCAACATCACTAATTGAAGTAGCAAAACGTACATTAATAATTTAATAAATATTAATATTCCCCCCCAGCTTATTTATAATTATTACTCAATATATTAATTGTTAAATATTCTCTCATGCTAGCAGGAAGAGAACAAAAACCAATTCGACTTACACGAGTAATCTCACCTTCAAGCTTAGACAAATCGTAATAATCTTGAGAGCGAACAATTGCCAGATTACTTAAGAAGTTCCTTCTCTGACACCATCAAAGTGCAAGAACCCCCCAAAGCTTATAAGGGAAAGAAGATCTTGCCTTAATATGCATTTGGCAACTCTCTTGAAACCCCATCCTTCTTCCGCAATCCCAACACTTTGATTTGCAGAGATACCTATGACAATCCATTCATAAAAGCCAAGGTTAAACCACGTAGCAAATGGGAATCCTTGCATAGCAGCACTCTCAACAACTTTGAATTTTATAACGTTTCTGAACAAAAATTTACCAATCTCCCAAATTAAGGATACAAAAACGTCAAAATAGTAAAGTATTACTCCTCATCCTCCTTTTAGTACTGTAACTAATAAAGTGCATTATGTGTAGACTCCTTAGATCAAAGGAGATGAATAAACCTTTCAACTTGCCTATCGAACACTACAGAAAACAGGTCTCTTTGGTCGAAAGAATGGTAAATATCGGTTCTAGATTTTAATAGAATTGTTCACAGATTTCGTAGAAAAGAATGACAATCAAAATGTGTACGGCCATCTGAATGATCGACAACGACCCAAAGGACATTTGAGGGATGTTAAGAATTACAGTTTCACTCCATAGGAATTCCAAATTCACAAAAGAAGAGCCAGTCATTATCTGAATTCCAGTTCCAACAAAGTTTTGCAAAAATCAGATTTACCAATAGTGAATAAACATCAATAGTAAAAAGATTAACAAGTGGAAAAGTACTTTTCGAGGGATTAAATGTATAGATTCACACTGATTCTTATAGCTATCTTAATTCATTTAACAATTCTATCATTGTAACTTAAATAGACTAGCAATTGAAAGGAAAGAAGAGAGATCGATATAGGTATGTTGTTATTTATATTGATAAAGTTCTTGTTTAAAGATTTTGGATTATTAGGAAAATGAAATTGCTTCGATTGACAAATTTGAATAACATTTGGAGTTTGAAAAATTATATGGAAATTGATTAATTAATTTAAATATGAAATCTTAAATTCTCCCTGAATCTATTCACAGACATTATTTTGCCAATCATGTGAACTCCCTCAAGTCGATAAAGGCAAGAAAAAATAAGGTACAAGAAGAGTCTTTGGGCGTGATTCGTCAAGGTAAGTGAGTCTTATATCCAAAGTATCTATGATAAAGAAGATAAAGAATCAAGTGCAGGCTTTTGAATCCCTTGAGGAGAACAAAAGTATAGCCTATAGTAACCAAAAGATACGTTAGGCTATTTTGAAAATTACTAATCAAAAGCGGGCATTTCCAAAATTACCCCATTTGCGCAAAGAAAAAACAGAAGTCTCTGAGCAGATTGAGAGGGAGAATAAGAGACTGAAAAAAAGCATTGAAAATCTTTAGAACAGTCTCACCTATAGAACCAATCATTAAACCATTAAGAAATCCTATCAACAAATACTGAACTAGTATTGTTAATCGAGATTGCAGTAATAAAATGAATAATTATAATAATGATTCCGAAATTGTTAATTCTTCTATAGGACCTTTGGCTGTGAGACGAAGTACACTCAATTTCACTTTTACGAGAGAATATGATCTGTCTTCTGATTCGTTTGATAAAGCGATAGAGATCTTACAAAAGAATCTCCAATTAAATGAACAGGCAGCAAGAATATACATGCAGGACATTCTCAGAGAATTCAGGTAACCTCTTAATCTTATTTTGCTCAGTTATTTCAAGGCCCTTGAAACGCAAGAAGAATATTTTGATTATATCGAGTAGACTATTACTAGCTTGGAATATAAATAGGTCAAGAGAGGCAATATTGTATTTCATTGTGGAGAAAGAGGAGATTACTTTTATCTGATCCTGAGAGGAACTGTGATAGTGTATGTTCCAAAGAAGTATTTACTGATTTAGATATTTTAGAGAGGGCGAAATTGCATCATAGAAGGCAATTTTAATGAAAATAAATCAATGTAAGGAGGATTTGGCCATTGCAAAAAAGAAGGAGGAATAGAAGTAGTTGTAAAAGTAATTGCAAGATCTACAAACTTAATTGTAAGAATATCAAAATCCTGAAGACATCTTACTATTCCCTTTTAAGAGTAGATATTATTAGAAATTACAAAGTGGCTAAATGATATGTCTATACAAGAAAGTAAATATCATGAGAGAGGGAGAATGTTTTGGAGAGGTTTCCCTATTTCGAAACGAGCCAAGAGCAGCTACTCTGATTGCCTCTGAAACATTGCATCTAGGGGCTCTTAATAAATCTAATTATTTGAGAATATTTGAAGTCAAATTGGAGAAATTAAATTTTACACTTGGGATGCTGAGTAAGCTATTTCCTTAATCATCAAAAGAGAATGTAATTTAAATAAGCTTTGATTTTCAGAAGAAAATATACACTATAAATTAAACAATCTTTAAATAAGGGGATGTGGTGGATGGTTTATATTTGATATTTTCAGGAATTGTTGAAATTATTTCAGATAATGTTAGAGTGAATCAATTTTGTGAAGGTTAATTTGTTGGATTATTCGATTTAAAAAATCCAGGTTTAAGAACATACACCGCTATTTCTGGTTCATATGAAACTGTTATTTACTTTCTGCCAAAAAAGAATTGCACTGCATTAGATAAATTTATGAGAGAGAGAATGAATGATTTAAGAATTAGCAGTGAAACCTATCGTTAGGAATGGGTAAAGAAGTGTCATAATATGATTGCTATGTAGAAGAAGGAATCGAACAAAGCTGTCTTAAAAGGTGTTAACACCAAAGAAATTCTTCAATAATGTATACTACCTCATAGAGTCAAGACTCATTCTAATACTATCTCCAAAGATCGAATTAATGAGATTGTCGAGTATAATAACGTGCAATCTTCACTAAAAGAGAAGTTGCATAATGTTAAACTCTGTTTGCAAATGAGAGATTTTGATAAAGAGAAAGAATTGGTTGAAAAGATGATGAAACAATAACATACATTGCTTCCTCGTTTAAGAGAAAGACCCAGAAATTTAATCGAGACTTATACGGTTTTGATGTCCAAAGTTTCAAGAGCATCTCCTTAGACAATGGTTGAATCGTAAAATTATAGTGAGCATTTAACTAGAAATATTCATGTAGATAGAATGAAGTATTCCTTGTAAAAGAAAAAAAGTGAATAGATTGTGAATTAAATTATTGGATCTTGAATATAGCAATATAATATATTCTTAAGTCCCCTTATTGTTGTTGTTACAATATTCAGTTTTTATTAGCAATATTCAAACTATTATTCCGATTTGTTTGTCTTATTGAATTTCAATGAATAACTATATAAGTAACTATTGTATTCTTCTATTCTATCATCAATTGTAATTTACGATAGTCAAATGGTTAATAGAGTATTGAAAAGAAAAGTAGGAATAGTCTTTATAAATATTTGAGCTATTTTACATAAATTAATTAAATGATAGGTGGAGTGCAATCAAGACTGAGAAAATTGGACATTTATCGTAAATTGCCAACTGATTTAACAGAGCCAACTACTGCTGGTGCATTGATTTCAGTCATTAGTACCATAGTGATAGTTATCTTATTTATCACAGAATTGCAGGTAATCCTTATTAGAATATATTCTTTTTAGGCATATATTGAAGTGGATAATAGTAGTGAAATGTTTGTTGATATTAATCGTGGTGGTGAATAAATTCGGGTAAACTTGGACATTGAATTTCATAAATTTCCATGTGATATTCTATCTTTGGATGTACAAGACATTATGGGGTCTCACGTTGTTAATGTTGAGGGTAGATTAATAAAAAAGAGAATAAAGAATGGGAAGGTAATTTCTGAGGAAGTTCATTCAAATCATGAAGGACACGAGCATCATAATTAACCATCAATTGATTTTGTGCGTATAGAATAGGCATTTAAGGAAAAGGAAGGATGTCAAATCGCTGGGTACATTATTGTTAACAAAGTGCCAGGTAATCAATAATGAGAATATTGTATAGGCAATTTCCATGTTTCTGCTCATGCTTTTGGAGGAATCTTACATTAAGTGTTTTAGAGAAGTTAGATATCAACATTAGATTTATCACATACTATTAATCACATCTCCTTTGGAGAGGAGGATGATTTAATTAAAATAAAGAAATAGTTTTAGAAAGGAGTTCTTAATCCCCTTGATAACACAAAGAAAATTGCTTAGCCTTAAGGAGGAACTGGAATGATGTTTTAATACTACATATCTGTCGTGCCTACAACCTATATCGATGTATCAGGAAATGAGTATTATGTTCATCAATTCACTGCGAATAGCAATGAAGTCTAAACTGATCATCTTCCCGCTGTTTATTTTAGGTAAGCAGAATTAAAAGAATAATTAGATATGATCTGTCCCCAGTGACTGTCAAATTTTTGTAATATAGAGAGAGTTTCTTGCACTTTTTGGTCTAGATTTGTGCCATTCTCGGAGGAGTATTCACGATTGCTAGTATTGTCGATGGAATGATCCATAAATCTGTGGTTGCTCTACTTAAGAAGTATGAGATGGGTAAATTGAGTTGAAATAAATAAATATCATATGTTTATAGTGATATCATTAATAAGGTGCCCATCCATAATACATTTATCTAAGAATCTCTGAGTCACAATTTCGTTCAATCAAGTTCTATACGTTTATTTGGTTGTTCAATTTATACTTTATCAATTCTATTACATCTGACGAGGTTCTACACAATAAAGGATCATAGATGTATGGGTCAAGAAATGCAAATATAATATCCTTGTGTTTTTGAAACACTTCTATAATTTATTCCAATATTTGTCTAAATTGGCCTTACTCTCTCAAATAACCCATTCCATATCTGAGATTCTTTGTCAATCGAAAATCGACGATCTCAGGCACTGGCAGGAATTTACCCTTATGAAACACACATTCGTAATCTATGTGAATCAACTCTCCACTTTCATGAATCAAAATATTATCACAATGTCTATCTCCGAATCCTATCAAGTATTGAAAAGCTGACCACAAAGCCATAGATTTTATAAATCCCTATTATGCATCATACCATATATAAGGATCCTAATATTAAGAAAAGAAGTAATTGTTTAGTTTTGGTTCCTACTCATTTAATTATTTCCATTCTGTCTAATTGTAGATTTATCTATTCTTAGCGCCAGCCGTTGAAACTCCAATAGCTTCTCGACAAGTAGTCGTTTGAGTCACCCATTCAATGACTTAGCTTAGTTGATTCAAACTCATTGATGCAAACAAAGGATACTTTAATTAGAGAGGCTCCAACAAAGTATTAAAAAATTGCAGCATCAAAATTATTCTCTGTTCTCTCCTTGTGTCTCCACTGCTCTTGGAATCCTGAACCTCATTCTTTAACAATAAATATTTAATGCTTGAATCACTACATTCAACCTATATTTTCTTAGGCTTATCTTTAGAAGGAGCTATTTTCATTTAAGGATATATCTAAATGATCTTTACCAAATTATCCTCAGATTTAAATGGTTATGATAGATTTTCAATCCCAGGATATATGATCTTCTCCCTAGTTTTATTGTATTCGCTTAACAATGATGAACTTATATTCTCCACTGCCCAACCTTATTATTAATTTACCTTTGATTTTTATTAACAGATTCTTAAAATCACATTGAATTGTTTTTCCAACTCTTCGAACTTCTCTCGTTTCTCAGGAATCAATTTCAGCACTTCCTAATACATCAGTATTTTGCTAAAATCATACATATTAATATCTTACTGTTAAGAGGTTTGATTGAAATTCTTCAAAGGAGCCAACCACCATATCATCTGACTTGGATAATTGCTTGCCAATATTGACAATGCTTGAGCTAGACTCCTACTAGATGTACGATCATTTTTAAATGTCTCCACTCCTGTTATTAATAATTCCAAACAATATTGCAACTTTATACAACTTATTGTATTCAAATATGAATCAAATTTTTAAGCAAATTAATCCTTTGATTTATGCATAAACCAAAGTCGAAATATTTTTGGAAATGATTACTATACATATTTATCCCCTGCACTTACACTACTCAAAAATAAATCCATCAATTTCAAACAATTTTATTGGTTTTAACTATCACATTTACACTTATATTCCTATTCCAATTCTTATGCGTAATGATAACAAAATTTGCTGAATTTCTTCTTGTTCTCAAAATATCTTGACAAAGGAGGTAAGTGTTTTGAACTCCAAATGTCACTATAAGTTTGCAATACTCTTTCTCTGTGAAATAATTGATCCTTTATTAAATATCTCAAGAATTTTATCTTTTATGAACAATTCTGTATGTCCGTAATAAAGAATCCCTTATTCTATGAATAAGTAAAAGGATCGATCCCTGTCAAACTAATTGCCTTATAATAGTATCCCATCCTTTCATAAATACGACATTAAATTAGATTTTGTTTTTTCTTACAAATTGCAAGTGCTTCCTCATATTTGTCTATTTTCATAAGGTGTTTAGCATATTACTCTCTGTAATTGATTATTTTGTACTACTTTGAACTATAAATATGTATTCAGTATTTAATACCTCCTCTTCACCAATGTGTTCAAATACATCCAGTATTATTATGAAAATCTTTTCACAAAAGTAATTCTTATTTCTTTACCTTATATCCCTTCCCAATAGTTCTCGAGTCTCTTTATTATGTAAGAGGTCTGAATGATATTCTAACATATAATTTTTGATAAACTTGTTGATTTGAGAGACAAAGCTATGGATAATTTTACATATTTAATGCTCTAATTGATCTATTCCTTACTCATTTCCTAAGACACATACCTTGAGATGTCTGAAATTAAAGAAATAACTATTTTATCCAGTCTTGAAGGGTCCAATATATTCAAGTATTGCCCTTTTGAATTAAGATCTCTGAAATTGTATAATTATACATCCAAAGGTATTTACTTTTATCTCATCTTCATAGCAACATTCTATTCCTTGTACCAATTATTACCGACTTCAAGCAACGAATCTGGATTGAAGGGGAAATTAAAGTTTAATCTTGAATATATTTATTCAGGAGGAATAGAACTATTTAAATGGCTCTTTGCCATGTTAATATATAATAAAGTGTTATGCAGTTTCTCTTATTATTTATGTGATAGTTTTTTTAAATCAAATTTAAAGAGTAGATTTTTCTTTGCTAAGTATTTTTCTAAATAATATACAGATTCTATGAAACTTCCGCATCGAAAAAACACTAATCCAATTTACCTGTATTTCCATTTGACTGAGTCCAATGCAATATGAAATGAATCCTTGGAATTTTTGATTTCATTCTTCCATTAATTAATAAGCTTAATAATTCCAATCAATAAATAATTATACTCAGGAATGCATAAGAACTTTTATAAGTCTATTTTATTTTGATGTGCATACCTTCAAGCACTTTCATATTTGTATGTTACGAGTGAGCATAATATTTATAAACTATCAAACTAAATAATTTAATAAAAAGGGAATGATCTAAGATAGTCAACACAAGCAAAATATAATCAGATAATGATTTTTATGATGTAAGAGGAAGAAGGTTAATAAAAATGTGCTCAACCTGATTAATTTTCTTAGTATCCTCGTAATTCTCTTATATGTATTTGATCTTCTTCTACACAAATTGTTCATCATTCAGTAGGTTCTTATTCGCCTTGATATCACTAAACTAGACTATAATTGCATAGCTTACAGTTTCGAACAGGAAGAATTGCCATTCGTAATTGTTCAAATAAAGGTGTCTCTCAACGAGAAAGGTTTGCAGTTTCGTCATCAACCTCTGGGGAGAAACATCATATGAAATAAAGTCAAAAGGATCCAGATTCTTGGGTTTCTGACATTCATCAATAGATGTGGCTATATTTTATAAGATTTCTCTCACCAGCACATTTGGATAGGGATTCTTTAAATTCAATCTATAGTAATCAACAATCACTGCATACTCTTCGATTGATGAGACCTAAGAGAATTGCAAATAAAGTAAATCGAACATAAAATAGAAATCTAAAAAATCCCCTATTTTTATATGCTTTTTGTAATCAAAATTCAATATTTTCTTGTTAATCCTGTAAAATTAACAATACGCACTTATTGTGATGCTGAGATTGGGTAAACTATTAGTCAAAATACCAGAAGTGAGGGAATCACATTCCATTTGAATAAACTTAATCATGTATTCATGAAATTCTGTATATATGAATAAGTAATGATCAAAGAACTATTTGCAAAATGATTGGCAAATCAATTTCACCGAAATATTTCTCAAATGTTGTTTATTCAATTAGTATATGATCCTGCATCCTAATAAAAACTTAAGGAATTAGTATATCGATGAGAAATTTTGATTTAAACTTGTTTGAAAATTAGCTAAAATATTACTAAGCTCAATATGAAATTAGTCTATTTCGAAATTTGAGAAACTGATTTTAGTGGTCTCATAGTACTTCTCTTGTTAAATTAGACTGTAGCATTCTTCTTTGTTTTGAGTAAATGTGAATAAATATTTTTTCAATCCTTCCCTCAATAATAGCTCAATGTTTGAAATACGATTTAATTGAAAATGCAAAGGGTTCGAAGTATCCTTCTAATGCTGCTTCTCATATATTATCAGTGGATTTAAGGTTCTATCAAAGGAATCTAAATGCTAAATTTCAATTGTGTTTTGCAGTAAATATTTGTATGCTTATTATAAATTAGTAAAAATACCCTTAGAGAATAGATAACTAGTATTGGTCTTATATAAATAATCGAACAGGAATTTATCCTTCCCCAAAACATACACTTTCTATCCTTCAGAGTCTTCAGTGATAAAGTGTGAAAGAAATTGTTTATAGGCTAAAGATTCAGTCACAATTTTTTCAGCAATAAAATTCTGACAACATCTTGGAAAGAGGGTAATGAGATCGTCTAACGATATCCCTAATGAGTTTGAAGTTACCAGATAGATGAGACTGAGTTTGCTTTCTTCTGATTCGATACTATTAGAAAAAGTTTGCTTCAAAATCGAATAATTCATTAATTAATAACAAAAACTCAAGTCTTATTTCATGTTTTATTTTTGGAAAAAAAAATCTAGATTTTCCTTTTGTTATATTCATAATTATGCATGATTGCCATAGCTTGGATCGCTGAATCTAATTCTTAATACTTGATCAAACATTTATTTTTATTTTTTTCTTCACAAAATATTCTAAATTAAACAAAACCTCTTACTTTATTTTCTCAATTTAACCAAATTTCGAAAAAGTTTGATAAATGATGCCTTCTTCGCAGAATTCTTTTTTCAAATTTGTCAACATTATTTGTTAAGAAGGCGAGACAAGATATTTGAAATTATTATCTTTGTATCTGAATGATGCCTCATTTCCCAAATAAAACTCTTCTTCTTCTGTGTTCTTTGGCAATTAGCCTTCTTCACAATTTCTGAAGAATATAAATTCATAATTGGAAGGGTATACCTAGATTAATTGTAAGGGAGTACTTTCAATTTTTAACCAAAAAGAGTTGGGTTTCCTTCATTGAAATTTGTCAATAGGAATTTAACGCTAACCTCTGTTGAATATTCGATTAAGACGTTGCATTTAGTCTTAAAGAAGATCATCTTTTAGATGTTTCCAAAAGTACTAAATATATTATAAATCATCGTCATGGATGTTTGCTTGGGATCAAACCAGTTGGCATAGAGTACCTTTGTAATCAATTTTTCTAGATAGAAATGATCAGAATTACTTTATGGAAGAACTTCAGATTGAAAGATCTATTTTTCTACTTGAATGCTGTTTGGTAGTTGTTATGAAGTGGAAATGCGTTGGCCTGGTGAGAACTGAAAAAGTTAGGTTAAATTGTCACCCATGCACTTTACAAATTGATTAGACCTTTATTAAGAAATAATTCACAAAAATTTTACAATTCTTCTTATTTATCTTCAGTTGCTTCTTCCTGAGAATCATAATCAGATGAGCCGTCTGCCTTGTCAAAGTTCAGAGCTTCTGCAAACTAAGTTGGTATGGGAGGCATTCCAGTTTAGGGTGGCAACATTTAAGAATGAGGGAGCCATTTGTTTATCAAGTCGGTCTTTGGCAACTCAGTTGAATGCACTATGCCCTAAACTTGCTAGGCAGTGTAATCTCTTAATAAGGGTAATAAATGTACATCTGGCATATTGATTACGAGCTTAAAAGTCAAGGCCCTTGCGATTGGACTCATAAACCAATATCGAAAGTCCATGCATGATTGTATTATTTAATTGAAGCGCATTCAAAGCTGAACGGACACTGTCGAACTGGACCAAGGCCTTCCAAATTGGCTTATTTCGCTCAAAGATAAGTATCTATGAATGGTATTAGACAATACTTTTTCGATTGTACCGAATTGGATGAAATTTTGATAGACGTGAGTCACTGTTATATTGATGAAATCTGGGTTTTATATACAGATCAGCACAACAGAAGAATTGGCCATTTTAAATAACAAAAAATTTTATAAGATAATTTTGTTTTAATGGGAATTATAAATAAAAATATCAGTTCTAATAAATAATCATATTCAGCATACTTTATTATCTATGGACCCTAAGTTTCTTATTGGCTTCGAAAGAATTATTTATTATTAATTATATTATATTTTATTTATAATTATGCCCCCCAAAGCCAAAAAGATAGATCCTGAATTGCAAGCTGTATATAATAATAAATTAACTAATTTAGAAATAATTTGAACAGTGGAAGGAAAGTGAAGAATACAGAATCTGGTCAGAGTTATAAATCATTTACAAATCAATGGACAATAATATATCTGAAACTTCCAAAGACTTGACAGGCAATTGGCAAGTAAACTGTTCTTTAAAAACATCCCTTTCACTTAGGTTTATCATGATAAATTACTTGAAGTGTGCTAGACATTCAAATGCAAATCTAAAATAAAACAAATTGAGCATTGTCACATTAGAAGTGCCTTCTTTGCAGTTGAGGATGTGGAAATCAACAAAGTAGTTGTTAAGCAATATCTCGATGGATTCTATTATTCAGTTGAGAAGTAGGATAAAGATAGAGCTAAGCACGTGAAGGAATTGCTTGCTAAAATAGCAAGAAGTACACATATTATATATTTTAAAAGCTTTGGAGGATCACAAGTTTTTTGATATTAATGCAGAAAATTATATTGCAGAAAGGAAAGCATTTGTGGGTCTTTTGAATGATTTTTTGAAAAAACTTCCAATTCTTATTAAGTCAAGTCACAAAGTCATTGAAGAAAAACTCATGCTTGTTTTGGGACCTTTGAGAGCTTTGTTGGAGATTAACAAAAAAATGATGTTCTTTGATCTTGTCAATACTTCAAACTAAGCAAGATAAACAAAGGACTTCATATTGAAGGTTTTATAATAAATTATAATACTGATTAGGCTGATATCGAACAATATTGTATATGTCTACAAGAGGCTCAGAGGTTGTTGCTGGAATCGAAAGCTATTTCATGCAATCCAAATGTCAAATTGATCTTCAATAAATTGGGATATGAAGGGTGGTAACAGAATAAAATTGAGTCTTTCTACTTAACTCCTTTGTAGGAAGCTTTCGATAAGATGAGAAACAATTTGCTTTGTTTGATGCTCAAGGGAATCAATTACTATAAGGCTCCTCTGATGGACAATACTGTATTAATTTTGAATTAGAATAGCAATTTGTGGAGGATGTGAAAGAATTGATTGATGCAGAATTGATAGCTGAACATTTAATGGGAACTTCATTGAAAAGAGACTAATTAAATTTTACTTATAATGTATTAAGTGTGATATTCAATTCCAATGCTCAAGCGAAAGAATTTCTAATTAAAAGGGATGATAATTGTGTTAAGGGCAGCATTCCTAAATTGATTACATATCATACAATATTGTACATGAGAGCATGGAAGGATAGAAAAATAGCAGATGAGTTGAAGGAATAAAAATTATAATAAAAAACATAGCCATTAGCATAATCGAACTTATTTGAAGCTCAATCTGCTATGTCAGGCATGTCACCAGATAAGAAGAGGTAAGCCGATGATGAGTTGAGGAAGAAAGAAGAGGAGAGCATGAAGATTTAAGAAAAACTAGATTTTGAAAAGTATGGAAGATTTTGGATTTGGGAATATTATGCTTAAGATTAAATGAAAGCCAATTTCGAGGAGTGTGTCGAATTGATCAGACATATTAACAAGGCTGTTCAATAAGACATAGAGGATGTCATTATCAAAGAGGGCATGGTTCCTAAGTACTTTTAAATAGTGATTTTAGGACTCGTTCTCGTTAAGTGTAATAGAATGATCCAAGTCAAATGTTCAATAAATTGTAAGAGAAGGACAATGCAAATGTTTATGTAATTTAAAGGAGACCGCCAGAATTGTGGAATTATCCTAAAATTGTGGAGGAACAACATGAATTTAGAGCCATTGCTAAACCCAGAGATTGTTATAAGGATGGAAGAATTTAGGTGTTGGAGAGTAAGATGGAATAATTGAGTGCCCATTTGGAGAGTAACAAGCCTCAGAGTTGGAATGAATTGATTCATAGAGTGATAGATGCATTAAGCAATTAATATAATAAGAAACCTAGTGCAATTGAACCAGGAAAATGATTTAATATGAACTCATTATATAGAAAAGAAATCAGATGGAAATCCTTTAATATTGTTGATTTTTGGTTTCTATCGAATCTGAGGAGCTTTTACCTTCTGGAAAATATCTTTCAACTATTATGTATTTAATAATAGTAAATCCAATATCTTATTATTCTTCTATTACTCGCATTCTTGGAATTTGTTAATTTTCTGTTCTTTGCCCATAAATTATCTGTTTGGTGTATTTAATGGATTCTAATCCTCAAATTTGCGTTCTCTTGTTGTTCGAGTAGTTTAAATTTGAATAAAATTGGCCAAATCCGAATCACTTTATATAGTTAATTGGCTGGCTTTTCTATAGAGATGTTTTGGCTCAGAATCAAGAGACATTTATTATATTCGAGTTATTCTTTTATTTTTAGGATCGAGTAATTTTTCATGCTTTTCCGTGCCATTCACAGTATGAATGCGTGCACTCAAGCCCACGTGTTAGAGCTTAGAGGATGTGGGCGTATTAGGAATAGATTTAGTTTTATTAACATTTATTTTGTCTCCTCTAAGCAGTAGTGTCTTATTAGATTTTTTTTTAGATAAACTTTCTTATTATTTGAAGTTCATCTGTTAATAATAATATAAATAATAACATATAATAGATCATCAAGCATTATCATAAAAATGTTGAAGCATATCTAATAATTCAATCTCTCCATTTAAACATTTTAATGTAATCACTCTAGCCTTTTCTAGTAAGCCGTCTAAATTCGGAGGTATTTCAAAACCAACATTTGCAGATTAATCAGGATTCAAATCTTCTAAGGTCTCTAAGATCTGAGTTGGAGAATGACTAATAAAACAATAAATTATGATAAGTACTGTGATTCATGAAATTGAAATTAACAACCAAAAAATAAATATAGTAGGATGCATCCTATTGAATAAATATCAGTCTTCTCAGTAAACAATGGCATCTCTTCTTCAATTACTTATTTGGCCATATATTTTATATCAATGTAGTCTTTGTCGAACTGCAAATCAAAATCAATGAGCACTGGCACCTGAGTGTCTCCATCAATTAGAATATTATTCGGATGTAAATTACAAAAGATCACCTCGTTTTGATGTAAATAATATATAGCATCTATGATCTACACTGCCATATGCCATTTCTCTTTTGTTGAAATCTTGTTCTTTTAAAGGAAGGTTCTTAAATTATAATCATATTTATATGTTAAGATACGGATTTAACCACTTAAGTCCATTTCTTAAAGATCCTCTATGTTATATCCTATAATAGTTCTAATATTTTTGTGATCTAAGTTAAAATACTTTTTCACCAATTTAAAATATTAGTTAATTTGATCATAGCTCATACAAGACAATGTTTTTATAAATATCACCTTCCCTTAATATTTACCTAAGCTTATCTACCCGTCTCTATTGCTTTTACTTATAAATTAAACTTCAGAAATTTCTTATTATTATATCAAATTCAACTTAGAATATCTGATCTTATTCTCAAAATCAATGAATCTTGATTTCTGCAATTGTATATCATCTAAGTAATGTAAAATTTGAGGTCCTTGAATAGTTCTATCAAAATTTAACCTCTTATTTTCACTGTTTATATAAAGACTTTAGTTTTGTTTGATTGAATCTATTATCTTCTTTTGTGGGGATTGATTTAGGAATGATCTTCTAAGTTCAATTTGAGTTTGCTGAATTGCTAAGAAGTTGTCTCTTGAAAGGTCTAATTATTGAACTCTCTTTTGATCGAACATACTCTGAATCTCTTTGTTTTTAAATGTAATTTTATCTCTTTATTTATCTAATCTTCTTCGAATAGAGAAGAATTGAAGTGTCCTTGCTTAATTAAATTTAACCGCATTTCGATCATAATAACGTTTGCATTCCTCAAATATATTTTAATCAATCAATTTTGTATATCCATCATGATTCTAGTGATGTAACTCTAACTTAGCTTGATAGAACATATAAACGAATATGATAAAAGGACTTTCAGGCCACGGATTTTTAAGCAATAATTTTGCCTTACATAAAAAGCAATTCTTTGATCTATTCTTCTGTCGTTTCCCTAATATATAAAGAGTGATCAATGAATTTTATTAACCTATCAATTTGATTTCTTCACTTTTTAGCTCTATTTCCTTTTGTGTTTTGACTCGGTTTTAAAATATTAATAATTTGTGAATGACCTATTCAGTACCTTTGATATGCAATTATTTTATCACTTCAGCATAATTCTCTGTTCTATTAAGGAAACTTAACTCTAAAATAACTTAACGAATGGAATTCAAATATGAGTCATCAATCATTCCATAAAGAGAAATATTAAATAAACACTACCTTGTTATTAAATTATAAATGGTACTTATTTAAAAAAGAACTCTGGATTTACTTATGAGCATAGCTTATACATGATATCAGGACATTTATTAGGATTCTTTGTTGACAAAGTGAATTATTTGATAAGAATTGGGTGGGCATAAATTTTATTACCCATTTATTCATAGTTCATCAAAAGTTAATCATAATGTTGTTATGATTCGGTTTCTCTAAAAAGAAAAAGAGCCTATAGAAAATTGCTCATTTGATTTAAAGGTATATCCGACGTTGGGGCTAATTTTGATACTGCATCTTGATATTTTTAACATTCAACTTTTTTAAGCGAATGTTTGATTTCATAAACCAATTCAATCAACAAGTAATAGAGATACTTGCAACTTAATTGTCATAATATGATATTTACAAGGAAGCCAAAATATTATTCTTATGCTTAGTATAATATTGCTCTAATTAAAATGCGCACAATGGATCTGCAAAAAATTTAACGCCATATAAGTAATGAGATATTGCTTCGTTGATATTAGGTTGGACTGAGTATCCAATCTCGAGACTATAACCCTGAAGAAAGCATCTAAATGAATTTAAATATCTTATATATACATAAATCCAGTCGAATGTTATAGATATTTATCTTTGTTTTTGAGAGTCAGATTTTCAAGAATTTAAGTTTTTAATAAGGAACTTATGTATTCTTTGACTTATAATTCCATAGTAAATAAAATTTATTATGAATTAAATAAATCAAACTTTATCTTTAGATTTTTCTATTCTTTGGCTTTAAAATCTAATTTTGTCACCTTCATTCATTTCAATACAATAACTAATTCTTTCAATATTTATCAATGATCTTCACTAACTATTACTTTTTAAAGTTTGATTATATTTTCAAACTGCTCCATTTTTAAATACTCCCGAATTTTAATTAGTACTTTAAGTAATTTTAAATTATTCAAGTTTATTATCTCTATTGTATTACTCTAGCTATTTTGAGGTTAAACAGTATATTTTCAAAATAATTATTTTTTGTTGAAACTAGGTTTACGCTACTTAATTTGTATTCTTCTTATAGAACTATATATTCCAAGATAATGGATAATACTGTATACAATTTCTCTAAGTATTTCAACAAATCTGATAAAATTCATAGCTTTTGTAATTTATTAATATCATTCATTCTTTAGATTACCATTCAAAAGAACACCTACTTTACAAACTGCAATTATTTAGATAAATTAAACATTTGCAAATCTGATAATATTTTGGAATATAACTGCATTCAAATAATTTTAAATAGCAAAATTATAAATTGTAATATTTCTAATCTCACTCTAAAACTAAAACTTGGAATTCATCTATAAAGTAGAGATATACTTACTAAGTATCTAGTTAATCATTAAAGATAAATAATTTTTCTTGAAAATATGAAGTGTGTAATTACAGAAAAAAGACTTTCAATTTAATAACGCTCATGCATTAGATAAAACTAAAATTTATTATACAATACTAGGTATCAAAAAGTATTTAATTCTAAGTTGTTCGAGTCTTGGTCTCTCTCAGTTAACTATGATAAAAATCAATCTGATTTTTATAGTATTATTTTTTAAATATATTTACAATGTCTAAGTTAGCAAATCGCCTGCCAGATGTGGACAATAAAAGCTTTAGAGACCAGAGATAAATACAAGAACTGAAAAAGAAACTGGATGAACAAAAGGACGCATTGCAATAACTAGTAACTTTAGTCAAGGAATCTAAAACTGAATCCTATAAGCCAAGATATAACAAGATGCCTAAATTTGAACAGGATTAGTTTACATTGGAACTTTTGGAGGAAGTGAAGACTCTTAGGAGATAAGTAAACAACATTGAAAATGGTCCTAAAGCTAATCAAGTTTAAAATCCTTTTATAATACCTCAATATTACCCTGTTCCTCATTAGCCTCAAATATAACAAATGATGCCTCCTTACATGTACATGAATCCTTATTTTCACATGCCTTAACCTTTGATGTATTAACAATCATAGAATCAAGCACCAAAAAAGAAGGCTGATCCTTATAAAAAATTGGTTCTGAAGATCTTATAAAAAGGCGAGCAAGATAGTCATCACAGTAGAAAAGACTCAATCTATAGTGATTATTCAGAGGATTACAATGATAGACAAGCAACGATCAGAAGTCGTTCGCAAAGGGATAAAAGTAAGGATTAAACTCGTGATTTGTCATAAAAAAATAAAACAAGTAAGGGATCTCTGCATGATAGTTATGTGAGCAAATTTACGAGATCATCAGCTAAGATAAAATCTAAAAAGCCTAAGGAATTTACAGAGGAGTAGAAACTTTAATTGAGAAGAAAGCTTTGTGGAGCCTTTTGGTATATACGGATAGGGTTGGGTTTATAGAAGTATTTAAGAAGAGTGTGGTTAGATCGAAGACGATAATACTATTAAAATGAAGCATCGCAATTGATAGAAAAATTTGATCATGAATTTGTAATTCAATATAAAATTTAGATAGAACCACAAAGAAGTATTCATATTGTTTGTTGTGGAATGCAATAAAAATAGATATTTTACTAAGAATTGGAATATCTTTGATAATAAGGATATCGAATTGAAATCTACTATAGTGTTTTAAATACTGACAGTGTTATTTAAGAAAATGTCATTTTTGACTAAGAACTCCTTGACTGATGAACATAAACAATTTGTAAAGAGAATCTCATCTTAAGGGGGATTCCTCTTGCCAGGACATCCCAAGTTTGTAAGTGATCGAGTACTATTGAGACCAAGTGTGACTATAGGGTAATAACATCATGTATTTAGAGAGCAATAAATGCCGAAGTCAGCAAAATGATTCAAATGGATTATGTATACATGTAGGTAATTGTTCAAAGGGTGCTATTGATTCACGAATGGTATTCATAATATGTTAAGATCCCTAATCACAAAGAGGCCATTAAAATATTAGTATCAGTTTTGCATTAATTGTATATCGATCGATTTAGCTATCTAAAAGTTTATGAAAATAATGACGCGATTTACAATGTAATTATAATCTTAACTTTAATAAGAAATAATAAGTTGTTTATTGTGACTTCACTTAATAGAATTATGTAGATGTTGCTATTACGATTGATGAGTCACATGAGAAATACGAACCCACAACTAATTGCTGCATTCTTGGATTAGCCACTTAGGAGGAGATGCAATAATTATATGATCAACCAGGCTACAAAGAGTTACAAACTATGTTCAAAGATCATTGTGATTATTTTTATTCATAAATTAACTTTTGAAACGTGTATTAAAATTTCGGATAGTTCTGAGCAATGCGTAATCACAATAATAATTAAATTATAATAGTGATGAAATTATTAGACAACTCTTTAGACTAAGACAGCCCTGATGTATATTATGAATCAACCAGTCGATATTTCTAATTAATACTGTTTTTGGGAGCTTTGGTTTCTAATATCATGTTTGGATTTTCGTTATCTCCAATCACAAAAGAAATTTCAACTATATATGGAGTTTCCTAAACGTAAGACTTATGATAGAGAACTTAGGTGGCTCTAATTGTTGAGTGTGAGCTTTACCCTATTCTCAGCAATTATGATTATCCCAGGGAATATTTTAAGCGAAAAATACGGAATATAATATAATATCAAATTAGGTATATATGGCATAAAAATAATCAGGTTGCCTTCTCACATTTATTGGATCATTAATGGCATTGTTGGTCAATTACTCATTCTGGTGGCTCTACTTGGGCGAATTGGTATCTTTGGTTGGATTCCCATTCCGTTTGATATCGGCATCTAAATTCACAGCCAATTGGTTTTATCCAAAGAACAGGATTATCATTATGGTTATCATTGCTCTTCTTTTCAATTCAAGCACAGGGATCTCCATAAAGATCCCCCTGTTCATATTTGGTGACTACGATGTCGAACTAGATGCCTTAAACGATTATTCCTAAGGCAGAACCTACGTCTTTTAATTGATGGCCTTTCTCTCAGGGATAATGTTTATTACAACAGTCCCAGCTTTATTTTTCTTTAAGGCTAAGCCCAAACATCCGCCTTCCTATAGTGCATCTGAAGTACAAAATCATAAATTACCTTATTATAGTAATGCGTGAGAGAGAATTACACTAAAGCTGCCAGGATGTTGATAAAGAATCCTGATTATTTGAAATTGGCATTTGCATTCTCATTGATATTGGGTCCGGTCTTGTTGCTCACAGTGCAAATGGAGTTTGTTGTTAAACCTTTTGGATATAATTTGGAATAAATTTCTAATGTTATTTTAGTCGGAGTGATTGCAGGGTTGATTGGAGATGTTGTTGTAGGATCCTTTGTGAAGAAGCTAGGCAAATACAAAATAGTATTGCAAATCTGCAATGCCTCAACTACCTTTTTCTATGGATTCCTCATATTGAGTTTAGTTATCAAAGCACATTGGCTATTTTACATTTGCTATTTCTTTGTTTGTCTTTGTTCGAGTATTTTAGCATTGACATTCGAATTTTCATGTGAAATCAGCTTCCCAGTAAGCGAAACGTCTACTATAGCATATTTAGGATTGGTTGGAAATGGATTCAACTTCCTATAAGCTATCCCTGAAATTCTTATACTTCAAGTAAATAATTTAAGAATATTTAGATTGGCACTGAGCTCACTTCGATTGTTACTTTGATAATCATGTTTGGAATAGGGTTGTTTGGCAATTTTATTTCATATTCTATAAATGAAAAGCTGAAAAGACAATAAGTGGATAACCTTCATGATACGAAGTAAAACTTGGAATCGCAATGCGATACTGACTGATTTTATTTGTACATTAACATATTTTAATTATATAAAAATAATACTTACCAAATTTTAGTATAATTATGAAATTATATTAAGAACTTCATATATTCATCAAATGAGGTTGTTTATCAAATTACACTTATATAATTAATCTCATTATTCGAATTCCTTTGAAGATACTGAAATACTTATAGTAAAATTTCATAATTTCAGATTCACTTAAATAATAAATATTATAATATTATGAATAATTATTAGTCTTTGTAAAAATATTTCCTATTTTAATAGTTCAAATCCAGTTTATGAACCAATACCGACACCTTTAACACCGTATTTTTTAACTTTATTTTAGAAAATATGAAGCTCTCTTTTCATCTTAAATACAAAATGCTACTAATTCGAATGAAAACATTGACTAGTTGAAATAGGAATTCAATTAAAATACTTCAGTTAGAAAGAGTGCCTAATTTGCTAATGAAATCAGGCATAGCGCTAGAAGTACTTTGAGCGAAGTGGAATTGAGAGATATTGTTAAACATAAAAATTATGTTGCCTGCCAAATATTTTGAATTAGATTAAGAAATGATTAAAAAACATTTATAGAGTAAAATCCATTCTTATTTTATATTTCCTTACATAAAATAAATTTATATGTGAAAGTGCTGATTTTGCAACTTTTTAGACACTAAAAACAATGAAGTAATATATTAGTAATTATTATAATTGGGAATATTGTACAATTTTAACTAAATTACTCAACTTAAAATCAAAAACCCAGTTAAATTCCAGATATACTATAAATAGATATAATTCAATTTTTAGCCCAACTTTTAGATAAGCTTACTAAAGTATTGACCAATAAGTATATTTTACAAAATTATCTCGAAATCATACAGATTAAATTTGGAAATTATAATCTTAAACTCCTTTAATTGAGGTTCAGTTCTAATATATTATGCTAGAGGATGAATTTAAACCAAAGTATTCCCTTACTTTAAAGATCTTGGATTTGTTCATAAATTCCTCACTTTTCTAGCCTTGAAAGATAAATCAATGTGTATTCGCATTAGCTTCTGAAAAATTATTTAATGTTTTCTGCAATTTTCTTAAATTAATAAATTATTATACAAATTCTCGCTAAAATGTCTAAATTAATCATAACCTTTTATGATCCACATTATAAGGCAATGATATTGTCACAATTAAATTAGTTTAATAGTCTCGACTAATTATTAATATTATAAATTTAATTATAGATTTCAGTCTTATAGCTTACTTCAATTTGGATTGTAAAATCTATTTATAGGAGAGTTTGAATAAAGAGTGTATATTTATTTTATTTTAGATATATCATTGTATTGGATTATAAATAAAATATAAAGCATAATTATTAATTAATTAACATAAATATTTTAAGTCCAAAATTATAATATTATGTCTCATTAACTTAATTCTCAAATAATTATTTTTTAGATTTTTGCTAATTTTATAAGGATCTCAAAATTTTTAATATGATAAACTAAATAGTTGGAATAAATACAAAAATTTATTATTTTAGAAAATCTGAATTAGGATTTTAATTTTAAATATAACTTGTAGTATATTATTAAACAATTATCATTTAATAAGACAGAAGTATTAATAATCCTATTAAAAATGAATTTAACTATATTAGATGTATTTTACAATATTGATCCTTACAAAGTATGAGATGCCTTAAGTTGACTTGCATTTAGTTAACAGTAATCAAGTATCAATTTTTATGATAAATATTTTTGGTATATATTGAGATATGAAATAAATCTAAATGGTTTTATTGATATTTAGAAATGATAAATAATATGAATCAACTTTTATATTTTAATGATATACAGGAGATGTAATTTTATGCTAAAAGAAATCAGCTGTCATTGTTCGTTTACAAGAAGGCAATTTATGATCTGACCGATTTCATCTCACTGCATCCTGGAGGTCAAATGGAAATTCAATAATTTGAAAATTAAGACGTCTCTAATATTTTATTTCAAAAATCTATTCATAAGCACAAACCATATATAATTGCAACATTATAAAACTACTTAATCGGATACATAGAAAAGCGTAATGAGCCAGTAATTCGACTAAAATCATCCCAGTTAATTATTGAGAAAACTAGAAAAGTGTTACGTGAAAGTACAACACCTTAATAGTAATGCGAGGATATCCCTGAGGATTGTTCAATTGAAGAGATGCCAATTCTTCAAACAAATAAAAAATTATTTCATTCATAAAAATCAATCTAGATTTAGAAGTGACTTTTAACATTGTAATATGGGTTATTTTATTATCATTTAAATTTTCTCATATTCTTATTCAACCAATCTACTTAGAGAAGCTTAGAAGTATTATTTAAATATATCAATACACAATAATCATCCAAAAAATATAAATTAATTTTATTAGACTAATTAGTATAAAAATCATAATAATTCAAAATCGAATTTAATCCTACAAGATAATAAATAATTAGAATTCAATAATAAATCTCAATTCTTTATTATTTAAATTTAATACATCCAGTTAAGATAGTTAAAACTATTTGATGATTAAAAAAAGTTTGATCAATTATATTAAAATGAAATTTTTAGCATGTGTTAATACTTAATCAAAATTCTTGATTATTTGTAGAAAACACTATTCAATTTTTATGTACTTAAGATTAAGGCGTTTCTAGAATTTCTTTAAGAATTAATGCATATTTTGTTGCCTAATTTGAAGATAATTAATTCCTAAAAAGGAAGTGACATAAGTCTTAATATTAGCAATATTATCCCAATTTTAACTATGAAAATAAGCATGATCCTTATTATATTTAAATGGACCTATAACCTTGATTTATTATATATATCTACCTATTCTTAGAGCTGGATATTAAATCTACCATTCTCTCAATAGCTTAAACACTTCATTAATCTAAATCTTCCCTCCAAATGTACCTTGCAAATGGTAACTAATCCCGCTTTGAATGTTCTTTATTGTTTTACACTTGAATTATGGGTTTCTTCATAATTGAAACAATTCCCCATATTTAATAAAAAATTAAATCCTTTTTTAAAATATGTCCCAAAAGTTCAAAGTTAGAAAGCTCAGAGAATAAAAGCCAGAAGATCTCCTAAAGGATTTAGAAAAACTCAAGGGTGAGCTCATTCAATTGAGAACAGTCAAAGTTTCAGCAGGTAATGCTTAAAAACTTGGCAGAATTGGAGTAAGACCTTAATTACTATAAATCAGCTTGTTAGAAAGAGAATTGCAAAATACTTAACAGTGATCAATGAATAAAGAAGAAATCAAGTTAAATCAACTACAAAGCATGCTTCAAATCTTCCAGTTGATCTCAGAGGAAAAAAAACCAGAGCAATCAGATAAAGATTAACAAGAAGTGAGAAAGGTAATGTTTGGCTCAATATATTTATAGCTTAAAAGACAGTGAGATAATGGAAAAGATTAAACAATTTCCCTTTGAGAAAGTTTGCTTTAAAGGAGTGATTCAATTATATTATTAATAGTACATTATTCAATGCTGGCAAACTCATAATATTCAAATTAGCATTTCTTAAATATTTTTTCATTCTATTTGTCTTGTTGCTTATTATCAACCTCATTTAATTCTGATATTAAATATTATAAATAATCGTTGTTATAAATTAATTACGACGTAAAATATTATCTTTGCTCTTATAATAGCTTTTAAATCTTATAAGCATTAAAATAGCATAGAATAAAATCTCAACAGATAAATTTTGGTAAAAACTTTATTTATATTCTCATTTTTTTGTAGTTCAAATTCTAATCAATTAAAATAAATTCATTAGTAAAAAGCAGAATTATACTTACTAAATAAGTAATTATGTATAGATGCCTTTAGAAATAATTTTTTAGAATATCTTATGAATATACAAAGAATTAATTTATTAATTAATTTATTTAAAAAGCACCAATTTCAATTTTGAATTGTGTTTAAGAAATAGAAAATTCTAATCAATTTTGCTTGGGATTATTTTGGATGCATTAAAACTTAAATTTATTATAAGTACATGATTTCCATTATATAGATTATATATAAGAGTTAGGGATAAATTATTACTGGAATTTAAATTTGATATTCTTAATTGAATACTCAAATTGAAAACCCTCAAATCTTGTTCTTTCCTATTTTTGAAATCTTTCATAATTAATTTTTTATTGTTGATAGGGAAGTGTGCCAAATCTTTGAATGAAAATAAATATATATTATTCATAAAATGATGCAATTATAATTCCAATTCAACATATCCATAAGATTGAAATAGTTCAATTTAAATTAATTAATTAATATTTTAAGGATGCTTATTAATTTATAGAAAAAGACTCTAAAAAGCCTTAAAAAAATAGATATATTTTCGTAGCCCGTGCAACTACTAATAAAATAAGAAGAGGGACACAAAACCTTATTTGGGGCTTGCCTGACTTTGGGATTGGTTGTCTTCTTCTTTTATCTTTTTGTCATGAATCTCTATGATTTATCGTAAAGAAAAAATCCAACTTCATTCATTAACTACTGAGGTTTTCCATTCACAGCCAGACCAATATAAATACATAGAATAAAATTTCACCTTAACTTTTGCTTTCCAATCTCCGGATTACACAACATATATAGATGAATCAGTCTATGTTGTAGAAGCAAAAGTTAGAAGTAAAACTACAAAAATGTATATTAATTTTCTGAATTATTAGAGTTGATAATTAGAAAGTAGAGGAGTGGACTTCTTAAGATCTTCCAATTACATCGTGCTCTTAAGAAATTATCAGACAGGTCGAGTTGGAGGAATACTTTTCTCATTTAAATTTACCAACTAATTATTGTATAGATTGGAATAGAGTAAAGGAAATAAATTTGGAAGGTTCGTTTGATGCTAAAAATTTTACTTTTGTTGAATTATAATTTAAAATGTGTAATAATCAAACAAAACAATCAAAGGAATGTAGGTCTAGAGATGAAATTAAATAATTACTAGAATAGAATTATTTTTCTCTTTAGATGTCCTCTTATGTTATCGATGTAAAAAATGAAGAAGAACCATATTTTTCAAAAGGTGAAGATATTTTCACCACAATTTCCAGTAAAATATTTAAAGAAATTACATTCTATCTGGAACCAATAACAATATTTACAGATCTAGGTCTTATTTCAGAAGATTATTAAGTTCAAAAAAGCTTAAGATACAAGAGACACACAGAAATGATTGATTTAAATGAGAGTGATTTAATAATGAATGTTCTAATAAGATTAGATTAAATCGAAAAACAATATTATAGAAGTTACACCAAAATTCAATTTATTTTGAGTTAAATGGGAGGACTTTGGTAAGTATTTTTTACTTTGGCCTTTTTTATATAGAAACCAATAAATCTCGTATCTTATTACGTTAGAATTATGAACTCATTATTTCAATTTGAATAAGAGAATAGAAAAGAAATAACTATGGAATTATAAGAATAGATTGCAAACATACCTGAAGAGGAATTAATGACAAGAAAATAATAGTAATCTTCTAGATAAGAATAATTAGTTACTTAAAATAAAAACAGAGCATTTTAACGATTATAATCTATTAGGGTAAAGAAGAAACAAATTGAAGTTATTGATTCAATGGCTGTCGACGCAAAATAAAAAGAAGAAGCTCGGTAGTAATTGACGAAAGCTATATCACTTTCAATTAAATAATATTTCCAAACCATTTCAAAAAAACTCAGGATGAAATGGACTGATTATAAATATTTCATACACTACTTTGTTAAGTAAACTATTAAATAAATTGTTTTCTAGTTCTGATAATTATAAAAGTTTACAAATTGAATATTCTGTCGAAAAAGTAATTCAGCAAATAAATATTTTATATATAATGAAGAAACTGTAAGAAATAGATAAATTAAAAATGATCTTATTAACTGAATCCTAGATAAAAGTTTTTGATTATCTTTAAAAGCCAACCATCCCATTAGATCCAAAATCAAAATAATTTAATAATAGTGAGAGTTACTACTCAATATTGAAACCAATCAAGAGTGATTATGAGAGAGCTACAGAGGCACAAAATGCTTTTAAAGAAATAGTTGATAGTTTAGATAATCCAATCAATGTGAAATTAATAAATGCTATAGATAAAACAATAGTTGATTTATTTAAAATTACGAAGAATACTTAGGAGTTAACATCTAATGATGATGCCGATATCAACGAGTAAGCATAAGAAAAAAATACGGTGTTTGCAATAAGTATTTAAAAGAGGCAGTCCTCAATAATGAATTATTAACCTAATTTTTAACAATGACAATTTGATTATATATTTTATGCATTTCAGTTTATAAATTTAATGAAATCTTTGAATATATATGCTGATAAAATAATATCAATATGATAAATTTCTAAACTTATAATTTTGAAATCGAAACCTATAATGTATAGCATTTCTAATATAGGGGTACTTTCTTAATTCCAAGACAGAAGTCTTCAATTTTTATTCAAATTAAAAAATATGAATTATTATTATATATAAAAATAGAAATTCTTGGAGAATAAAAGTAATGGGAGATATTTACTGAGAGACATTTTAAATTTCGAATAATTTTGGTTAAATTTAAATTTTCAAATAGAAAGCTGATTTGAAGATTTTATTAAATTATATTAATGATAAATAATTCACTAAGAAAAGCACTTATTTAATTCTTCAGTCCATTGGGATTAAGAACTTCCCTGTACAGTTTCTCATACTCAAACAAGTTTAGATAGCATTCATCAAGATCTTAATTCAATGGATCGTATCATTCAAGATCTCAGATATCATTTGGTGAATTCGCTAGACATTGTGAATTGTTATCGCAAGAATAATAAAGTGAGATCGTAAAAAAATTACAATTGATACCTGAAGCTCCTACTAATGATGTAATGGGTTTCATCAAAGCAAACAAGATTCATGGCAAAATTTTTAATATTGCTCAGAATTTTGATTTTCTACCTGAACAACTTTAGGAAGCCTTGAAAGCAAAGAACATAACATCTCCATCTCCAATTCAATAAGCAATCATTCCATTGATCTTTGATGGTCATGATGTGATTGCAATAGCCGAAACAGGATCAGGTAAGACACTTGCTTATGCTTTACCTGGAATAATGCACATGTAAGCTCAACCACCTATCACTGGTCCAAGAATATTGGTTATGGCTCCAACAAGAGAATTGGCATAGCAAATTTAGACTCAATATGATTCCTTTGTAAAAACCTGTTGTTTATTTGGAGGAATACAGAAGCCTCATCAATATGTGAGTTTGTTGGGTAAAACAAATAGGTTTGCTAGACCAGAAACACCCAAAGTGATTATTGCCACTCCAGGGAGATTACTAGATTTTATCAAGGATGGATTACCATTGAAATCAATTACTTAAGTAGTTTTGGATGAGGCTGATAGAATGTTGGATATGGGTTTCGAAGATTAAATACGTGATGTATTGAAAGAAGTCAGAAAAGATAGATAAACATTATTCTTCAGTGCCACTTGGCCATAAGAAGTGCAGAGATTGGCAAATAATTTATGCAATCAAGATCCAATCTTTTTGCAATTAGGAGAGAGAGGATTGTCTGTGAATAAGAACATCACATAAAGTGTGATAATGTCTGGTGGAAATAAGTTCGAATAATTAATTGAGTACTTCAATCAAATAAAAGATAAAAAGGTTTTGGTGTTTTGTTAGAAGAAAATAGACACATAAAAACTTGAATATAAATTATCATAGCATGGAGTCAATGCTCGATATTTACACGGAGATTTAAAATAGAATCAGAGAGATTACATCATGTAAGAGTTTAGAAATGGAAGGGCTAATTGTTTAATCACAACTAATTTAGCTTCAAGAGGATTGGATGTTTCAGATGTAGATATTGTGGTAATTTTTATTATCTATATTTATGCAGATTAATTATGATTTCCCAGAAAATATTGAAGATTATATCCACAGAATTGGCCGAACTGGTAGGGCTGGCAAGAAGGGAGAGGCTTTGAGCTTTATTGAACCTAGAGATTTGAATTACAAACTCAAAGATGATCTCATCAAAGTTTTTAAATAATCCTCTTAGGAGATTCCATAATAATTATTGAAACTCAAGGTGTATTGATATAGTTTTTCATGTTGTTTAATTCAATTATCAATATTGTTCAACTCAATTTATAGACTATTCTATACATTTGACCTTAATTATAGAACAAACATTTCAAGTTTATAAATATCAATGTACATCAATTAATCGAATCCTATTTACTTCTTTGTTCCTTACTATATTCCATTCTAATTCAATTCTGAATAGCCTTAAGTAATCCCGAAGGTTGAATTACATGCTGACAGCCATACAAGCCAAGTTAAACCTTCCAATGAAGAAATTCACACTAACGCTAGCGGAATTATTCGAGGAAAGGGATAATTATGGACTTAAAAGGAAATCAATAATCTAATCTCATATTATAAAAAGTATAAGGGGAATTGGAAGCAAATTATCAAACATCTCAAAGGTAGAAATATTTCCTAATGTTCTCAAAAATACAGAAAACTCCAAGACCAGGAGAAAAGGACAAAAAGGAAATGGTCTCCCTCTGAAGATCAAATTTTGAGGGAAGCCTACAAAGAATTCGGAAGACAATGGATCAAAATAAGTCAAAGTAACTATTGTAATAATTATTTAGAATTACCAGGTCGAACCTCAAAATAGGTGAGAGATAGATATGTGAATCAAATAGACCCAACTATTACACATGATGAATGGTCAGCAGAGGAGGATAAAATAATATTGGAGGAATACAATAAAGGAGGAGCGAAATGGGCTATTATTGCTAAAATGCTTAGAAATAGATCGGTAACGGAAATGGCTCTATTTTTAGGAAAATCAAGTTAAAAATCGTTTTTATTACACAATTCAAAAAAAATACTCAGGAGAAAAGCACCCATACTTAAAAGTATAAGAATGACGAATAGGTTGACTTTTAGGTTTGATTAATTAAATTCTCAAAATATATTAAATTTTATTCATTAAAATGCATTATCAAACTTTTTATTTATATAAATTTTCAATTTATTTAGAAAATATTTATTTGGCAACATGTCTTTGCAATTTTAAAGTGGAAGTGAGACATCCTAAATTTTAAAGAGGTTAAGGTTCTAAATATATTAATTTTGCCTAATCATATTTTTAATTAAATTACTATTTCCAATGAATTGAGTTGATTTTATCTACCAAAAGTTTCAATATTTTGTTAAATCAAATCAATCATCTTTTAATTTTGACATAATTCCTATAAGCTCCCTAAAATTTACATCTAAGCTGCCTATTTCTGTAAATATTCACTTTAAGGGACTATAATAGCTACTATTTAATTTTAAAGAGAATCTCCATAAACAAAACTTTCTGCTACTCCTGGGACTCTATTGTAAACGGACTCAATCTTCTCTGGTGCTATATACTCTCCTTAAGATAATTTGAAAATGTTCTTCTTTCTATCAATAATCTTGACGCCTCCCTATTCAGTGATCATTCCTATGTCACCTGTATGTAACCATCCCTCTGAATCCAGAGCTTCTGCAGTTTTCTAAGGATCCTTATAGTACCCCACAAAAACACCAGGTCCTCTTAAACAGATTTCTCCTCTTGGGGTTGGTTGTACTTCATCTTTATCTCCTCTACGAACTGTTATAGTATCTTTAGCAGTATAATTCATTTCAGGAACATCAACTAATTTGAATTCAGTATTAGCTGCCGGTCCACCTAAATGAGAGGATACTGGATCCCATACTGCAGTTGAGAATGATAGAGCAGAAGATTCTGTTTAGCCATAACCTTCTAAAATTGGACAACAAGCGGCAATTTTTAAAAAATCAATAACATCTTATTGAATTGGGGCTGATCCTGTGACCATCAATCTACATCTGCCTCCAAATAATTGTCTGACTCCCTCAAAGGCCTTATCAAATAACGAATTTGTATATCTTGCTTCGGATCTCAGAGCTGATAATTTAGAACTAATAGCTTAATCAACAAAAGCCTTCTTTAATCCTGTGACTTCTGAAATTTTAGCCTTGATTCCATCACAGAATTTATTGTAAAGCCTAGGAACTGATACAAAGATAGTAGGTCTTAATTTTAAAATATCTTCCTTTAGTAAATTTGGATCTCCTCTATAAAATCTAAAAATATGGACTTGTAATTACCCTATTTAAGCACCGACATATAATAAGGATATTACTATTAGTCTCTCCATAACATGCGGCAATGGCAAATAAGATAGATGGACATCATTATCAGTTATTCGTGCATCTGTAATTTAAGTGCTAGCCACGGCTGACACAAAATTGGCATGAGTTATCAAAGCTCCTTTTGGATTTCCGGTAGTTCCAGAAGTATAGCAGATGGTATACATAGTGTCAGGATAGATTTGAGCAAGCGGTTATATTTGAATTTTGCCATTTTATACGACATCTTCGTATTTAAATAATTTATATCCTTTAGTTTTCAATTCCTAATTTGCACAGATAGTAATACTCTCTCTAATTCTTCGGTGAGTGGATCAAATAGAACCAAATTTAATAATTTGCCTTTATCTTTACATTTTAGCAATGATTTGGTTGCATCAGCACTCAGAAACATTGTCTCGATATTAGTCTGGCTTAAGATGAATGGGATTGACTCAGGACCTATAATTCAATATTAAAGAAGTTTACCTAAAGTATCATAAAAAGGAACCATAGTATATCCGTATAGTATATTTGCAATATCAAGAATAACCCATTCTCTTCTGTTTTTACCAAACACTCCTATCAATTTCATCTTATAATTCTTATATTCATTAACTTCGTTTGCCAGACCCCAAGTCTTAATACTAAGTAATCTCTAATGCATATGTACCCACTTCCTAAATGGATGGCTTCTTCCTAAACTTATGAGTAAGTCATAAACGAGAAATCGTCTCCAATAAATGAACCTAAGCATTATTTTGCAGCATATCTCTCAGCACTTTTAGAAAATAAATCCTGTAAATTCAGAACCCCTTATTCAGGAACAGAGAGTAATTGAGTAGTATATTTCACATTTCTTCTAATTTCAGATTGTCCTTCTTTAGCTTCTTGAATCTTAGTAGAATAGGACATGTGAGGTGCAACATTGGATACTCGACAACCCATTCGATTAGATAAATAAAATTTATGTAATCATAATTGATCAAAACTTATAGTAAAAGGAAATAAAGTTATTTAATGCTAAATTACTGTATATTTAAACACACAATGAACATAAATCAATCAACTTCTTCCATCTTTGATTTGGTGGCTTCGGTGTTAGCATCTTCCTTTTTCTAAGAAAAATATAAATGATTAATAATACCTCTAATTATGGAAGCTTTTCGTCTTCTTCTTCAATACCAGCATCATCAATGGATAAACCGAGTTTGATCATCTTGTGGATTCTATTGGCAAAGTGAGTTGGGTCATCAAGACTGAATCCAGAAGTAAGAAGGGCAGTTTCATAGAGCAACCAGATGAGGTCCTTGACTGTCTTGTCACTCTTATCCTTGTCTGACTTCTTCTTTAATTCAGTGAGGATTGGGTGATTGGCATTGATTTCTAATGTCTTCTTGGACATCATGTAACTGCTCATTGATGGATCTCTCAAAGCTTAAGCTTTCATGATTCTTTCCATATTGGCAGACCATCCATATTCACCGGTGACTAAGACACATGGTGATTAGTCAAGTCTTTATCCTAATTAGACCTTTTCAACCTTGTCTCCCAAGATTTCCTTGATCAATTTGCATAATCCTTCAAATGATGACTTTTATTCTTCGAATTTCTTCTTTTCATCTTCAGTTTAATCTAAGTCTAAGCCTTCCTTTGTGCAATTCTTCAATTTCTTTCCATCGAATTCCTTCAATTATTGGATGACGTATTCATCAATTGGGTCAATCATATAGATGACTTCATAATCCTTCTTCTTCAAGGCTTCAACAAATGGTGATGCAGCAACTGAAGCTTTTGATTCTCCTGTAATGAAGAAGATATCCTTTTATCCTTCCTTCATTTTTCCGACATAGTCCTTGAGTGAGATTAATTCTTCACCACTCTTTGATGTGTGGAATCTGAGGAATTCGCTCAATTTGGTTCTGTTGGCTGAATCTTCATGGATACCTAATTTGAGATTCTTTGAGAATTGTTCATAGAATTTCTTGTAGTCTTCAGCATTTTCACTGATTTCTGTGATCATTTCAATGCATTTCTTGGTGATGTTCTTCTTGATGACCTTCAAGATCTTGTTGTGTTACAAGAATTCTCTTGAAATGTTCAAGGGTAAGTCTTCAGAATCAACAACTCCCTTAACGAATCCCAAATATTCTGGGATCAATTCTTCACAGTCATCCATAATGAAAACTCTTCTGACATACAATTTGATGTTGTTCTTCTTCTTCTTTGTTTCGAACAAATCGAATGGTGCTCTCTTTGGAATGAAGAGGACAGCCTTGAATTCCAAACCTCCTTCAACTGAGAATTATTTGACTGACAAATGTTCTTCCCAATCGTTGGTCAATTATTTGTAGAAGTTAGCATATTCTTCCTTTGTGATTTCTTCTGGCTTCTTCATCCATAATGGCTTGTTCTTGTTAACTTATTCGAATTCGGTACTGACTTCCTTGATCTTCTTCTTCTTCTTTTCAGCCTTGTCTTTCTCTTCCTAGACTTCACCTTCTTCAGCCTTCTTTTCCTTGTTTTCATCTTCATCATCACTGACTTCCTTCTCTGTGGTCTTTTCAATTTATAATTCAATTGGGAATCCAATGAATTCTGAGTGTTTCTTGACTAAATCCTTGATTCTCTTTTCTTCCAAGAATTCTAAGTTATCTTACTTCATGTGTAAGATGATGATTGAACCTCTGGTCAATTAGACTGGGTTTTCAGCATCATCATAGACAAAGAATGTACCACCAGCTTATGATTCCCATCTGTATTATTATTCACCAACAGCCTTGGAGATGACAACAACCTTATCAGCAACCAAGTAAGCAGAGTAGAAACCGACACCAAATTGTCCAATCATAGAAATATCAGCTCCTGAGCTCAAAGCTTCCATGAAGGCCTTGGTACCTGACTTAGCAATGGTACCCAAGTTGTTGATCATTTCATCTCTAGTCATACCAATACCTGTATCCTAGATGGTCAAAGTATTGTTATTTTTATCGGGGACAATCTTGATCTTGAAATTTGGTTCAACGTTCAAACCAGCACTGTCTGGGTCTGTAATAGACTTATATCTAATCTTATCTAAAGCATCTGATGCATTGGAGATCAATTCTCTTAAGAAAATTTCCTTGTTTGAATAGAATGTGTTGATAATTAAACCCATCAATTGTTGGATATCTGCATTGAAGTGGAATTACTCTTCTTTCTTTTACTCTGTTGCCATTTCTTAATTTTAAACTTAAAATTAATCTGTGAATCGAACTTCATTTATACTCAATTTTTATTTCTAGAAGTTTCGAATTTTCAAAAAAAACAAATTTTTTTCTTTTTTTATTAATTTTGTTTAAATATATTCAAAAAATTATGTCTAATAAATTCTAGTTTGACTTTTTGCAAACTGAATCAAATTCTAATCAAAATCTCATCTCAAAACTATGTCAATCAACAAACTTCTCCACAAAAACAATACAAGAGTGTTGAACACAAATTATATAATCTGAGCCATTGAATTGAAAGAATCCAAAGAATCCATAGAATATATATATAATATAATCAATATATCAGTAATTTAAACCTCTACTCTCTCTTATTAGTGCCATATTTATTGTCAAAACTTTAGTTTTTAAATAAAAATCACAAAATTCGAATTCTCATTTTATTTTGGTGCTTCCACATGGTATTCAAAGAAATAACAGGTTGATTGGTGTTGATTGTTATAAAAGAAGGGTGTTCTGAATTATTAATAAAAAAAGATTTAAATAAAAAATCAAATTTTTATCAAGAATGGCAGCTAATAAGTTTTGGAAAAAGACAGAAGTAAATTACTTGTTTAATTATAAGTTATCTAATTTGGAATAATAAGTTGGTGTTGCATTGACTCAAATTGAGTAATCACTAGCTGATGCTAAGAATCTTAAACTCTCATCAGTGGTTGATTACACAGCTAAAATTAATGCCAAGAAGCAGGTCTATTTGGTATACATTCCTCATCCTTGCTTATCCGTTTTCAATAAAGTTAGGTACTTTAATAGGTGAAATTAAATAGCTCAAAATTATTACCAGAATTAGAAAAGAGACTCAAAGCAACTATTCTTGTTGTTGCCAAAAGAACAATCGAAAGCAAATGGGTCAAGAGTCACAGATCATAAACAAGACCAAATTCAAGAACACTCACCTCAGTTTATGATGCAATTCTTGAAGACCTTGTTGCACCAACATTCATCTTAGGCAGAAGAACAAGAGTCAGAGTTGATGGCTCAAAATTCTATAGAATGTATATACTCGTCATTTAATTCTAGCTTCTTGGATGAATAAGACTAAGCAGAATTAGAACCCAGACTTGATGCCATCAAAGCTGTCTACAAATTATTAACAACTAGAGATTTAGAATTTGAATTTAGAAGAGACGATGTTTTCTATTCAAAAAAAGGTGCAAGCAAGAAAGTATAAAGAAAATAATGAGCATTAATAATTTAGTACAATACAATAACACATGAAATAATAGTAATTTCCTAATTCTTTTTAAAATCATTCCTATTTAGATAAAGATCAATTAAATTAACTCATAAATTATCACCAATTTCATTCTATTAATAATAAGAACAGGACTTACTTCTTATTACTATACAAAATTTAATTTAGAGTCTCAGTGGTCTGTTATCTTTGGTTGAATTTTATTAAATTAGTTAATTTGAAAAATCATAGGCTCTTCATATTTATTACAATAGAATTCCTTATATTCCACCCTCTCTTTGCGTTCTATATCTTCTGAAACTATCAATTTAACACTATATCTCATAATATTATATAATATATTTAGAAGATATCTTAAATACATTAAAAATTAATGTATGCTTTATCATAAAAAATAGAGAAAAGGTGATAAATCTTTTGATAATATAAACATTCAAACCTCATCCCTTTTAATTTCTTTTAAAAAATAAATATTATGAATTAAAATCATTAAAGACAAATAAATTGTTTTTAATCATTCAACATTTGAATAGAAATAAAATTAATATCTTCTGCTATTTCTTTTCCTAATATGAAAAGCATTCTATCTGGCTTTATTTCTCAATTAAATCAAGTTATTAGGAGAATAAAAATTTGAAAGCTAAGCATTTAATTTATTTAAAAATGATGATATCTTAAGATTTATAATTCCAAGAAAAAAAGATCTTTAATATTGATTAAAATTAGTTTTGTAGAAATTTGATATACCATACTAATTAATAAATTTACATCAGAATGTATAATACCAGTATTTGAATTTAAGCTTTTGTAATTTATTTTGAGATATTAATAATTTGACTATTATGTATAATTCAATTATAAGATATTTTAATTCATCTAATATCTTTATAAATTCATAGAAAAGAATTGATTTAAATGAAAGAAAAACTTGTTTTAACTTATAAATAGCTTTATATTTCAAACTTTAAAATGCTAATCATGTGTAATAAAGCCTATTACATAAGCATTTTCCATCAATTTGTCAAATGGAAACACTGTTAATAGTTGTTTGCTTTCCTAATATTGATATTTAATCTTCTCAATCATAATTTTAGTGGCAATCAATGAAATGGTCATAATTATACAAGCTAAAATAAAGACGGCTGTGTTAATTATAAACGTTGAGTTTATTAATGATTTAATTTATTTTGTGAGTATTTCAATTATCACTTAAAATCCATACTAGGCGTACAACCTTTAAACTTGAAATAAAGGATTATCATAATTTTATTTCAAAGATGAATTTAGAACTCTTGTCGAAATAGTTTACAGAAAATCAAATTAATTCTAATACAAACCTTAAACCACTGTACTTAATCCTTGATCAAGATTGGAAATAAACTAACATTACTCAAGACTGAAAAGATTTTAATAATCTTCATAGTCAAAAGACCTATTTTTATTAGTATTTTTACAGTTAATTCTAAAACAAACTGCATTAATTTTCAATTAAGATTCTATAAACTTATTAGTTTTGATCTTCTTGGTATAAAGGGAGGCTAGTGCTAAGTGCTCCCAATTATTAGACAGCAAATTTATAGGTATCAACCATTTCAGATGTCATTGTATGATTTAAGAGGATAGCTTGTTATGCAAAGGTAGATGCTAAGGAATTTAATGTGAATGAAAATGTTGTTTTTTCTTGATATCTTGCTGATACACTTTGTTAAGTCACTTATTATAAGATCAAACTTCCAATAAAATAAGATGAACAAAGTATGGCATACATAATCACAAACAAAAAGAATAAGATTTAAGATGAATTAATTTCTAAATTATTTATTAAAATACCCTACATTTCATAGAGATTTCTTTTCCAACTTGTTTATGCTTCTCTAGCATTTTTGATGTTGCTGTTTTTTAATATTGATGCATCATTGTAGTTTCAAATTATTCTTCATCCGTTTCATAATTTCTAAATCTAGTGTTGTTTAATTAAGCATAAAGCAAAGTGAATTAAACAAATTGTTCTGAAATTAATTCTTTAGGGAAAGTACAAAATAATTGATAAACTTTCTATTTCATCTTATATATTTGAACAAAAAAATAAAGGTATTGTGCAATTAGAATTAATAAGATTATTTCTTCAACAATTACGCTAAAATTTAAAAGATTTAATTACTAAATTGATAAACTACGTAAATGTTTTGTAGAATCTGTTTCCTCAATTTCAGCAATCTAGATATTAAACGCATTAGTGTTGTTATAGAATTCGTATTGGTTGATTTATTAATTCATGCTAATTACTTTAGTTAATTAGGACATAATATTCAACATTCTGCTTTCCATAGTTAGGTTATTGATTATATTAATGTGAGGTAATAAAACAATAGTTTTGTCAATATTTTTGATATTCATCGAGAAATATTGAAAGGCTATTTCGCTTAATTCTGTAAAATTAAATTGATCATAAGCTAAGAAAGATTAGTCAATGATGAATTCATTATAATAATAGGAAAATTGGAATGGTAAATTTTCATAGTTTTAGTTTTCATTAATTTTTTCGAAATTAAAATACAAGATCAAGTAATTAACAAAAAATCCTGACATTACTAATACATACATAAAAAGGAGAAACATCTTAGTTTTATTATTAGTTCCCTATGAATCAGATAAAGAATCCTTAATTTACCTTTTAAGAGCTGTGGTATTATTTTAAGATTATTGACTATCAACAGATCCACAATTATATTAAATATTCTATTCTTAGACTTTTTATTTGGCATCTGAATCTGCTTCACTAAAATCACTCTTTTCTGAAGGATCTTTTTAAAATTCATTTATTCTTCTCTCAATTTAGTTGTTACTATTTTATAGCAGAAATAGATCATTCATCTTATTTTGAGCAGTTCTATTAATGGATGCTAATTAAGTTTTGAAATCTTCAATCATCTTAATATCTTCGATTAAATCTTCGTATTCTAAATTGCATTCATTTAGAAGAGGACCTCTAGGAGGAGAATTTATAGAAAATAAGTTGAGATCTGTTTTTTGAGTTTGAATTTCCTTTTATGACTAAGTATTAATTATTATTGATGATCTATATTTTAATTGAACAAATTGTCTACTAGTTATCTTTTGGTTCACTAATTATTTATATTCTGTGATTTCAACAATAATCAATCTAGACATAAAATATCATAATTTACCTAAGGTTTATAGTAATTAGACTCATTAAATGAAGAGAAACCTAATACACCACATTGTCATTAGGAAGATTTTCAAACTGCTTAGCAATATAAGATTGAATGTTTTATTTCGAAAATATATTCGATCTTGAACGGATAAGACTTCTAGACAATGATTTAGTCATCAAAGGTAGAATTAATTAACAATCCAATCTTTTATCTAATTTATCGAAATCTTCATCAAATATTGAATCCCAAATTTTGGATAATTCAGGTATAAAAAATAAGCAATCTAATCCTTTAATTTAATCTACCTCAAATCCTAATTGTTTCTCAAAAATATCTTCAAAAATATTCTAAGTCAGTTCTTCTATTTATCCTTATTCATTCAACATCATATAGCCATATTACTGATTTACTGGTGTAATTAAAGCAGTAGCCCCAAATTCAGTTGGACTAGCTTCTATTCTTAATCTAGTATTAATAGGAACTACAAATTAGGATTTATTCTTTCCCAAAATTACTCTTACAGCATTTTTCACTACATTTATTCTACCTCTCTCAACAAAATTATCCAAATATAAATCATGATCATTTGCTATTATTGAAGGCATAAATTTATTTATATTTTGATCCTATATTTCTTCATCTTTATACCCAATAACATTTGAAAATGATCTAGTATACCTTATGACATTTCCTCTAGGTTACATTAAGGTGATTTATATTACACAACTACCAGGGTCATAGATAATCTTCTCTTCTGATTACAAAAATTGCATCATTATTTGGCCTTCTCTTTTGTATAATTTTGGTCTGGAGTTATTATAATTAACATATTTTTGGAAAATGTTGAAAATGGTGTCACATTCATTGTTCAATGGATTAGTTCTAAATAACTATTATAATTGTTATTCAAGGGTTTTGATATTTTCAATTAATTAAAGACCTACATCCAGAAGCTTATCAATATCAATAACCTACTAAAGAATGCATCCATAAAAGTCCTTTGATATTTAAATACTATACCTTTTCTTATTTAATCACAACGCATAAATTATTTTTCACTGATTTTAGTGATTCTTCGTATTGATAAACTTTCTTAAAAACAAACTTTTGATTGACCAGATCATTTTTTTTCACTAATTCACTAAATTTTTATAAAGCGTCTTGTTTTAATTTTTAAACAATCGCTTTTTGTTTTAGAGATTATTCCTTATTTAATTTAGAATATCAATACTTTTTAAATCATTGAAAATCGAATAACTTCATAAATTGCTTGAGTTGGTACTTTTTTGATTTATACTAAAAAGTAAATATAAGTTAAAATAAGCTTATTATTTGCCTTCTCTGTAATCTCGTTTTCAAATTTTTGCCCAATCAATCCTTTAGCAAATTATTGAATTGACTCAAAATTTTAAAAAGAATCCATTTTAGTATAAAAGTCTTAACAAAAGCACTTATATTTTAGTTTAATATTCATCTGCATCTTCTTTTCTCTTTACATTTTACATTCTCTCATATGACTTGATATAAATGCGTATATTTCTAATGATTATTTAGGATCTAAATATCCTTTCTACTTTTTTAAATCCATTTATTGTTTAAAGATAATATATAATCTTCTAATGTATTTCTCCAGATCTCCATTTTAGTCGCCAATATATCTAATATCTTATCTTATTAGTATCTTATTTATCAGTAATATCAAAGGAGGATAAAATAACAATATTAATAACAAAATGCTAATCTTTAATTTTGGTTAACCAAATTGACAAATGATCAATTAAAGTTAATATATAACAGTTAATACCACTATTCTAAGGTTAAATCTTGATATCCTGTAATCTATATAAACTTGTTAATTATAATCACAAATGATCTAAATTACTGATTTAATTATTCCTAAAACTTAAACTAGTAAACCTGATGCTTAAATACCAGACAAAAATATTACTCTAATTTTTTATTTATAACAATTAATTACAATACTTAGAATGCATAAAGGAAATGGATTATTTATGTTTAAAATTGGCCCAAAAAATCGAAGTTTTTCATTCTGTGGTCAAACTAATGTAAATTTATTAATGATCCAATTATAATTTGTAAACCAATCATCAAAAAGCCAGAAACAATGCCGAAACATTCAAAATAGGATTTATTTTCTGTATTCCCATGCGAAACGTATTGCTTGAATAAATCAGTAATTAAATTGAATCCACAAAAAAGAAATGGAATTATTAAAATTCCATGATGAATCTAAAAAAAAAATGAAAAAATCAAGTTTATTATATGATCTTATTTAATTTTTTATTCGAGATTCTAATTTAATCCTTTAAATTTACTTGTTCAATCGCTAAATTTTGAATGCCTTAATTGTTTCTTAAAAACACTTTCTATTTAAAAATCTGACACAGCAGTAATAAAAGGATCGAACCTTATAATAACAGTCCTCCTATAATAAAAGTAGTTCTTATAGTGATTGAATTTCCAATAATTGTGTAAAATCTAATATATCATCAAATAAATTGCCTAAAGTAATCTATAACATTTCTAATATGGTTTTAAAATTAATCATATTCGAAACCATTCAATTTCTAAGTGTAAATTGATAACATCTAGATATTCTCAATCACTAGTATCACAACAGCTATTTTAAATGATTTCCTCCATGTTTCTTTGACATTCAAAAATTCCTAAACATAATAACTTTTCATTTAAAACTTAAAGTTTTTCATTTGTAATTAAAAGTAATTTTAATTAATATATCATTATTATCCATAATAATTACATAAATAAGAATAATTATTTCAAGTAATAATAGAAATTAAATAATCAATTATTTTTTAATCGAGCTTTATTTCCATATTTTTAACTTTTTTCTTCCTTAATTCTTTCTTCTTTCAATTTTATTTCTATATCTCCTTCTTTTTATTTTTATGTCATAAATTTGTATGTCATGAATAATTACAACATCAAGTATCAATGTAATTAGTTAATATATATAAAGACTTTCACTATATTGACAGTTTCTACTTATTATGATCAAGCACAGCTGATTAAAAAATTTCAAATGATGTCTCAAACCAGGCATTCATAGAAAAAACTTGCAAACCCTAAAATCCCCAATTATTATTGAAATAAATTTCAAATTATTATTCTGGAGTCAAACTATAATTTATTTCAGCTTTAGCTTTTATAATTGAGTGATTTGGAACCAAAAATTCTAAATTTAATATTATAATTTTATTTAAGAAAAAAATTTGATCATTTTTTTCATAAAAATCTGCGAAAATAAATAAATAAAACTTTAAACAGATGGTATTTTTACAATTACTTATTGCTAATTCTAAAGATCAGATTAAGCGAATATTAATTTGAGTGATATTTCTTTTTATAAAGATAAATAACTAAAATAATTAATCACTCAAATATGTAATTTGCCTGTTCCTTCTGATAAAGGTCTCACTTAAGTTGATTTAACATTTCTGAAGCTTTTCTTAAGGATTTTACTTCGCCTTAAAGTATGCTCAGACTCAGCTGCAGAGTCCCTTCTAGATTCAGACATATTAAATTTTGGTATGATGATCTATTGATACCTGTATTTTTCAAAGAATATTTCAGGATAGATCATATATTTCAACAACTAAGACTAATAATCTTTGTTTTTATTATTTAGGAGGTGCTACTGTTAATAAAAATACATTCTTTCTAAGATTGAATCTAAATTATTTTAAACTTAGTAATGTTTAAACTTTTTATAGGATTCCATTACTAATTATTAATCTTTCTTTTAGTACTCATTCAATAGGTTTATCTACATTTTTATTTTTATTTCCAAGAGCATTGTATCTGCAATATCTTTTTCTGATAAGATTTACTTTTTGCCATCTTGTATCTATTTTAACCGAATTGCCACTTTAGATAATAGTCCTTTCATAAAATTCTAAGCTTAAATGATCTCTAAAAACGAATTGACAATTTATTTTGTTTCTTTTTTAAGTTTTTGCCTTTTTTTTATTCTATTCATATTCGTAATTACCTTAACGACTCTTTTCATTTTTTAAATGTTTTACTTAACTCTCTGAGGATTTAATTCAATAGTGACAGAAGGTCTCATCTTTTTGAATTTGCTATTAGGAGAACTTTCAAATTAATCCTCTTCTTAAATAATCATCAGATTATTGTTAAATATATTCTAATTCCTAGCCTTACTCATTAAAGATGCTTTCAAAGTTTTATCATCTAAATCCATTAGTTCAATAGTTTTTGTTCTCTACTTGAATAAAGTTGCTTTCTTTTTAGTAATTGGAGGTTCTAAATTTAATTTTGGAGATGTATCATTAACCGAAAGGAAAGAAGTTGAATTGGATATCTATTGAAATTAAGGTTAGTTTAAAATTTGTAGGTTAGAACTACTTTAATCTAAACTAACTTAATTAACTTAAACATCGCTTTTTTTTAATATCTCATCCTCAGGTTCCTCATAAAATTCTGCCCATTTCCAATTGTTATTATTAAAAGAAGATGCTTCTTATTCTATCACTTCTTAATCGAATCTGGCAGCAAAATAGCCTCTCTGTCTAAATGGATTTCTCAAAAAATGGTGGTTTCTTGTTTAATTTTAACTATATTAATGTCTTTTTATTATCAATTCTCTGTCTGGAATATAATGCAATAAAGGACATTAAAGGACTCTATGATAACTTGAGTTGCAACTGAAACATTTCATATGTAATGCACTCACGTCATCAAATTAAATACTATCATATAGATTTCTAAATCTTTCATAATCTTCTGGGAAGTCTTAGATTACTTTTAAAAAGTCATCGCGGGATAACATCAATAGTTTTGAAAATCCTATACTTCTAAATCTTTCCTATGATTATTTCCCACTGATAAAACTGACAATACCAAGACTTGAACCTTAACCAACCTTGCTGACTTCAGCAATTTATGGATTTTCTAAGATTTAGTCAATTTAATCATTCTAAATAAAGATTTAAATGTCTCCAAATTCAACAAAACAAACATATAATTAGCCAGCAGGTGCTTAAGGGAATATTGAATCAAAATTGATTATGTTCTCTGGTTGAATTACTGCAGGCTTAATTTTATGAACTAATTTAGATTTTAAGGCATCACTGAAATTGTTTTTAAATAAGGGGCATTCATTTAAAATCATTGAGTTTGATTAGTTCATTAATTTCTCTCTTAGATTTTCTGATAACTGATTAATTATCTCATTTAATTCATCATTTTCTACTTGATTTTGTGACTCCCAATAATAATTCAGATATTCTCTAATTTAATATTGTAATTCATATTCAATTTTTCTATTCTACATATAAGAATTTATCTTTCTCATTTTGCGCATCTTTTCCTATCCATAGGCTGATATTGTATCAATGATTGCTCCAACAGTACTAACACTGTAACTTAATTGAATACTACAAATCATCATGTAGAGAATAGCAACAATCCTTTCTAAATAACTAATAGGTACGACATCTCCATAACCAATAGTGAACATAGTTACTGTAGAGAAATAGAAGGAATATAGATATTAGACTTACCAAGTCTCATTCTCGATATGATAAAATTCTAGCCAGCTTCCCTTTTCTTAGTACAACTAACTATAATAACCAACCTAAACAAATTATTAATATTAATAATTACAAAGTACCAAAGACATGAATAGCAATGTAGAACAAAGAATAACACCAATAGTAATTTAAACAACTCTAATAATGAACTACTAGGCTTTGATAAATTTAAAGTCTCCTCAACTTGACTAATTAATTTCGGAATATTCCTGCATTGTACATAAAATAACAACATTAGTAGATCCCACCAATCGTCCATCAGATTGAATCCTTAATTGGATGAATTAAATATTATAGCATATATGACCAAGATCAGTATAGAAATGGCTTCTAAGCCGTAACTCTTGCTGATTACATTTTTGGCTATTGTGACTCTGTTACTAACAATTTATCCAAATTAGTAAAATGAATTATTAAAGCTTAGGATGAAATCTATGACTAGTAGCATTATCATAAGAATGGTGGGTGCATATAACTGGCCATAGATGATTTACTATTGATTCCAAGCTAGGTCCAGTGGGATTGTAAATAGAAAATATAGTCTACTTATCATGACCACACAATCCCAAACTATCTTTGATCGAGATTCTGGAGAAATCAAGGGTAGTTTTTCTAATTCTGATTCTATCTTTTTGTATAAATTATTGGTGCAAGTTTTTAAATTAGAATAATGCCTTGATAATTTTTTTGTGAATTCCCTAAGAATAAGAGAGTTAATATGATTACTTCTTTTTGAGACTCTAATTGAAATTGTCATTGGAGTTGCTAAATTGACTAATCATGGGTTTGAGGTTAAGGGCACTATCTCTAAATAGTTTTAGGTTGAAGGACGAACCCAAATCCTTGAGTATGTTGTATTGATAGAAGTTAAATTAGGCATTTATTTTCTTTTTCCAACTTATTCGATTGATGAACCTCTTGATGAAGCAGAATTAAATGACACTGTATATTTGCTGTTATTGATGTAAATGTTGAGGAGGTTCAGAAAGTCTGATGCTCTATTTATTCACTAGGAAATGGGCAGAGGGACTATTGGGTGTTGAATCAAATTAGACTCTTTTGCCTTCGTGCGCTTTTTGATTAGAACTGTGATTCTTCTAATTGTTATTGCCATTGATTTTTGAACCTTGGATTGAGAAGTTGCCTTCTGATAGAGAATAATTGAGAAAATCCTAAATTTCACCTATAGGTTCATCAGTTAACATTAGCTAATTCAATTTTGAACTTGGCTCTTCAGTGTCTTACTAATTTTAATTCATATTTAAATAATTGTCTGTAAATCAAATATTATAATATATTTAATTTAAAACATCCCTTCATTAACAAATGTTTAGGTTACAGATTCGTCTTCAACCTTGAATCTTATTTCCTATTTAATATATTCATTTAATAATCTTGATTATTAAAAATGTTTGTGAAATAATCTTATCACACTACACGATTTACCACCTAATTTGATGAATAAAGCATAGTGGAGATGAGAGAATCCTCGAAATTGAAGCATTATCGAATGACGACATCAACGAGTCTAAACTATTCCAGACGTCCCTTCATTCATACAAAGTCAATTCCAAAATCTCTAATTGATGAGGGTACATTAAAATGTTGAATTCTCCTTTTAGGGTTCAGGTCCAAGAGTATCCTGTATCATATGTAACTCCTCTCAAACGAAGTCAAAATGAAGATTAGACCAAGTAGGAGAGAAAGAGAAAGGACAATCTTATTCACAGATAACATGGAATTATATCATCACAAATCAATCAAGAGAATCAAGGAAATGAGCAGACGCAAAAGTTGTTCATGTGATGGATGCGGACCAAAGACCAAGTTTGAAAGAAAACATGATGATTTTGAAGCAAGAACACAATAAGCGATTAGTTCTGATTTGAAGTTACTGTAATTTACTAGAGCAGGCCAGAAGAAAAAACAAACTATTATCAAAGAAATTAAATTGAAATAGATTCACGAAAAGAAATCCAAGATCTCCTAAGAAATTGCCAACCATTCACAGATCTAACTTAATTTGCCTTCAACAAAAAGAGATAGTTTCTAAATTGAAAAACAAGAAACCGATAGAAACAGACTTAAAACCAAAGTCGACCTCCTTAGAATGCTACCTTCGATTAAAAGCATTGTCTCTCTCACTGTACTAAAATAACTCTACATAGGAGGCAGATAGCAACAATAAATGATATTTAGAAAACCATCTCATGATGCATTGATCATAAAAACTTATAGAATAAAATGATGAAAGTTTTATGTATTACTTACTTTTAATTGTAAGATTATACTTACTCATTTCTGAGTAATATATAAGCAGTAATTCTACTATTTTAATTAATATTTTATTTAATATTCATCCAATCAGTTTTCAATTTATTTTTTAAGATTCCATCTTATCATTATAATCACATAACATCGCTCGAATTAGTTTATATATTGTAGAGTATTTACCTATCAAAAGTATTGCCATGAAATTTTATAGAGGGAATGTAAGCTTGAGATAATGGATAATTAATTCGTTTTACATGCAAATAGTTATTATGGTTTTCAAGATAATTTTTTCAGAAACCATAAATTCCTTTATAAGATATACTTTTATTTATAAATAGAATACTATCGAATAAGTCAATTTTTTAATCCAATCCATCTTAATTGTGCGTGTAGAGTAATACCAGATTCAATAAAGCGTGTATGACGAATTTGTTACTAACGCGTATCATAATTATTGAGACTGCAATTACTATAAAATAAATCACAGGATGCCCTCTCACTAATTATAATTTAATAGAATACCTTGATACTCTTAAATATGCAAGCACAGTTATAGCTAAATCGTTTAATATATCATCTTCCCTATAGGTACACTATAAGTAGTATTTCTTACTTCCATTAATAATTTCAAAATTGATGATCACTGATTCCCAACGTTCCAATGGCGCTTAGAACTAAGTTGTATCAAATATATAATCAGATTAATTTAAATGAGATTGCTATCCACTATTATATTTATTGCAGGATTAGTGTTGAATTTAATTCTGTAGCAAATATTGTTGACAGTAATTTTAACTGTATTATAATTCAGAATAGATAAAAGACTACGAGTTTGCAAGATCAACATCTGGAGTACTCTATTTTTAATTAGGTGAAGTATTGATGATAAGCTTATCATCTTTGGCAATTCCAATCCCACAATTGTGATGTAAGAAAATGCGTTTCATTTCAGAATAGCATGTCCAATATTTTGTATCGGATCTAATACTAAGAAATAAATAAACTCTATACTCATAATAACTCTTAATGTATTCGAGCATTTCTTGAATTTCTGTATCAGGGTCCGTTGTCACAACCATTTGATTTAAGTATGGCAATATTTTGATTGTGAAATTGCTTTGCATAAAAATGATTATATCAATATATATATTAAGATCTTCATTTTAATATAAATCTATGAATACTCATTTATCAAGATTTGCTTTTACACTCTATTTAGAATTGATATTTAAAACAATATCCATAATTAAAAAGAATAAACTTCTAACTTATGATCCCAGATTTTAAAAACTGTTAGATTTATTGTTATGAATTATTTAGCTTATCAAGATATTCCTAAGTACATCATAAAAGCCATAACTTTCAACAAATACTGATATCAATCAATTTGTCTTTGGTTGTTACAGAAATTATATTATCTGGTAATTATTTTATTGACATTATTTCAAGTGTTAGGGGACCAATTTAAAATCGATTAATTGGCAGTTCACATACCCAAAGTATAATTTTGATTGATATTTTTTGTTATTTAAAAAAAATATCATATAGAATTGATTAAAACACTAAAATTAGCATAATTATTCTTCAACTCATTTCTACCTATTTATACGAAAATAGTAACTTACGAAAAAAAAAATGAAAAAAAATTTATAAATTTTATTAAGTAGGTTGAATTGAACATATTTTATTAAATAAATTATGGATTCGGCCAAATAACAAACAGGAACACCAAGTGCAAAGGAAGTTCTTAGAATTTCATCAAAGGATCTTGGGTGAAATGTGGGTTAAATTAAGTTGTCTTCAAAGGAATTTAAGATTAATTTAATGATCTAAAACCTTCATTTTAATATAGATTTAATTCTACAATCCAAACAAATAAAATTTAAAAATATAAGAATTCAATCGATTTAGAGATTCAAAAATATTTCTTAAGAAAATGAGAGTACGCAAATAATTAATAAAAATACAAACTCAAGTTCTTAATATTTGAGATAAATACTTTATAAATTATCAATTTATATTTATTTACTAGTTATTTAAGTTTTAAGGGGCACATAATACTTGCTATTTAACTATTTCTTAAATGCTGTTGTAAAACCATGTTATCCTTAAATTCAGGATTATGAATATAAGTAAAATCTAAATTATTCTTTATAATATTGTTGATCAATTATGAAATAGCAATAATTCCTCTGAAGCAAACTAACATAAATGAACCTTTTTTCATATACCAAAATACTTTAATAAATACAGAGTATATATGGCTGAGATTAATATTTGCTCTGATATTTCTGATGAAATTATTTTTACTCAATTTAAAATGAGATTTATTCAATCAATCATTTTTTTTCCGCTAGAATTGTATATAATTAATTAATTTTTATTACTTAAATAATTTTTTCTCTGTTTGATTAGCCTACTAAGCTGAAATAATGAATATTTAATTTAGCAAAGTTGATACTTAGTTGTAGATAGCATTCTATTTGATAAGAGAATGAGATGTCAAAAGGAATCAGCTATTAATTAAGACTTAATGGAGAAAAGTGATATTAACTAAAAAGAGGTGAATAAGCTATAAATTAATGTTATTATAATTAGTATAATCGGAGTTATAAAATGATTAGCAGAGATATATATATTATTTTTATTATTTTATATGGGTAGTGGGTAGAATCGATAATTAAATGTGCCAGTTGTCTATCTTGAAAATCATAAAAATGTTGGCAGTTATAGATTCGTATAGAATTAGAGACAAAACATTCCAAAAGCATATTTAAAAATAGAACCAAATTATTCAAAGATTGAACGATTAGAAACAATCAATAGTGCTGTTGTGCATGGAGTTGTAGGACTCAAAAATCTGGGGAATACATGCTACTTTAATACTGCCATTCATTGTATCAGTCATACTCAACCTCTTGTTGACTATTTCTTGTCTAAAGCCTATAAAATTAATTCTTCTTGTCCAACATCTGGAAATATAACGAAAGCATTTGTATCTCTAATGGAACAAATATGGGATGATGAAAATTGTTTTGCAGAATCCAAGGATTTTAAATAACTTGTTTAAGGTTAAAAACTTAAGCCATATAATAAATGTATCAACCCAATCAAGCTTTTAAATCTCTTGCAAAAGTATAGCAAACGATTTGCATTAGGAGGTAATCAAATTGTTATTATTCGTCAGATTAGGAAGATTGCTAAGAATTATTGTCTTATCTTCTTGACTTGCTACATTAAGAATTAAATAGATCGTAGCCTAACTCTAAAAGCATAACAAAAGATTACACAGGTGAGTATATTGATCCCAAGTGGGCAGCAGATAGCTGGGGTGAGCATTTGAAGATCAATAGAAGCATCATTGTGGATTTGTTCTAAGGACAATTAAAATCTACATGTTAATGCCAAGAATGCGGATTCTAAAGTCATAAATTTGAACCCTTCCTCTTCCTCAATCTTCCAATACCTAAATAAAAAGTGTCAATCTACAAATGTCTAGACTTATTCCAAGAACCAGAGCTTTTATCAGGTTCCTGCCAATGGAAATGCCCCAAATGCAAAATTAACAGGGACTTCAAAAAGCAGATTCAACTATGGAAATTACCAAATCAACTCATTATTCATCTAAAAAGATTTGAATTTCATCATAGAAAACAAGTCAAACTAAATACAGTCGTTGAATTTCCATTAGAATTGGACATGGCATAATACTGTGTTGATTAGGCCATTTCATGTTATTAGCTCTATGCAGTGGCACAACATGATGGATCCTCCTATGGTGGTCATTATGTTGCTCTATGTAAAGCTTAGAATAATAATTGGTATATGTACAACGATGACCAAGTGTTTCGAATTTAAGATGTTAAAAAAATGGTGTAAAATGAGTATGCTTACATGCTCTTTTATTAAAGATATGATAATATCTACCGACAAACTTTAAATAAACCAGAAGCATGGCCTCATTTTAGGTTACCAAAAATATCATAAACTACTCACTTGATGGTTTAAACTGATAGGAAATCTTAAGATTCCAGTCCGAATTAACTAGAATCAACACCTTTAGATAATTAAACTGGAGTTATAAGTTAATAAAGATCATAATAAGATATAAAATTCAACTCCATTGCATGATTGTTAACTTTTTATTTTTAAGTAATTTTTATTTGAATAAAATCATTTAATCTATTTGATTGAAATGTTTGATTTAAGTCTAAACTCCTAAGATGATTTGCATGAAGCTTGCTTTGCAAATTTATTTATCAAATATAGATTAGAGGCATCCTTTGTAGGTGTAATGCCTTTCACTATACTGTTATTAAAACTATTCACTGTAGGTTCTTTTCTCATTTTAGTAAATTGATTTAAAGATTTTGATATAGCCAAAATACCTCCATTTGAACTTTTTCTACTAGCATCTACTCTTTATGGTGATTTACTGAATTAAAATTAAACCCCTTCTAATTGTTTCTTCTATTCCTATAATTAAGTCAATAGATTATTTAGTTGTAATATTTCTTATTCCAGTAATGCCTTATTAGGTTTACTTTTTGATAACAATTATTCTTAAGTATTTTCTATTGCCTATTTGACAGTACTCAATTACTTTTATATTTCTGTCTCTTATAAATTAAATTACTCAATCTTTTTCTTAAATTCTAATTCTAATGCTTAGATTTCCTATTCTACCTTATTTTATTTGTCAAAAAAGGGTTTTTCATTTCCACTTACCCTTTCTAGATCCTTTTTGGCTTTCTGAATTTATTATGCAATATTCTTTAATTGAGGAAGTATTTCTTAATCAACCATTTGAATATTGACTTTTATAGCTTAATCTTAAATGTAATACTGTTATATTAATTTCATTGTATTATTAAATTATTCCTAAATATTATTGATATAGTACTTCTTCTTGATCCTACATCAACTATTACATTTCTTTGTAGGTTTAGTCAAGAATTGATTTATACTCTACATTTCCGTACTACTATTTAATACAATTTAAGTTTTCTTCATTGTGTTCTTGATACTGAAGAAAAGCATCTTCTGTTTATTATCGAATCCTTTCTTGAAATTACTCATAAAACCTAGATTTCAATAATAGTCATTACATTTCCCTCTTATAATCTAATGAAGATTTATCATCTTCAAGTTCTCTAATTTACTATTTCTTAACTTCAACTTAATAATCAATTGAACACACGTCATTAGATAATTGTAATTCATCTCCATGTTATTTCAGGGTGCATTTCATATCCTAAAATATGGTTATAACTTCTTACTTATAATTGATTTTGGATTAATTTTTGTTAGAGAGATGCTAAAATGAAAGATTCTAATTAGATAACAAATTCCTTCATGCTTCCCCAATTATTACTCTAATTACCTTATTTGAACAGATTGTTTCTAAATTATTAAGTGAATGTTTATAATTTGGCTTAAAACTCTATAGATTCTATTTGCAATTAGGAACCTCCAAAAGAGTTGATAAATTCATTTAGAATTGAGTCAGGATGTTGTAAATTTAAACTTTTCTATATTGGTACAATTTTATTTCTTAAAGTTTTCACCTTTTAATTCTATTAATGACACTAAACCTCAAGTAATGTAGTTTAATGAAATGAAGCTAATTGTCTTTTTTTGTTTTCTTGTTATTATTGTAAACTTTAGATAGAGCTCGTTAAAGTTAATATACTTTAATCAATTTCCTTAGCTTTTTGATTGCAATTATAAATCTACTCAACCAGTTCTGTTAGCTAAGGGTTCTCATTTTTAACTTATTCAACAAATTCTTCAAGTTCTTCTTTTTAACCAACAAGTTCAGCTCTTTATAATAGTTTACCATTTAAATCTTCTTACAAGAGTGCTTTGGTCTCTAAATATTGATTGTAGATATCCTAATAATTATTGCGCTCTTTCACGAAGTATTGATGTTCCTAGTTGATCTACTCATATTATGTTTTTAGTTTATTGAATTCGTTTTCATAGTAATCATAAATGATAGTTTATTGTCTATCCAAATCGTTTTGCATTTGCTAAGAACTAATTTAGTGAGAGATCATACTTTTATTCCTCAATTCTCAAATCCTATAGTTTTTTTTGATAAACTGATTAATCTAGAGAGGTACTTGACTCGTTTAAGAGTGTAGTAATCTTCTATTTGATGTTATATTGGTATTGCATAATTTTGAGATCAATCTATTCCATCTAATCCTGTAGATAGTCAGATCCACTATTTAAGACTTCATTGATTATTTTGTGTGAGATATTGCTTTGGCGAGTGATAGAGAGGTACTTTGGAGAGTTCTCCTTATTTGAACGTTTTTGAGAGGGACTGTCTGTTATCATATATTTTTAACGATAATTAATAAATTTTTTGCTCTTTTTTTCTTTAGAAATTTATAAATTATAATTTGTTTTTAAAAGCCATGTCCCACATTCAAATAATTGATCATTAATCGAATAGCACCGATCACTCCTTTGAAAATCTGTCTGATCAAAATTCTGAAGAATCCTTCGAAATTGTCTAAAGAAAACTGAGAATCAAAAAATGCTATTAAGAGGAGGAACCACTGAAAAAGAAGAAGGACCTTTGTCGAAATTACTAAATTAATGGTTGTTGCAAATATGGAGATCAAGTAATTTTGTTTAAATCTTAATTAGTGTTTTTTTATTCATACCCCCGCAAAAACTGAAAGCACTCTCTATTCATCAACCTCCACCAAGACCAAGCCTTGTAAACGCTATTTTAGTGGTTTCTGTTGTTTTGGACCTAAATGTTAATTTTTACATCATGAATCCATTGACCTTGTAGATTAGAGGGAATTCGTAGAAAAGTAATTTAAAGATTTAAAACTAATGGTTCCTCTGCACCCAAGTAAGTTAAGATCGATAATTTTTAGAAAAACTAGATTAATCTATTAGGTTTGATCTCTAAAGATTTCACCATCTTTACAAAATTTTTGGAAGGAAACTTAACTTCAAAAGAGATGATTTGGTTGTGAATAGTTGCAAAAGGTATTGATTCAAATAATAAATAGTCGATTAAAAATATTTATATCAATTTGTAGAAAGTAGGATCGATTTGAATAATTGTTAATGTCTAATAACACAAGTAGAAAGGAGAGTGAGCAATGTTGAATACTTATAGTTATTTTATAATTAACACTAATTATTTTCATGATTTAATTTGATGTTGTAATGGATACCTATTAAATCTTGAATACTTAATTAATTTTGTGATTAAGATCAACTTCAAAAGGATCCTTTTCTATTTATGATTATATTTCTATCACTTTTCTCTTCAACAATTCAATTTCCAGAATAATTATTTATCAATCAATCATCTTCTTAATTTATCAAATGAGCAGTGCTGAAATTACATTAGATTATTTATTGAAATTATTTCTTTTCTGTTTAATAATGTGAAGATACTCTGTATTTTACATTAATCATTCCTTCCTTACAGATTTTCATTGAAAAATGAGTGTTTTACAATTGACATTTGGACATTTTATATTTATAATTGATTTTATTATTAAAAATCATAGTTATATCTCTTGATGTCTTTGTGAACGTCTAACTGAGGAACCACGGCGCAGTTCCAAAATTCCAGAGGGTTTTCGTTGTTCTTATTCAGTGGATGGTTATTCTATAGATTCTGGACATAACTAATAGGATATACAATATTTATACTGATTATTCTGGAATTAATTTTAATATAACACTAACAATCCATCCGATTGCTCCTATTAGTATACAAATTAACCATTATTGTATAGTTAATCCATAGTAAGTGTAACATGAGAATGCTATTCCAGCAAAAGTAATTAAGATGATTTAAAGAGCAAATATAAAGAATACAATAATGATAAATAGAGAACTAAAATACATAAAATAAAATACTTATTGCCAATATTTTGGAATATATTGAATTCATCATTTAATTTCCTACTATTTAGGAAATTAAACAATTGCATCATAACAAACATATTGAAGATGAAAGTGAAATGTCTACTGGGAACCATAAATTCTCTATAGACAGGTTCATAATCATCCTTACCATCAACAGTTAACATTCTTCCACTTCTAATCATAAGTTACTCAGGATAGTAATCCAAATTGTATTTTGGATGATTGATATCTGATGGAAACTCTAATAAATTTTTATCATCTAACCAATCATTCAATCTATCATCAAATCCATCAGTATATTCAGGAACAAAATGAGGAGCTAGGAATACAGCAATTAGCATAATGGCCATTTGAAATGCGGCTTAACCTAAGATGTGTTTGAGCATCTTTCTTGTAATTATAGATTAGGCTCTGGAATAAGGTCTATCATTCAATAAAACAGGACTAGGAGGTTCAGTGGCTAAGGCTAATGAGGCAAAAGAATCCATGATTAAATTGACCCATAACATTTAAATAGGCTTGAGTACTTCTTATTTAAGAACAGCTGAGACAATTAGTGTCAATCCAACAGCCACTATATTAACAGTCAATTGGAATTGAAGGAATTTACGAATGGATTGGAAAATATTTCTACCCCACATCACAGCCTTGACAATATCGCTGAAATTGTCCTCCATAAGAATGATGGCAGCTGCATCTTTAGCAACTTGAGTCCCTGAGATTCCCATAGCAAATCCTACATCAGCCTTTTTCAAAGCGGGAGCATCATTTGTACCATCTCCAGTAACAGCAACAATATGTTCACAATCCTTTAGTCCAACAATCATAGCATATTTATCAGTGGGTCTGGATCTTGCCAAAACAGCAATCTATGGATATAATTTCTTAAATGAACCCATGTCACCAAGAGTATCTACTCTTAATTAGGTTCCATTCTTTTCAGCTTCACTTTGAGTTCTGGAACATTTACAAGATTCGGTCTGACAGTTCTTGCATATTATTCCTCCTATTTTGTTCATAAATTCAGCACCTTCCATTACCAATGCTTTACTATCTCCTGCTTCTATAATACCACATGATAATGCTATTGCTCTTGCAGTTTCAGAGTTATCTCCAGTCACCATTCTAACTTTAATGCCAGCCTTCTTGCATAATGTTACTGCTTCCTTAACTCCTTCTCTTAGATTATCCATGATTCCTAAGAGACACAAGAAAGTCAAGTTGTTTTTCTCGATGTCATACACTTTCCCATCATTACTCACTAAATCTTCTCTACCATTCAAATCTTTATAGGCAACACAAATAGTTCTAAGCGATTATTTTGCCATTTCACTTATTACATTTTCTATTTATTTAATATCCTATTCTGATAGGGCAATGATTTCATCATTAAATGTGTGTTGATGAGTAAGGCCTTTTATTATAATCTCACTGGCTCCTTTAATATATAAACGTTGTATAGGCAATCCATTCTTCTAAGTTGTTACAATTACACTCATTCTCTTTCTACCTGAGTTGAATGGTATTTTTTGAAGGTATTTGACTGAACTTTTTACATTTTTATAATCAATCTATCCTCTCCTCATATATTCCAATAAAGCAACTTCTGTCTTTGAACCTGATTCTGGATCCAATTCAGCCGATGAATTACAACAGATTGATTCAATCATCAATTATTTAATTTTACCAAAAACTCCTAAATCTTATTCCTTAGCCAAATAATTAACTTCAATATAATTCTGATTCCACATCTTAGTCAAAGTCATCTTATTCATAGTCAAAGTTCCAGTCTTGTCTGAACAAATAGAATCAGCTCCTCCCATAGTCTCACATGCATACATCTTTCTAACCAAATTCTTATCATTCATCATTTTTTAAACTGAATATGCCAAAGAGATAGTGACTGACAATGGCAATCCCTCAGGAATGGCAACTGCTAAGACAGTGATACCTAGGATAATGAAATTAAGTATTTCCATCCAATGTTTACTATGATCCCATTCCCCTTCAATACCTCTTTCAATAGCTAATCTAATCATCAATACAATAACAATCAATATGGCAGCATACAATCCAAATTTTCCGATGTCTTCAGCTATGATTGTTAATTTTTCTTACAAAGGAGTCTCTTCATCCTCTTCCTACTCTAATGATGCCTTGATCTAACCCAAACATGATAGATCTCCCACAACGCAGACCACAAAGAGTCCTTCTCCTTCCAGGACTCTAGTACCTGACAATAGAGCTGGAGATGGGATTAGAAATCTATCCTTTTCTCCAAATTCAGCTCCTTCATTTATCAATTCTTCTTTTTTCTACAAACATTATTGCATAGTTCCTTTCTTTATTGAGTTTGTTTCTCCTGTCATTGATGACTCATCCATCTTGATTTCTGAAGCCTCTATAAGTATTCCATCAGCTGGTATCTCCATACCTTCCACTAATTTAACGATGTCTCCAACTAAGCAGTTTTCTTCATGCAATCTATGTTCTTTTCCATCACGAATGATAGTCACCATTTTAGACTTCTCACTTACAGCATTTAACTTACGAAATTGCTTTTCTTTTGAGTAATCATTCAAGGCAGCAACATTAGTACAGACCAGTACAGCTACAAAAATAGCAAAGCCTTCAATCCAAGCTAATGATCTATGTTCGTCATCTGAAGTTGCGACTTAAATAATAATGCTAGCAAATGCAGCCACTGTCAAGACTCTCATAGTGAAGTCTCCCATGGCATCCATCAGTAATTCACAATATGTTTAAGGTGGTCTAACAACTCTTTTATTGTGACCATACAATTCTGTCCTTTTATTGATGTCATGAGTTGCTATCCCGCCATTAATCGAAGTACACAATCCATCCAATAAACCCTCTAAATTACTAAGAGATACTCATACCTAAACTTCCTAACTGCTCAAGAAAGTCTATTTCCTCACACATCCGTCTTCTCTAATTCAAAGTGAATATATTTTGTAATTGCTGAGCTGAGAACTTGAATCCTCCCATATTGAGTCTCATGTCATCCTCTCTGACAGTGATGTTCACATCAGTTTTTAAAGGTGAATGATTCATTAATTTAATGATTAGAATGAAACTTCAAAATTACAAACTAGAAGGAAAGAACCAAAAACTGTAATTTCTTCTACCTGTCTTCATTGCATATTTCATGTTCCCATAATCCTTTTATTACACATTTGAACGATATGCATACATTTATAAAAATGCCTAATCAGATACAGTTTGCGTGTAACTATTTACTTCTGATGATGCTATTGCAAAAGACAAAAAGATGTTCTCAATTAGAGTTTTGAAAGATTAAAAAATAAGTTGAATATATAACTAAAACTGAGACTGAAGGACATATTTTATGTACGTAATCATATTAAATCTAAGATTTAATTCCTATATATAGGATGATCATGAAGAGATAT